TTTTCCACCACTGTAAAGCGTTTCTAAGAATGACAAAGTTTTCGACATTCGCCTTTAAACTGTTCTCCACGTTTTCACCATCACTACACGTAGAACTCTCGTCATTGCTATCGATTAATGATTTAAGACTGGTTTGTATGTGAGAAATATTCTCTATAGATGTTGTTTTCAAATTTATTTTTTTATCCTCTGTAGCATTTGTCATCACATGGAAATTTATTTCGTGAACTTTGTTATTGGTTTCGTCAAGGGCTCTGCTCGATTGCGGTACTCCTGTTAACAGAATCTTCTTTCTACTGTTTATGAGCATGTCACCTATAGATGGTAAGTTTGCATCGCGTTTCCTGTTTGAGTTAAAAAGGGTCCTTTCAACGCGAGTTCTTGCAATAAATTTCTGTCTGTTTTAGGAGCTTGATGATATCTTGTTAGTAAATGCAGTAAAAGGTGAGAATAGAGTTATGACATTATTAATTTACATAATACTACGAAAAGCTTCATTTGTAGGTTCCAGTCACTCAATTATTACGGTGACATTTATGTTATTTGCTTCCACGATATTTTAATCACCGTGTTTTTTACTTTAATTTAAATTTCTTCAATCTTTTCTTCCTTTTTTTCTCTTTATCCACCCTTCCTTAGTTCTTTTGTATCATTTTTTCCTGTAGAAGCAGAAACCATGGACAAACAAAACAAACCAACTGGCTCTAAAAAAAAAACAAGAAGAGGTATAAAAGCTTATTGAATAGAAAATAGTGCATAATAGTGAATGGTGACACTTTAGTTAAAAAAAAAATATATAATTGTCTGCAGGCCAAAACTGTTTAAGTGCGATAGTGCTTGGCACTAGTCCCGCGTGTCTTACATGGCTTGATTTTAAAATTAATGTTTTTTCATCGTAACTTGGTTAAGTTTTCCATGTAGGGGTATATCTAACCCAGATTGTATCGTCTCGTTAATACAGGAAATATACTGGATAGCCTAAAGGACTCGCTTACTGAAAAAGAGCTGAATCTGCCTGCCAAACGATCAAGGAAGAACACCTCTAAGATAATTTGCTGAGAGAGAATTACGATCTAAGTTTGGAATCGTATTACTGCTTACGAAAAGATGGATGTTTTTCAGAAAGAAAACATTTATGACCATATAAATGGATGAGATGTCATGAACAGTGGGCAGTAGGCAGACATAACATTTCGTAAAGTAGAAGTAGAGGAAGTTAAACAGAATCAATTTGCATTTTGATAAGTAAACAGTCACAAAAAAATAGACTATTTCAATATTGGTTTCTCTGCAACCAAACATAGTAATACGCTCAAGTATACAATTACAGATGTTTCTGAGGAAATGGCCATTTTGTTATCTTTTCAGTGATTGGAAATTTCACCTGAGGTGCGGAAGGGAAGCCAACGCCATTCATCAGGATGACTATGTCGCCATTGCACCTTGCAGAACTCTGGAACTAAATACAACACAAATCCAGCTGTTATTACGAAGAATTTCTTATTTTCTTGAATATAGACATACATACAGAAAACATTTCTTTATCTGCATGTTTGATACTTTAAGCAAAATTATTTCTGGCTTCCGGACACAGAAGTCCTCCGCGACATTTGTAAGCTTCAATGTTCTGTTGCTGTAATTGGTGTTACTAGAGGCCATTTCCTTCCTTCAAAATGTTATCAAGCGGTAATGGACATGAATGTGACATAACGATATTAAGATCCTTTTCCAAAGAAAACAATGATAGAAAGGGAATTCTGTAGTAGCTACGAAACGCATTTTTTAATTGTCACATTAAACCTCGTGGAAAATACCGAAATGTGATGTTAGTTAAACGAGTTACGTCACAACATTACAAGTAGTTTTTGTGACATAAAAATTACCTTTAAAAAAGAAGGAAACCATAAAATTCCAGTTTGATAGGCTGACAAACACTAAGGAGGAAAAAATAAGCCAGAAAGATACCGAGGATGGTCAAGGATAGAGAAGATTAACGTGGATTGCAAATGACGAACTTGAAAAACATTGGGATAAGTTATTCAATACGCACAAACGATGACGTAGCTCCTTTAAATGACTAATAAAAGTTCGCGTTATATTAATCAGAGTTTTTAATGTAGGGTAGTCTATGTTGCCTCCACTGAGTAGACATAATTTTGTATTGCATTAATTCGACATTCCACTCCGACATTTTGTTATATCATAACTCATTTCGGGATACAATGATTCGCAAATGTATTTAAATTGTAACAAAATAATAAAAATGTCAACCATCGATATCGTTAAATTATTCACTTAATTTCTTCTTTTGTTCCTCTATAACAGCGTAGTTAATTAAAGTGGAATGGTTGGGAAACCCTTTGCTATAGGTTTTGTTGGCTTTTTTTGACCTGACCGTGCACAACGTTCAATAGCATTCCTATCATTTGGAAGTTTTTGACCAATAGAAACATTGCATGAATTTCTTCATTGATAATTTGTGAAAAGAAAACAAAGGATTGTGCACGGTCAGGGTGCTTCCAACATAACCTACAGCACCATTGTTTTCAACTTTGATGTTTGCCGGGTTTCCTAATTAGTCTCCTCTACTAACTATGATAAGAGTACGTACACACTGACCAGTTTGTCCTCGCGTATCCTTTGCGGGTTACATATAGCCTCTCTTACGTGGCCTAGAGTGTATGGAATGGGGTAGTTTGACGAGGAGTATGCCAATTTCTGGGCGAATTGTGTTATCACTCTTTTCTTTACCTTTCTGGGTTTTTGTTCCCAACTAATACAACTGTTACTGCTATGAAAAATCAAAAAGAATTCCCCTGGGAAGGGCATCCGAGCTAACATATCACTCTTCACTGCTGTCCACATATTTCATCTGATTCTCAGGATTGGAGAAATCTGTTTAAATATCTAGACAATTTTTCTACGGGACAGATCGTTAAAGTGGGTTCAAAGTAGGACGTACGGTTGTCAGTTAAGCTTCCAGTATTCTTGATAGTCGGTTCAGCTCAAGGGTGGAAATTCAAGTGACTAAGTGTTTACAAGCACTGCAGCTCTCAGCTGAGCTCTATTTAGTGCAGACGATAGAGAGAATGTTCCCACAGACAAATACCGTCGTTTAGGCGAAAAGTAGGCGCTTTGCAGCTGCACCGAACCCAAAAAAATAAAAGAATGTGGAATTAAGTACGGTTTCTTTGTTCGTGCAAAAATTTGAGAAATTGAAAAGTCCTGAAGAGTTGAATACAATACAAGATTCCGAACAAGATGCAACTCGCTAGGTTGAAAATTTATGCCAAACTACAGTTTGAAATTCTAGTTTACTGAAGGTTGAGGAAATAAGAAAAGTTTGGCTCAGGAAGTAGAATTGAATATGAAGAGCCTTTTAGTCTTAAAAACTTGGTAACACAGCAAACGAGGGTTTTGAAACTATTCGTCATTCAATTTTAGGCTAAAAGGTGTGGTGGTCGTCAGCCTCCTTAATGAAATAGTTCGTTGAGGATAAAACATTATGAAGTACGTTGAAATGTTAGTAAAACGTAAATATATACAAATCGATGATGAAATGCTAACTATTAGATCGATGTTGTTTAATGATCTTATTCATTTAAAATACTACTGAACCAAAACAACAATAAAACGACAAATAGATAAATATCCCTAAAATTAAATCCCAACATATTCTTCGACAATTTCACCCTGGCGATCATTTCTCTAATTAAAATAAATTTTCTAGACACATGAGTAGAATTAAATAAAATGATATGATAGCAATAATTAAAGGGCTACGAATTCTACCTTATCAAATGACCCTCTATTGTCATCATCTGTCAATTTAATGACTGACGTCGCTGTTATATCGCATTTATAGGATATTGCTCTTGAAAATGGAAAGATAAAGGAAATACAAAGAATACAACAACAACAACAAGTTTATTTAGTATTACTATATATTTTTTTAACATGGTGTTACCTGTACACTGAAATACAATAATATCAAGACGAAGATTGCAAAGGAGTTACAGATGTAATAGAATGGGATAATTTATCGATTATTATTATCATTATTCTTCTTTCGTCTCTCAAATACTTGGAAGACGAAGGTAGCAGTAAGCTTGCGCATGTACGAATCAGTATTAATATTAAAAAGAAAACAGATTTTATCATTAGTATTTTAATTTGTAAATAACGTATTTCGTCATTCATTTTAGTGAAAAGAGACTTTTTAAGGACCAATGAAATAATAAGTGTATTTAATTTTCAACAATTTAGACTGCAGTGATCACAAATTCTTAGGTCTTCGGGAGTTTTGCGGATTGTAAATCTTTCAGATTTGTGATTTCCTATCTTAAATTTGAAGGCGATGCGTTTATGTTCAGGCTTCCTGATATGCTAAATGAATTCAGAGTACTTTTTTTTTTTCGTTTGTATAGGTGGAGTAGAAGTTTAGTTTTTTTTTGTTTGCACTTATCAGATTGACTTGGTGGTTTTTAAAATGTACTGACAAACTGTAGGAAAGCAGAAGGGTTTTTTTTTTAAAGTAACTGATTTATTTTCAATATTAAATTGTTTACATAAAAGATTTATTTTGTATATCAAACATGATTTTTTTACTAAAGGGTAGACAGGCTATACCGGGCACACAGGGTATACAGTGTATACATGGATATACAGGGAGTACATAAGTATACATGGGTATACAAGGAATGCAGGGTATACAAGGTATACAGGGTATACAGGGTATACAGGGTATACAGGGTATACATGAGTATACAGGGTATACAGGGTATACAGGGTATACAGGGTATACAAGGTATACAGGGTATACAAGGTATACAGGGTATACATGAATATACAGGGTATACAGGATCTACAGGGTATACAGGGTCGGTATACAGGGTATACAGGGTATACAGGGTATACAGGGTATACATGGGTACATGGGTATACATACATGGGTATACAGACAATACAGGGTATACATAGGTATACAGGGTATACATATACACAGGGTATACAGGGTATACAGGGTATACAGGGTATACAGGGTATACAGGGTATACAGGGTATACAGGACAGGGTATACAGGGTATACAGGGTATACAGGGTATACAGGGTATACAGGGTATACAGGGTATACAGGGTATACATGGGTATACAGGGTATACAGGGTATACATGGGTATACAGGGTATACAGGGTATACAGGGTATACAGGGTATACAGGGTATACATGGGTATACAGGGTATACATGGGTATACAGGGTATACAGGGTATACATGGGTATACAGGGTATACAGGGTATACAAGGGTATACATGGGTATACAGGGTATACAGGGTATATCAGGGTATACAGGGTATACATGGGTATACAGGGTATACATAGGTATACAGGGGTATACAGGGTATACAGGGTATACATAGGTATACTGGGTATACATGGGTATACAGGGTATACATAGGTATACAGGGTATACAGGGTATACATAGGTATACAGGGTATACAGGGTATACTGGGAGTACATGGGTATACAGGGTATACAGGGTATACAGGGTATACAGGGTATACAGGGTATACATAGGTATACAGGGTATACATGGGTATACAGGGTATACAGGGTATACAGAGTATACAGGGTATACATGGGTATACAGTGTATACAGGGTATACATAGGTATACAGGGTATACAGGGTATACAGGGTATACAGGGTATACAGGGTATACAGGGTATACAGGGTATACAGGGTATACAGGGTATACAGGGTATACAGGGGTATACAGGGTATACAGGGTATACATAGGTATACAGGGTATACAGGGTATACAGGGTATACAGGGTATACAGGGTATACAGGGTATACAGGGTATACAGGGTATACATAGGTATACAGGGTATACAGGGTATACATAGGTATACAGGGTATACAGGGTATACATAGGTATGCAGGGTATACAGGGTATACAGGGGTATACATACAGGGTATACAGGGTATACAGGGTATACAGGGTACAGGGTATACATGGGCATACAGGGTATACAGGGTATACATAGGTATACAGGGTATACAGGGTATACATAGGGTATACAGGGTATACAGGGTATACAGGGTATACAGGGTATACATGGGTATACAGGGTATACAGGGTATACAGGGTATACAGGGTATACAGGGTATACAGAGGGTATACAGGGTATACAGGGTATACATAGGTATACAGGGTATACAGGGTATACATAGGTATACAGGGTATACAGGGTATACAGCGTATACATAGGTATACAGGGTATACAGGGTATACAGGGTATACAGGGTATACAGGGTATACAGGGTATACAGGGTATACAGCGTATACATAGGTATACAGGGTATACAGGGTATACATAGGTATACAGGGTATACAGGCAGGGTATACAGGGTATACATAGGTATACAGGGGTATACATAGGTATACAGGGTATACAGGGTATACAGGGTATACATAAGGTATACAGGGTATACAGGGTATACAGGGTATACAGGGTATACAGGGTATACAGGGTACATAGGTATACAGGGTACAGGGTATACAGGGTATACAGGGTATACATGGGTATACAGGGTATACATAGGTATACAGGGTATACAGGGTATACATAGGTATACAGGGTATACATAGGTATACAGGGTATACAGGGTATACAGGGTATACATAGGTATACATGGTATACAGGGTATACAGGGTATACAGGGTATACAGGGTATACAGGGTATACAGGGTATACATAGGTATACAGGGTATACGGGGTATACATAGGTATACATGGTATACAGGGTATACAGGGTATACAGGGTATACAGGGTATACATAGGTATACAGGGTATACATGGGTATACAGGGTATACAGGGTATACAGGGTATACAGGGTATACATAGGTATACAGGGTATACATGGGTATACAGGGTATACAGGGTATACAGGGTATACAGGCATTACAGGGTATACAGGGTATACAGGGGGGTATACAGGGTATACAGGGTATACAGGGTATATACAGGGTATACAGGGTATACAGGGTATACAGAGTATACAGGGTATACAGGGTATACATAAGGTATACAGGGTATACAGGGTACAGGGTATACATAGGTATACAGGGTATACAGGGTATACATAGGTATAGGGGTATACAGGGTATACAGGGTATACAGGGTATACAGGGTATACAGGGGCATACAGGGTATACAGGGTATACAGGGTATACATAGGTATACAAGAGGTATACAGGGTATACATAGGTATACAGGGTATACAGGGTATACATAGGTATACAGGGTATACATAGGTATACAGGGTATACAGGGTATACAGGGTATACATATATAGTATACAGGGTATACATGGGTATACAGGGTATACAGGGTATACAGGGCATACAGGGTATACAGGCATACAGGTATACAGGGTATACAGGGTATACAGGGTATACATGGGTATACAGGTATACAGGGTATACACAGGGCATACAGGGTATACAGGGTATACAGGGTATACAGGGTATACAGGGGTATACAGGGTATACAGGGTATACATGGGTATACATGGGTATACAGGGTATACAGGGTATACAGAGTATACAGGGTATACAGGGTATACATAGGTATACAGGGTATACAGGGTATACATAGGTATACAGGGTATACAGGGTATACATAGGTATACAGGGTATACATAAGTATACAGGGTATACATGGGTATACAGGGTATACAGGGTATACAGAGTTTACAGGGTATACAGGGTATACATAGGTATACAGGGTATACAGGGTATACATAGGTATACAGGGTATACAGGGTATACATAAGTATACAGGGTATACATGGGTATACAGGGTATACAGGGTATACAGGGTATACAGAGTATACAGGGTATACAGGGTATACATAGGTATACAGGGTATACAGGGTATACATAGGTATACAGGGTATACAGGGTATACAGCGTATACATAGGTATACAGGGTATACAGGGTATACAGGTATACAGGGTATACAGGGTATACATAGGTATACAGGGTATACAGGGTATACAGGGTATACAGGGTATACAGGGAGATAAACAATCTATTACTATTACATGAAGGATATATCTATTTGGCGTAAGCGTAACATGAAAGAATAACCTATTGCACCAGCACGAAGCTGAAGTGTTGTCAATTGTAGAAGCAGCATTTTTTCATAATTTATTACCACAAAAACAGAATTTAGGATGCCTAAGAAATTTAAAGGGGTAAATACAAAAGCTGAAGAAGCTAGGTCACGTAAAGAGGCAGCAAAAGCAGCTGAAAGGGAGCGGAAGGAGAAGGAAGAAGAGGATAAATATTGGGAAGATAAAGACAAACATGTTATGAGAAAACAGCAAAGAAAGGTTAGTTTGTTGTCAGCTGTGTTTTTTAAATGTTACCTGCCTGAAGAAAATCTAGAGGACACGTCTTGCCTTGTTCTTGTTTCGGGAGACACGTAACATTAAGACTTAAAAGAGCCTGCCGGTCATATATAACAGAAGCTTAAATTTGAGCTCAAGATAAATTGCTGAAGATTAAAAAGTAAAAACGAAAATAGGGCTTTGACAATTCTAGTCATTAGCAATTACACGTAGATTTTACCAGTGTCAAATTCATTTAAATTAGAGCTGTATCACAAAGTTAAGCTCATGTATACAGCTATTTCGAGAAAGGTTGTCGGAAAAAGTGCACGCGACAATCCCGAAAGGTATTGTGGGTGGTTTTGAGTTCACTGTTGTTCAAAGAAATTTGGCACGAGAGACCATGGACGCATGTTTACGAGTGCTAAAGGAAAGCAACAAAAGTAGGTTCGACAGCTACTGTGTCAGGAACAGTGTATTGATCATATCCCATGTTACCTTTCGGGATTGTCGCGTGCACACTTTTTCCAACAACCTTTCTCGAAATAGCTGTATGACAGTTGCCCATTAGGTATACTGGCTGGAAGTCAAGAACAAGATTGAATTTGCCTGCCAAGCAAACAAGTTACTATGTATCTTCAAGCCCCTCACTACTTAAGCTCCAGGCCCCAAGTGTTCAAATGGTGAATGACACTATCCAACGGATAGCACAATGTCCCATAATACTTTTCCACTGGATAGTGATTTATCCAAAGGATGGCGCTATCCAGCTGGGCCTTGGCAAGCAGTTCTGTTGACGTTCTCCTTCCACCCTCCCCTCCCACCCAATTTAATTACATCCATTTTGAATTCACCCAATTTAATCATCCGACAACAGGATTTTAGACAGTATTGACGTCATTGATCCAGAAGTCAATTTTTTAAAAAATACTGTTAAACAGAAAAGATGATATTTAGGGCAACATGATGCAATTTAGAGCAAAAAGCAGTTAGATTCCTAAATACATCACACCTCTGAGACTCAGCCAATCAGATTGCAAGGATGACCAGTGATTTTAAACTGGATGTAATAAATTTAAGTATGTTTTTTCTTTTTTCTCACTAGGAGGATAAAGAGCGTAAACGTCTTGATGCAACACAACGCAAAGCAGCCAATCAGGAAGCTCTCAAGGCAGAGGAGAGTGACTTAAAGTCAAAAGCTAGCAGTATTCCTACAAAGGTGACAGTGGCTTCTATACAAGCTGAACGTGAAAGGAAGGCAGCACAAGCTGCTGCAGCTGCTGCTAAAAGCAAAAAAGAAGAGGAAGAGAAAGAAGACCTATTGGATGAAAATCCTAACCAGATGGTAGCTGCATTGATGGCAGCGGAAGGTGCTGTAGAAGCACGCTCTGTGGAAGATGCTATAGCTGTGTTAAAAGTTGCTGAAACACCTGTGGATAAACACCCAGAAAAGAGAATGAAAGCTGCTTATAATGCTTATGAAGAGCGTGAACTTCCTCTGCTTAAAGAAGAAAATCCTAACTTGCGGTTATCACAACTGAAACAATTACTCAAAAAAGAATGGATGAAATCCCCAGAAAACCCCATGAACATGTTATATGCAAAAAAGAAATAGTAAATAATAAAAACAGAACTTGTCTCTTTTATTACGGTTGTTATGATAATGCTCCAAGGATTGTCTCGTCACTAAGTCTACGAGAATGTGTTAAGACATTTTGTTAAAAAATTATGTTCACTTGACATTTCCATGTTTTATAGCTATGGAGGTGTTAATGTTAAACATGAACCGTAAGACATTAAAACAGTTTACCAGTGACTAGTTACTTTCTGTCGATGACTTATTTTTTCAACAACTCTAAACTGATTTTCCAACACCAGAGGAAATCTATATATCGGAAATGAATGCTACAGAAGAAAATGGAATCAAAATTCCATTGCACTGTCGAGTTCTGTGAACATCAGAAGACATTACACAAAAATAAAGGAGTGCTTAGAATTGAGTGTCACATTATTTTTTCCTCACAGCACAAGAAACTACCATTTCCTTTTGAACTGTTGAGAGACATGGGCATTTCTAAGCTTGACAGTGGTCAACTAAGCATAACTTGTTCTTACAGCAGTTACATCACACTTCCTGCATCTTAAAAGATTTAGCCTTAATTTGCTTATCTCTTCCATCTTTTATGGTTCACTTTTGCCTCTAGTGTTTCTCCAATTTACAGAACTAATATTTTGATCGCATTTGTATGTTGCAATATTACAACTTTAAATTTTGTGACAGATGTTCTCTAACATGTCAAAGCTGCTAAACAAAGTAATGAACAAAAACGTACTGTTTCCCACTAATTTGATAAAGAGAAAAGAGTCGGCTTCAACAGTCATTCTCAACTAAACTAAGAGCTTTCAGATATAAACTACACACAAACAGTCAGTTCACTTTACTTTATTGATTTCATAGAAAACTAAGACTATATTTTAGACGTCTTGACAAAGTGAAGTTGTTGATGAGAATAAGATAACATGCTTCCAAACTATGTTCAGAAAGGTTTCTTGATTTCTTATTGAAAAGCAAGGAAAGATTGGAACTATACTCGATATTTTAAGTAAAATAGATTTATTTTCTCCATAGCTTCTCTTTGCATTACTAAGTCTGAAAACATGGGTATCTTGTAATGACTTGAGGCAAATTATCACATCTGGCCTGACATGAGGGGGTCTGGAAACAGTTGAAGTGTTGTTCATCTATCAAAAACGACCAAAAATAAAGAAGACCCGCTTCTTCAGTAGGTCCATCTCTACCTCCTCTACACACTCTTCCAAGATGTGAAGCTCAATTTGGGGATGATGGAAAAAAGGACAGAGTGAACACTGGAAGAGATACATGTAATTCAGCTGCCCTCTCACCCCTTCTGGGCCCCTTAATATCTCCAGATAAGCAATCACAAGTAACTGCAAATGAAGTAAGGTCCAACTTGAGATTTCAAAACCAGTTATTAACATCAGAAACTATTCAACTAGCATCAGCAGATTAAAGTAATATGATTACTTTTATTTGCCCACAAAAAAGGGTCACTCTCCCAACTCCACATGATGGACATTTGGAGTTGGTCCCTGCCATTTCTCAGTCACATTCTTTGACTCTCTTTAAGGCAGACACCTCTACAAGATCAGGGGAGTACAAAGGGGAGGGAGGGTTCAAGGGGGTTCTGCTTTTGCACATGAGATTTCAAAATGTAAATGAAAATGTTACTGTGGTATTCTATACCTTTTAAGATGGCATATTTAACAAGAGCTTGTTTTCCAACGACTAGTACATGCACCCAAGCCTGTGAGCTACCATTTCAGACATTTTGCACTCCTCCTTGCCCCTTGAAAAAAGGCTGGGTACACCCCAGAGATGGACCCCTAGCACTGGTCCCAGCTGTGTCCATCATAAAGAGAAGAGAGAGTAAGAGTTCTGGCCAGATGTGACAAATCCTCTGTTCAATTAAAAATGATCAGCTATGTCCAAAGTAGTGTCATCTTTGTTCTGGGACACATAACATTACTCTGAAAATTATTGATCAATCCTCTGGATTATTAACTTAAATATTTGGAAGCTAAGCTTTTCCAGTGAGATTCACTATTAGCAGGGTCACTTTTTAAAATATTCATTTGTAGCACACTAACATGCTACAGGCTCTGTCCCATGAACTAAGTGAAGCAAGTGTTTATACTTAGCTCAGTGTTGACATTAAAGTTTTCAGCAAACAATACTATAATTTGAATGTATTGTTTGTTAATTTTCACTTTATTCTCTTTGATTGTCCAAGTCAGTGTCACATGAAGTCATCAAATTCATCACCGTAATCATAATTTCCTCCACCAAATGCATCCAAATCATCTTTTCTGCCAGCCTTGGCACTGGTGCCTGCTAAAGTTGCTTTCTTAGCAGACTTTTTACCTTTCTTGGCCTGCAAAAAAAAAAGTCAAAAAAGAATAACATTATCAGCGACAATACTTCTAATGACAAACAATCACCAACAAAATTAGTTGAGGTACTTTGCCATAAAGGACCTTTCAGACATTTGAACAACTTCAAAAGGATAAAATAAAGCTTTCCCTCCCTCATTCCCTCCATGTAATGTTGTGCCACTGTTCAAGCTACCTTTAAGAGAACAACAAACACCCCAACTTTGAATGGAGGGGAGAGGGGAGGGGTGCGGATTGTTTTGTTCTCTGAAGTTACCTTTTTTTAGTACAATGTCTTGGCAATTTTGTTGCTGATTGAAGGTAAACCATCATTATTTATTGAAGGTGTCATATGACAGTTTAAAGAACTGCGAAACCTGTGGCTAATTGGCAACAATTTCTAGATTTAATCCGGATTTAGAATGTCGGTTTTTGAGGAGAAGAGAAAGCCAGAGTACCCAAACAAACTGAACTTGCCAGAGCAAGGAAGAGAACCAACAACAAATTCAACACACATAAACTGTATGATGTTGTCGCTCAGTATTGAACCCAGGTCAAAAGTGGGGGAGGAAACTGCTCCCCTTTCTTATATTACTTTACCTTTTTCTATTATCAGATATATGGCTCACCTTTTGGGCTTTTAATTTCTCTGATGACAAAATATTTATTGCACTGCCTAATCTTTTAACATCCTCAGCTTCCACTGAAAGAAGAATAAAAACACATTTCATTTTCATTAATTTATCACCTACAGCAGGCTGTAACTGAACATTAAGGATAGAGATTGTATAAGATAAGTGAAATATATTCACACAAGTTTTACTCACAGCCAGCACATAAATCTCTAAACAGCATTTCCAAGAATGGAATATACTCTGTACAAGACTGAAAAAGAACAAAGAAAGTTAGTAAATAAATATCTTTTTTTCATTGGAGGGGTCAATTTAATAGAACTTTTACAAGTGTAACTGTTGTTTTCAGGCTCTAAAAAAAATATTTACTGTGTAAGATCGTGTTTGTCTCCTGGCCATGTTGTCATCCCTTTCCGAATGTTTTAGCAATTTTAAGCGAAAAATGACTCAATGATAGGCTGATGTACCAAAACGGCATTTCTAAATACCCTTCAGGACATTTAAATTGAAAGTTCAATGAAAAACTGGGAAATTCAAGTGATATATCAAAGACAACTACGTGAAAAAATTCAGAAGACTCGAAAACAACAGGTCAAACATGAAAATGAGGCGAAAAGCTGCCTTGAGAACGATTCCCTTCATGTAAGAGGCATTTTGTCCACGGTGTCATATGCACGGAATAATCAGTGCTTGTCAGATTAAGGGTTAAACATACTAATAGTTACCAATAGGCCTTTTGCATTAGTTGATCACATGATCAACGTTCAGTAAACATGAAAACAGTTTTCTTTTGACAAATTTTGTTAGCACGAGCAGAAAGAGTGTATTGAAATTAGGGAACCTGTAAATTTTCAGGTGTATATCTCATAAGAAGGATTTGTATGAGGAAAACAACTCTTACCACCCAGTCACGCTTGAGTGGTTTTCCATACAACTCCTTGTAAATTCTGACATTTTTAAACTATCATTAAATCTTTCCCTTATGCATTTAAGGGCTCAAAGTGCCTGTTACGAATGAAAAGGAGATTTGAGCCCTGTAATGCTTAAGGAAATATTTCACGACAGTTTGAAAATTTCAAAATTTACAAGGATTTGTATGGAAAACTATTCAAATGTGACTGGGTGACAAAAGTTGTTTTCCTCATACAAATCCTTCTAATTTTCGGTGACTGTTGCAATCACCCCTTTTGAGATATATGGCTGAAAATTTACAGGTTACCTAATTTTAAAATGTTCTTTCATCTCATGCTGACAAAATTGTTCAAAAGCTAACTGTTTTCGTTTTTACCAAAAGTTAATCACGTGATCAACAAATGCAAAATGCCTATTATTTCAACAAACAGTTTTTTAATGAGTGCTCTACGATAACAACAAGATATAAGATTCTCACGTAATCCTTACCTCATATTTTGTTAATTTTCCTACAATTAAGTCACTGAGTTGGACAAATTCTTCTCTTGAGCTAGGACTCATTGCATCTATACTTTTTGTGTCTACCGGTATATCATCCGTTACACCTAGGGATTAAACAAGTGATATCACTAACCTGCATTAATTCAATGTGGAAAACCTTGAAAGAAGAAAATAAGAAGGAGTAGAACATTTACATAACACAACAATGAATTACCCTTGTGCAAAAAGAGAAATTAACACTATTAGACATTAATAACAAACCAAAAGCTTGTTTTGCTAATTCCAAGTCTGATTCCTCCACCAATCTAAAAATGTTTAATCCAAAAGCAGAGTCAGTATTGCCTCGGATTCACCAATATCCACAATCTTGACTGAGCAAGCTTGGTCAATAAAGGAACTAATACTATCAATAGAGGAAAACTTAATCTTACAGAAAAAAAGAGGGAAATCCAGAGCAGGCAAGATAGATCCTTTATGCTTGCTTGGGTAGCCAATCATGATGATGTGGCAACTAACTTATCAGTAAATACCAATACCTCAGAAGTGTTGGCTAGTTAATACCATAACTGAACTAACAGATACCCCCTTGCCTATTATATATGCCCCCGGTCCCCTCTTCACTGTTTGTTGAGTTGGTATTAGACACACCTCCACCATTTGATAAAGTTGAGCTGGGTTGACTTGGCCACAAAGCAAACTTACTTTTGTCTTCTTAGCTTTTCAGCCATAAGTTCCTCTTCTGTTAAAGGTTTTTCCTCCTCCTAAAAAGAGAAATAAAGTCAATTATCACTTGAAAGCTACCTGCAAGAAGGTACATGTTTCGATTACCGGTAGGTAAACAGGAAAACATCTGTAAGTGGTAATGCAAAATTTGCCTGTTCCTTGTTTGAAAGCAAAATCACTGCTCTCTGGATACTCTGATAAATTTTGACTCAATCATATTCTTCAAATAACTAAAATATACATGTGTAAACTAGTATTAGCAAAAGATCTCACCTCATCCTGTAGTTTTTTATCCTGTTCACGTTTAAGGGCCTTTTCTCTAGCTTGTTCCTCTTTTTCTAGTATCTTCTGTTTGATTGTTTTCCTTTTCTTCACATTAGCTGCAGGAGCTATTTATGTTCCATTTGACATAGAAAGGATGAAAAACAAAAATCAATAAAAAAGAACTTCTTTAAACATTCACATAACAATATTTAGCATAATTAAATCACATGGCTCTATATAAACAGAGTATTCTTAAAGAAGTTCAATCACACACTCTTAATACTGACAGACTAAAATAAGTGTAAAAGCCAGAAATATTAATAGAGCCTTTGTTGCAAAGCAATTTTTTTAAAAAATGACATCCTCTTAAAGCTGTCTTTTTTGATAATTTTGACATAAAATATTGCATTACCATTTTTTCATGTGCTGTGTAAATAAGCACGTTTCCCTCTACGGACCTTCAAATCACCCAAATGCACTGAGATTTCTATTCATATGCCATACTGTCATCACATTGCTCTCATATATACATTCATGCCCCGAGACGTTTATTCAGACTTTCATTTTTTGCCCCTCCCTTCTCCCCTCAGTGACAAAACCCTGCATCTGCAGCACTTCTTCACACGCATTGAAATTATCTTCACCCATATCTTAGTATCCCCCTGGTATGCCATAGAGGTGTAGCATATCAATGAAAATTCTCACGAATTCAACACTATAAGTATCTACTTAACATAAATCTTGGTACCCCTTATGACCTACTTGTATTAGCTAATGGAAATTTTTTATTGGGGGCAGGGTTGCTTTGGTTGGGCTAACTTGCTTCCCCCAAGTCAAGTTATTTTGGCCTTGCTATGGTCCTAGTGTTAAAATCAGATCCTTTTACTCTGGTGTCTCCACAAACAGAATCCTCTGGTCCCAATTCATGAGGAACTACAGATGCATTCCTTTGGGATGATCCCAATCAGGATGAGTGATCAAAGTTCACTCAGATCATGGTACATCAAATGAACCAACGATTCTTTTCCCAAGGTGAATTTGTTGGTTTCTTTGGTTTGCTATAATTTAACTGAGTGATCTCAGATCATTGATCCCAATCTGCATCATCCCAATGGAAGTAATGTACCCTTGTTTTGCCCTACCCCCCTACATTAGCCCTGCTAATTGCAGGTAAAGCAGTTTTGTAAATTTTCTTTTAAATATACCGAAATAAACTTGCAACTTGACTTGAAACTTTTAAAAAAAATAGACTTACCTTGTGTAATTTTGTTAACTGTATTTTACAGACATGGTTCACATACATAGTCTCACTGCAATAATAATGGACCCATCATGTATATATTTTTGTCTAGGAAAAATTATTTTTGGACCACGTGTGTTGCGCCAGGCGACAAAAGCCGTACACTTCTTTTTTCTAGATTATTAATTATGCTGATTACAAGTAATTTTAGTAATTACTAAATACGAAGTCCTTCCTTACCGGATTCCGTTTGTGTTGAATCTGCTTTCTGTTCTGTGTCTTCCTCTTCATCGTCGTCCCAGTTATCCTAAGAATCAAACGTGTAATCAAGTCTTTCCTGTACTGGTGTACAGCTGAATAAATGAATGACAAAAATTTTTTATCGCCGATGCTAAAAGAAGTTATTATTACCTTCACATCCTTGTCATCTTCGTCTTCTCCTTCCCATTTGTCTGATTGTTTAACGCCAAACTCTTGCGGCTCAAAATCTTCGTCATCTTAAACGATTAAAAGGTAGAGAAAAGGAATCAGGCTAAAACTAAATAATCCTTGTGATGTTCCGGGCCATGTGCATCTTTACTCACCCCAATCCGCCATTTTGATTGTTATGTAGCACGCATTGGATTGTGGGAAGCTGATAAAACTGTTACGAAATCTAATCAATCCCTATAACCTTAGCGCTTCCAAATTTGGAAGCGCTCAGAATTTGAGGATGTCGACCCATGTAAAGGAATCCAGGACAGTCTTGGATTCTGGATTCCACGCTGTGGATTCCGGATTCCAGGTACTGCATTCAAGTGTTTGTCAGTGGAACTCGAATACTGGATTAAGTGGGATTCCGGATTCATTGAGTTGATTCCGGATTCCATAGCCTAGGACTGCGGATTCCACAAGCAAAATTTTCCCGGATTCCAGATTCCAAAAACACAAATTTCCAGATTCCTGAATCCGGATTCCTTTACATTGGGCAAGTTAAGACATGGGTTGTTCACCACAAATTCCCTGAAATTTCTGTTGGGATGTAAATGGTAAATGCTTTTTTGGTTCATCCCACAGGAAAATTCCTGGGACAAACAAAAATTCTGAAAAGGTAGTCCTGTTTTCCCGGTTGGGACGTTCCAAATGAAATTTGTTTCTCATTTGTGTGCTGAAGAGAAATAGAAGAAGAATGAAAGAAATACTAGAGATGGAATATTGGAACAATGCCCTTCTTAAGGGTACGATAATGGGTACGAACATTTCTGAAAAAGATCTGAAATATAAATAGAGCATAATTAACACCCTGTTTTCCCTCTTCACCCCAACACTAGAGTCGGGAATTGAGTGTTAACTTTTTTTATTTTATTTTATTTTTTTAAAGATTTGTCTGTAAACAGCTCCCCTGCTCCCTAGTGGGATGTCTTTTTTCGGGTGATTTATTAGAGGAGCAGAAACTGAGACAGTGCGCTCCTGGCAGGACCAGGTGGTCTAGGTAATCGGTTGCCTCATTACAAACAGCAGAAAATCAAATGAATAGAATTATTTTATTATGACATGAAATAAATGCACTTATTCTGGGACAGTGTAAGTATCAGTTGGTTTGCACTCTAAACTAAAACAGTGATATTTCTTGTTCTTGTTCCCATCATACTTCTTCACTTGTCTTCCTGTTATTTACCTATCTTTTCCATCTTGTCACCTTGATTGTAGATTAAGTGTGCTTAAGAAATGTTAAGTTGTTATTAACTTCTCCTTTGTTTTTTTAACCAAAATTACATAACTTTGATGACCTTTGACGAGATATTTGCCACTGAATTCTGAAGTTCAAAAGCCTACTGACGATTGCGTTTTTTGCTGCCGTCAATCATCTTAACGCACCTCTTAGGAAACAAAACTTTTAATACTTTAATGGTTCAAAAGGTCATTTGTGATTGGTGGATTTTGATCCATTTTCTGTTTGCAATCAGTTTCTTCAGCAGTTGTATCAGATATGTAAGTCTTTAAAGTCGTAAAGTACACGGTATTTGTTCATGTGCAGAGCAGTATCTGTATATACAGCCACAAATAGCAGAATACATGAAAATATTACTGTTGTCTTTTAAAAGTCTATACATCTTCCTTTTCTTTCCCAGTCTCCATATCTCGTTGGTTCTGGTCCTTTTGGCCCACCTTTCTCCCCTGTAACTGGGTTCACATCATCTGGAAACGGGGCGTAAGGATCGTCTTCAGCAGGCACCTCTTTTTCGTTAATGTCGCCATAATCTTTCTGAGACTTTTGTTGAGTTTCGGGAGCCTCGGTCATCTTCTTTGTATCCTCGCCATGAACACCTTGGCTGCAATAACGCCAGAAGGTGGTGTTTAAAAGTCTTTTGGATGTCGCTACATCAGAAAATAAGCTTTTGCCGTTCTTATTTCTAACAAATATACGTGTAAAGGGAACGACACGATTGCACAACAGCGCCGCCATGTTTACAGTGGATACCAGACTTCTTGGGTCCCTAGCTTCCGAGCTGAGCTGGTATCTAAGTAGAAATTGGCTTCGCTTTGTGGCGCGAAATCATTATTCTTCGCTTGTAAAGTTATATATTGTTTTGAGTTTATTTTCTACGTTATAGATGTTTTTTGCTTCTCTTGTTGCTTATGGTTTTCTTTTTTAAGTACCATGAACGACTTGGGTATGGCGAAACCTGTAGGGATTATGCCGAACCATCTCGATTTGAGGGAGATCACTTTCACAAATCTTTTGCTGTTGGATTTTAACCCAGCAGAAATGGAGTCCAAATACCGAGTGGTATTTAATCGGTAAGGTCAAGTTTAAGATAACTGTAGCATTATTAAAAGACCGTCAGTGTGTTCAACGATAACTTCTTCAACCGATGATTTATTCAAATGGTCAGAAAGCAGGATCCTGCTTTCTGACAAGTTGAAGATATCATCGGTTGAAGACGTCATTTGTTGATCGAGGCAGTGTAAACATTACGTACATACTTGCGAGTACGCTAAACAGGAAAGTGTTGTTTTCTTTTTCCTGTAAATGAAAACAGCAATTAGCATGGACGTATAACCGGTGTGAGCCTAATCTTCTGAAAACACTGAGGTCACACTGGATAGCTTTTTAAAAGCAAGCTTATAAAGGCTCAAAGCCTATGGGAAGAAATCAGGATTTACAAGGTTGTCATTACGAATTCTAGTAGCAGGAGAAAGATTTAACATAAAAAGTAGTCATAGGCTACCGATCATTAGCAAGAGAATTCAGCGTAGTAAACGGAGAATTCTTCCATCTCCACCCTGGATACGCTACATGGCTAAGTTCACATGCACTGGATGATCGCACCCTGCATTCACACAGTACTATTCAATATTTTTCCTCTCTTCACACAGAGCTCTGAACAGCTAAGCAGCTGTTTCCATGTGAACAGAACACCTAAACGTACGAATTTCAAACCAGTGAAAAATGCATCGTGATTTGTGAAGATAACCTTGCCTTGGGCTCCCTTGCCTCATCTTTTTTTGAAATGTTGCATTCCTAGGCGCCCTCAAGTTTCCTTCTTCCCTGTCAGCAGAGGCCTCTTTTCCCTGGTTTTGACCTCTGCTAGCAGGGGAAGTCTCCTTCTTGAGCAGTACCCAGATGCTCTACAAGATCATAGCTTTAGGCAAGACTAGTCAAGGTACAAAATAATGTACCATTTATTTTTTAAAGTAAGTGGGGATAATCAACTGTATAATTTGTGTAGGATGTACATGAAAAGCTATTCTCTGAGTACTCCTTTAATTATGTGGATATACAATGTAGCCTTCAGCAGCCATCAACCTCTTTGTGTATCTTTCTTTTCAGAGACATGTTTGCTTTGCCAAACAAGAAGGCCATGGAGGTTGTTATGCATTTTCTCTTTACCAGACTCCATCCTCAGCTGGCTTATGAAGAGTTCAGGTGTTATAAATTTAGTTGTTTGCAATCAATTGTCACAATACATTTGCCAAACTAGCCGTCATAACTAATCATGACCAAAGTAAGAACTAATTAAGGCAGACATGATTGTAATGTTATATTTGTGAATCAGAAAACCTAGTATGTTGGAAAGCCTCTATCAGGAGTTAATTGATTCTCAATAAAAGTTATTGTCAGCATTGTTTTATTTTTTCTTTCCTTCTTGAAAAACATTAATTTTTCTCATGAACACAGAGATTGCTGGCCTGTTCGAGATAAAGTGCTTGAGCAACAGTTTAGAAAAGTATGCTTCAGCTGGGTGTCCAGAATACAAAAGGTATTTTAATTTAGTATCTGCAAGTTGTAATTAGGTTGTTGTCATTGACCTGTCAAGTTGACTGGGTTTTTACAACCTGTGCAGTGCAAGATGTACTCCATCAAATATTTTGATCACAATACCATACAGCACATACAGTACAATGTACATGCTTATAACAAGTTCATGTACAAATACATTGTAGTCAAGGACCACAAGGTACATGTCATTTATATCATTAACATAATTGACAAATTCACATTGCCCTTCAAAAAAGTTCCTACATGTACATGTATATGTTTTGGTTCAATTTTATCTCTGGTACAAGTGTTATTTTCTTTTGTTTCTGGGTATGGTAATATATGATAATGAATTTGAAACAAAAGAAAAAAAATTAAACAAAGGATAAAATTAAACCACAACATAAATACTACAGACAAAGTAAATGAACTCATGCCTCATGCCTTGCTTTGCAAGTGATTGATTTGTTTATTCTGTAATAATAATTATTGTTATAGGAAGATCCAGAGGCAAGGTTACCCAGAATTGTTCAATCTCTCTTCCACTCTCCTGGAGGTACCAGCATAAGATTTATGTGCAGGGGTTTTGTAATCTAATTTTTGCTTAGACTGCATATATAGCTGTGGTGGTTCAATTTTATCCCCTGTTTAAATTTTATTTCCTTTTGTTTTTGGGTATGGTAATGTACGATAATGAGTTTGGAACAAAAGGAAATTAAGTTTAAACCAAGGACAAATTTGAACCACAACATAGCCACCTCTCATAATTTGTTGCACATCAATAACGTCTCTTTATTTTATAACTCATAGCAACACAAGCTAGTCAGTGTAATATTTTATTGTGAATGTATTAACTGATGAAGTGATACAATGTACGTGATTGTGATACTTCTGAAGTACATTTTTGAATGATGTATTTGATACTGGGCTGTCTTTAAGGGCTTGGCACTGGGGATTTCCCCCAGCTACTATGAGCAGGTCACTTGAATCTTAGAGACAGCCCGCCCAGGCCCTTGGTTTATTAAAGCACATGTATGCCTTTCTAAAGAAAAAACCTTCTTATGATTCTCTAATGTATCAAGCGTTAACTTACCTGACCCTGCACTGTGCAATGATATGCATTATATGAACAGTGTAAGCAGCACAGCAGCTACTAAATTGTTAACCTCCCAGTATAACATGTTTTTCTGTCCCTTCCTTTGATCAGGGTTTGCACAGTCTTGAAAGGTCTTTGAATTTTAGGGGAAGTCCTTGAAAAGTCCTTGATTTTCTTCAACTTTGAATGTAGTGGCCTCATTCAGAGAAGAGTTTTTTGATGCTTTTTGCTTGTCCAAGACAGATATGAATCATAGCCCATAGAATTTAAAGGTTATTTACACAAAGTGCTCAATGTTTTATGCAATAATTAACTATCAATTTAAGACAAGTGATCTGAAAAATGTAGAGAAGTTGGTGAAGCAAACATTTGAAGCCTTAAAGCCTTATTAGAACAGACTGGGAATGTGCATTTTTATAGAATCTGTGAAATTATACTCCTAGTAGGTGGTCCTTGAAAATCTAATGTAGTCCTTAAAAAGTCCTTGAAAAATGGTTGACATTTTTTGTGTGAACACCCAGTTGATGCTTATCCCCTTAAAATTTGTAAGAACCTGGTGATCCTGATACTGAATTTCCTTCTATACCTTGCACAGGAGATCGATTTTATGCCTTTCTTCATCATTTCTCATTGTATGTTCTGACAAAGGTCATGCACCGAGATCATGGTAGGTGTTGAACATAATTAAGTCTTATTTTTCTTTTGTACCTTTTGGTACTGCCATTTATTGTTTTAGAATAACATGGTAAAAGGTTGATAAATAGTTCAAAATTTTTTTCAAATGCCATAGCGGTGAGTCCATTATTGAAATATTAAATATAATTTCCTGTTTAATATGGCCTGTATGATCAAACATCCTTTTACTATCTGGATCAGCAAGGTTACTACAAAATGATAAATCATAAAGCTGATTGCTTATAAAGGCATCTCTGAGGAAAAAAAAAACTATCGAATATTTCTACAGTTGTATCATGATTATTTGCTTTTTTCTTGGCTTTTTCCCGTTAGGCAAAACAATCAGCATCCCTACATTTCCAACCAAGACTGTGCATAATCATTCCTTTACACAAGTCATGTCAAGAGCACTGGAGGCTCATTATATTGTTTTGAAAAAGAGGTAATCATTTTAAAAAATAAAGCCATCGAACAAAGGAATAGCTACAGGTATATTAAAATGCTTCATCCCTAATAGTAATAATGCCTTCAAATATAGTCTAATTTATTTAGTTAGTGATTGTTCTCAATAACATATTAAAACTTGTCTTTAATTCAATAAAAACTGTTTTAAAAAAAACCAAGCCAAACTTCCAAATAAATATTGTTTAAAATTATTTATGTTATTTTTGTAAAATGATTAAAAAATAATGTTTTCCACATTGCTAGTCTTGTGCATCTCACATGGGCAAATATATCATTGTTTTTCAGATTAAATAGGATTTTCTTTTTCTTCTTTTTACTGGATATTTTTGTCACTGTTGACTATTCATTGCTGAAACACAGAATAAATAAAAAATACTTGGTTTCACTGTAGGTATACATATAATCTGCTTTTTTCATTAGATTTCTCGAGTTTACACAACAAGCGGTGCAAGTTGAACATCACTGGAAAGAGTTTGCAATGTAAGTAAAGAGCAATTGAAAAAATTTTGATGTTTGAGGGAAGAAGGTACAGACAGTACGTAACATGCAGGTCTGTCATTAATGGCTGCAGGCCGTACATTTTACACGTACATGTATACCTAGTTGTTATGCAATAAATAGGGAAATCTTATGTCAGTGTTATGGTATGCTCTTAGGGAGTCCACAAAGGAATTCAGGTCTTTGATGAAAAAGAAGCGTGATCTTGAAAAACTTGTCATGGAAATGGATGGAATGATAGCACCTCGAGGAACAACCATTGGGTAAGAATAAACATGTTATCAGTAACCTTGTACCATGTACCATTTGCACTGATAGATTTAGTTACTGTAATCTGTAGAGTGAAGACAGACTATCAAGAAGAGGTCGAAGCACTGAAAAGGACTCAGGAGTTGCAAAAGGTATTAAGTTCTTCGCTAGGAATTGTTACTTTTCATTTTGTTGACTTCCCTTTTGTGCTTTCATTACAAGATTCTCAACCAAAACATAACTGTCCAAAAAAAGAAGAGCTTACAGAAACATAAAGTAATGCAAAATCATCTTAACAAGCTTGCTACTGCCAGTCTTTGTAGGTACTGACCTGTAGAACAACTCACATCAAGCCCAGGGCTCAAGACATGAGCTTGTTATCAGAGAAGTCTTGTCAAATCTGTTGACAAAAAAATCAAAACAAAGCAAAGTTAAATATAAGCACTACCCATTTTTCCCCCACTTTGATTGCATGGATAACACCTGAAAGCCTCATAAGCCTACTGATGGTGAAGTCTGATTAAGGTTACCATTTCGTGAACAAAGTGAGGTATATGGAGATGTAAAGCACAGTGCATTACCTTCATAGTGATCAGCAATTACACTGTGCACAAAATACTTGGCATGACTGTCACAAGGATCATCGTCAGGTTGAAATTACCTGCGAAACAATAGACTCCCTGGGTAGTTAGTTAGCAACTGCTCTAAATATCAGAGAACTCTTCATAGCTCTCTCATTCCTCTGTCCTCCTCCAATGCCTGTCCTTGAGGAGATACAGTGTAGTGACCAGGTTTGGCCAAAGTATTCCATAATCTTTTATTGCAAAGTCCCAAATAGGACTTCAACTCCTTGACACTTGTAGGACACTAAGCTTCATAATCACAACTGTCCTCTGCAGGAGGAGGTGAATGTTATTGTTGTCAATCCAGTGTCTAAGAAAAGTGAGGGCCCAGTGAAGGAAAGTAAAGTTGCATGATGATACTGTGTTCTTGAAAATGCCTAAAACCCTTCCCCAGATACACAGGGGAACACCCTGAATCAGAACATCATCCAAATGGCATATTGTGAACTTTATGCCGGGCCTGCAGAATCTGGTCCATAAATTCTCTGAAATGTGGCTGGTGCACTGGAGACTCCAAATGGCACCAAGTTTGTAGTGATGCAACCCCTTGTGAGTCTTAATGGTCAGGTACTCCTGGCCTGATTGATCTTTATCCAACTTGCTTAAGTTGGATGACGTTGCCCACATATACTCTAAATAACTGCTAAATACTTTTCCCTGGCTGATGTTGCAGCTAAATCTTCTGCATTAGGTAAAGAGCTAGTACTGATGAGAATCAACACACCAGAGTATTGTTAACAAACTAGTCACCACACTTGCAGCAAACCATCTTTCTTGGGGCTAACACCATCGAGAGAGCCCTCTCGTTTTGGCTTACTTTGTAACTGATCCTTTCATTTCCTCCAGTTTCCCTAACTCTTGCCCAACTTTTTCATTGAGTGCATATGCAGCTGGTCATGCTGATGGAATAGGTGAGGCAAGAGTGGATGACATCAAGACATGCTGAACTTTAAGCAAGCATGTGTCTTCCCAACACCTCCCTCCCTCTCCCCCAGAAAAAAATATTGTACATTAGTAGGTATGTAGATGTATTGTAATGAACATAATTTACAGACCAATGATTTTCATGTGTGTGTAATCTATAGGTTCGTGACTTATGGGCAGGGATTGCAGAATTTTACACAGTCCAGTCACCTCAGGTATGCCTTGCAGCTCGTATGATGTAGGATTTCGTTTTATGTTTGCATTCTAGCTCAGCTTTTTTCTTCCTGCTACTTTTCACATGGCTCAAATGGTCATGTGCCTGAATTAGTCCAATGTTGTTTGGAGAGTACAATCCAGTGGTGAGCACTAACGCAATATTGATTCTTCATTCAGGGAATGCAAGCAAGCATCAAAGCCACAACTATACTTACACTGTGCTTCACAGTTTTGTTTTCTCACCCCTGATTGGCTTTTTCTTCACTACACAATAACATTCCATAAATATTTCTGCTGTTCACACTTTATTTATGATAAGCTTTATGCTCATGCCAACTTTGTTTTAATATTATTGTTTTTTCAACTTAACAGAGAAGTATAGTAGACTCAGTGCTCCAAGGTGAAGCAAACAAGTATCAAATTGATGCTGCTGACTTTCAGCCAAGGGTAAGCGAAAAACATTATTATTGATAATCAATTTGGCCTCAATAGACTACTCTAGATACTTACCTTAATTGCCAATTTCTCAATATAAAATCTCATTTTTAATTGAAAGGAGAACCTGAATGGTATTCGTTGTCACAAAATGGTAAGGGCTGCCAATAATGTACTTTTCCCATTCTTTAAGGCTGGATGCAGCATTGCAGAGTTTGTACATGTAAGTTATGTCTGAACATTGGGCTGCTGGACCAATTTCTGTTAGTGTTGTCCTGTGGTTTCCTTTCTTCAAGTTTGCCTTTGCCCTCAGGTGTGACAATGCCCTGCCTACCTTAACAGTGGCTCACTTTCTAAAGAGTAAAGTGGCACAGTGCAGTGTGTGTCTCATATATACATTTATTAACTTGAGCGATGGATTATTTCCTGTTTTGTTATTTTCAGGTTCCAGACTTGCTGTTGAGAGATTGTGAAAGAGAAATAAAAAAGGTAAATGGTTTGTTATTCCACCTTCCTTTGCTAACTCCTTGAGTAACAGGAATATGTGTAAAGTTTGTGTTCATTTAGATATTTTACTTTTTCTTTTATTCATTCGCAGAAAAATATTGAAGACACTTATGTTAGTGGGAAAGTCAATCTGTTTAGGTGAGATGGAAGAATTTAGAGAATTAATTTGGTATTTGTTGAAGTCTTTAACAACTTGATTCCCTGATTTCCTTTCCCTGCAAACAGCCTCATTCAACTCTGGAACTTGTCCCTGAGTAAGATAAAGGAGCAGCTATCTCAAGGTTTGTCACAGTTGTTTTGGTTTATTTGTTTGTTGACGAGAAAATACCGTAGAACTTTCACATAGAGCCATTTGAATTGAACATTGGGCCATTGACAAACAAAAGTTGTGGAGGTTTATTTGATCCATTGCTGTGCCTTTTCAATGAAAGAAGGTGGAGTGGTTTATGTGATTAAGGTTGGTGGTTGTTGTTTTATTGTTTTATGTTTTCTTCTCAGATTCTCTTCCTGGCTTTGATGATCAGAGTCCAGTAATGAAATCAGCACTGCATACTCATTACGCTCATCTTACAAACACCACAGCTCTGAGGTAGGCATTCATCATCATCATCATTATCAATATTTTTACTAGTACAACCATGTACCTATATATTGGTAAATTTCAATAACACCTGCTATCACCTTTTCTCCCTTTTTTTGCCATGATTCAATGGTAAAAGCTTCTGTCTTCTCAGTTCTTTCCTGAGGTTAACCACAGATGCCAGCTTTTTTGTACTTTTAGTTGAATCAGTGCTGTCACTAATATTATTGTTATTATTATTAATATTTAAAATACATGGCAAAGTTGAATGGTTGCTAACAAAGATATGAAATTTTCTTACATTGTCAGCTATTATGTTTCTAAAAAGCAACTTAGCTCTGACTTCTAACTGCCCTTCATCAAAGTCCTGTTAATAATATTTTGATCCATAATTCATATTGTACTGTTAAAAGGATATAAAATTTAATCAAATTAGTTAAAACTAGGGTTGTTGTACCTGGCAGGAGGTGCATTTTCATAACATTCATAACATCATTTCCAAGGGCATTTCAGACAGGCGACTTATTGTCTTTTCATTTATTTTTTCAGGGAGGCAATCCAAGCGACAATGCCTTCAATGAAGGAATCAATCCATGAAATGAAGCAGCAGTGTTATAAGAGCTTTGAGAAGCAGGACAGTTCACATCATGAAGCACCTGTTGTATTTGTGAGTGAGAATGAGAAACTCTTCATCTCTGCACGTACATTCCTCAACTGTTTTCCCTCATCATTTAAAAGAGGACTCTGTAGACCAGATAAATTTTGTTCTAATGTACTTGCAAATGAATCTAGTATATGAATTACGTTGCTGTTGTGACTATTTCTTTTTAGTTGCCTTGCTGTTATTAATAAAGAGATTAAGAGTCAGGTTTACGACAAACGGCAAACGCCAGATTCAAGTTGAGAAATTCTCAGAATAGAAAATAAGCAGGTAAAAACTGTCCAGAACAATTCTTATGGATAAAACTGGCGTGAAACTACTTATTTTTGTGTAGAGGTAATAAACAGCAGACGACAGTTGAGGGGAAAACTTGGTCACGTGGTACAAACTCACGTTTGCCGTTTGGGGTAAACGTGAATCGTAATCTCTCTAATGTAATTTTTGGATTGTTAATTGCTAGATTATTCTTACAGCTGTATAAGGTAATATGATCGTTATGTACTGGGCAGAAAAACAAAAGAAAAGTTTGTTGATGATTTTGTTACTTGCACAACTTAACCAATCCCTCAGCGTAAAAGATGCATTATCACTCCGCATGTACTTTTTAAATGTTTCAGAAACTTGGCCTTGTTCCTCCTACTCCACCTGTGTCATTTGCAGCCGCTAAAACACCAGCAGCAGCAGAGAGAATTGCTTCATTTAATGAAACTCTCAGGATGTCACCAGAAACAGGTTTACAACACTTAGCACTCTTTTTCACTTCAGTTAACAAAAAAAATTCAGTGGTTTAGTTTTCAACAGATACTGTATTTATTTGTTAAATATGCTGAGTCTCTGATTGTTGAAATGTTAATTTAGTGTCAACCCCTGATGTCATTCAAGCATGGACCCAATCTTCCAAAAAAAACCAGTTGAGTGGTAAGGGTAGGTAACCCAACAAATTATTTGCTAGCGACTAACATGTCTTGTATTCTGTATTACCACCATTGTTTTAATCAGTCATTTTTTCTTGTATCAAGTTACCATTATCCTTTAGTTGGTGATTGAATCCTTTCTTTCTATTTTTTGTTTTGTTTTGTTTTGTTAGATTCCCAGGAATCTTTGGCAAAGCAAGCAAAGTATGTTACTATAATACCCTGCATTGTCTTTATCTACAATTTCCGCCATTATTTTATTTTTGACTTGAAAGCAGATAGTGGTAGAGATTTCTTTGCTAACATTGTTTCAATTTTGTTTTTGAGGATCAGAAATGCAGAGCCCTCAAGACTTCCACGACCGAAACGGCATGTACAACCAGCTTCCCAGGTACTCATTTGAAAATGCAAACAGTCAGTAACTGCGTCTTAAGATTGTGACAAAAACAATGAGATGAACTAAGATATCCACTCTACATGGCAAACAATTATCATCGCACAGTTCCTTACCTGACCAACTTCTATGATTTTTTGTTCACTCAATTATTTAATGTTCTTTTATTTGTCTTTCTGGTTTAGGGTGCAACTGCCAAACCGATTACCTCAAAGTCGACGCAAAAGAGGAAAACGAAACCAACTAAAAGTTACACTCAAAAAAGCGTCCTGTACCCGGTATGCGTTAACATTCTATCTTCACCATTTGTTAACTCTCGAAAGTTATGCTAGGAGTTTCCAACAATGGGTGGGTAAACTGGCATACAGCAAGGTCTCTTATTAAACAAGAAAATCAAGTAAAGAGATACTATAGTTTGCTTTTGATTGATTGTTCCCTTTTTTTCTGTACACGTATAAAGCACTATGTCACCCCAAGAGGTCAGGAGGTAAAGAAAGGGATGGCTAAGGAATCCCCATTAATTCTTCAACCGCAAACAATTTTAGCAAATCAGGTGAGTAACTACGCTCAGTCTCTAACCGGCTCGGGTGTCTCGATGCGCCCCGGGTGTGCCGCGGGAGTACTGCGGGCGTATCAAGACACCCAAGGCTGGAGACTGTAACTGGTTTTGTCTTTTTTTTACTGATTATCCCTTGATGTTATCTTTTTTGGTAGCCTGATGTCCCAGCCGTTAATCCTAAATGTCAGGATTCTTCAATGAATTCAATCAAACATTTTACATTCAATAACGTTTCCTGTCATGTTTTGAGAGAGCCATTTAATTTTAAGTATATGTTTTACATGATCGTTTAACCCATATCCCTATGTGTTATTTGCCATTACAGATAGCAGACGCCGTTGCCATGGATGAGACAACTTCCAGTTCACTGTCATCCACGACTTCTTCATCTAGAGCCAGTACTCCCATTGTATGATATTTATTGATTTATTTTTACAACCAAACTCCTCGAATTAGCAAAAGCCTAAGATTCATTCGTTCACTTAAATAGATACGCTTTTTTGTTTGCGATGTGTCAAAAACAACACACGCGAATGTTTCTTCCCCTGCTATAATAATATAGTGGCTTGTCTCCAATCGCTACATATAATACTCTTCTACCTCCTCCACTCTCACAGGTGGCTCAAGCATTAGTGGACCCTGTTGGTGCCTTAGGTACGTTTCATTCTTGTTATCTTCCAAGTCCTACATCAAAATAGAGGGAACTTCACTTTATTGCACATTTGTTTTGTTGTTGTTTTTGTTTTTTCTTTACAGCAACTGTGGAACAGTTACAGTTTCATATTTGGGTAAAATGTGATCACCAACTGATACAATCCTGTCGACAGAGATAGAAACTCCTTTCACATATAGTTCGTACAATGTTGAATAGGTCTTGAATTCTAATAGTCGTCTTGAAAAATCCTTGAATTCGGTTAAGGTCCTTGAAAAGTACTCGATTTCTTCATAAGGTCTTAAATAGTCCTTGAAATTCACTACTTTAGTTTGTTTACGCCACCTCGTTTTCTGTGAAAGAAGATTATTTTGCAGAGGAAAATTTAGCTCATCCTCGGTTTAAGAGCCTGTAAAACTCACGGGTAACGCAAAGCGTTTCTGTGCATGAACGATCTTATTTTTCAGATGCAACTGCAAGTCATACCCAGTGACTGTTGTCGTTTTCCAAAGCATGGTGTTACGGAAAGTAGTATAAAATAATGTGATCAAATATGGCTGAAGAAGTAAAAAATCGTTATTGACCCCATTGAGTCTTTAACCCAATCAAAAGGGAGTCAAAGAATGCCGATTTATTGAATTTATCTTAGTTCTTGAAACCTGTGATTTGTCCTTGAAAGGGTCCTTGAATTTTGTTTGTTTGAAGTTGTACGAACCATGTTCACACCAAAGGCCAATTTAGAGACTTTTATTATCGTCTCGTTGCGGCTATTATTATTCACGTACAAACGTTCCTACACATTTCAGCACAAGATGCTTTTCAGTCTCGAGACCTGATACCAAGAACTCCAGCGAAACAGGAAGAAGGTTAGTATCTGATGGACTTTCAGACTTTATCCGGTATTTTACAAAACAACCGCAAACCTTGTCTACTGTTAGCAGTCTGTAGGCATATATGGCAGACTAGAAAACGTTTAACCACTTCGAGTAACTCATTCAGAAACAGATCTGGATGTCCACCGATTGTCTGAAACCACGGTCTATGTTAGACTCTGTTTTAATAACCAGATCATAAAGTATTTGGTTCTAAGTTAACTCATTTATACTATACGACTGCCTTTAAGATTACAATTTAAAGCAGTTCTCGTTTTATCGCTCTTTTTTTGTCTTTTAGAAGCGACCTTCACGAAACCTATCAGTGAAAACAAATCTGGGCGCCTTTTGGAAACAATCCTTGATGATTCTCAGTCAGGAGTAGCTACTCCAAGTCCAATTTTTGAGGAAAATTCAACAGTTCCATCCTCCCAAGCTGACCTAAGTTGGTCTGACATCAACATCACTCCAAGGTTACTTAAAACCTCGTACGTTCAAGAGTCGCCTCCAGAGCGTGATTCCTTGCCAGTGAGTGTAAGAACAGCTTTTGACCTGTCTGGTGTGAAGCGAACCCCTGGTGTAGCTCCTGAAGAGACGGTTAATGAACATGAGTCTTTTAATCTCTCATTCATCCGAGCTACTCCAAGGTCAGTCAAAAAATCACTCTTTGATGATTCGCCCCACCCACCGGAAATGATGACGTCACAACAACAAGCTACTCTCAGTCAGGTATTTACACAGCAAATACCACAATCATCCAGTTTACCGCTTGACATTGGTGCGTCACCTAAACTTGACTTTTGGCTGCTTCGTCAAAACGGAGACAACATTCAAGTGACACCTAACTCGAAAAAAACAGAACTTTTCGATGGATCGCCAACAGAGAACAGCAATTCGCCATTTGAAGATCTTAAATTTCTTAACATTTCTGGTGCGCAGTCCAGACCTCAAGAGGATAAAGATACGTTGGAGATGAAACCGCCTAAGGCGAAACCTTCTCAATTGGAAATCGGCTTCAGCCTTGCCTCTCCGGCTAGCAAACCGTCACCAGTTAGGAGTCCACTTCATCCCCGCCGCACCACTCCAGAGATGATAGGAGTTTCTAATTCAAGTCATCATAAGCTTGATACAACAGAGTTGACTGAAAGGCTTAACCGGATCAAACACCCACCATCAAATAACGACGCTTTAGAACTACAACACTATGAATCTCTTAATCATTCTGTCGCCAGATCCCCAAACACTGTTGTGAGTGGGGGAACGCCTACACATCACTCTAATTCAGTACATGAAATGGTCTCCGGATCTTCTGGTATATGTCTTACTCCCACAACCACCAGTGTCACAAAACCAGCTCTACAGCATAACGTTCTCTCAGAGCAGCGTGACACACCCGTCGCTCCCTTGGATGTAAAACCCCCAACCAAGCTGAGCACAGGTAGTAAAAACCATGTACTATCATCGTCAAATGACGTTGACACCTCTGCGCTTATCCAGAGACTCAACAGAATAAAATTAACTCAGCAATCCGCTTTTTCCACACCACACTACACACCCTTGAGACTACCTGAGGTCTGTGCAGAGGACAGCTTGCCAAGGGAAGAAAATGCTGCGGAAACGCCTTCAGACGCGTCACTTCTAGCCAGCAGACTGGACCAAATAAAACAGGCGCAAAAAAGCCAACAGGTAACTGCTTTTGTCGGGCTTCTGTCATATAACTCTCTACAAGGTACGCATTTAGACCTGGTTCCCATCGTCTTGCGACATTAGTAATTGGCACTATGGGAGAGGTGTAGTCAGTAATAATTATGATCATTAAAAGTAGTAATATAACTTAAAAGTAGTCCCGCCCTTGAAGGAAGGCCTGGTGTACAGGCTGTTTTCCCAATATCAGGTACCCCGACAGGTAGTGACCTAGCATGGCTTCTTTCATTTCAGGTTATTTCTATTATGGGTAAGAGAAAGCTTTCACGTTTGTTTTCCACGCTTGTTTTATGTTGGATCGTTTCAGAAAATCAAGAGAGTATAATACTACACATGTTTGTTGTTATAGGTCACACCTGGAGCAATCACTGGCGAGGACTTGAGTACCAGTCGCACAAGTGAGCCCGCTCTTCTAACACCGCTGACACCAAGTAGTGGGGCCTCACCTTCAGAGGATGGTATTAAGAATGAGCTGGTCAATTTCTCATTTAACTCACCTCGAAACGTGACAAGCCCGCCTGGTTCGCCATCTTCCTACCTCGATCGAAATTTCTTTTTGCAATCACCATTCAAACACGACCAGGCGTTTACCAGTCCTTTGCATGGAAACTCAACCATTTCGATGGACATCGGTGTAGGCCTTGGGCTTGTTGAAGAACCGCAGTGGGAGGCAGCCACCCCAAGCCTACCGCAGCGACTTGCAGCTAGGACGGGTCCCGCTTCAGCAGGAAAGACCTCTTCTGTACCCACTACAAGTAATAATGGACTGCATAGTGTAGTGATGCACACTACATTATCAACCCCTCTTCTGGTAAATTCTGTTCAGCGACCAGAGCGAATAACATGGGTGACTGGATCAACTCACACTCCTGCAAGCTTAGTTGGCTTATCGGGAGAAGGTAGGTACATTAGGTCTTTGGTCTTACTACCCGGTCAAAACCCTCTATGAGCAAGTTTTGGTCGTGTTTTATTGTCCGTATTCCGGAATAGTAATCGGCGGAGTGAAATCCAGAAATCACTTGTTTGGGCATTCAATGCATCGTACCATCTAGAAACCTTGTTGGAAGATCACGGTATATAAAGAGATTTGTTAGAAAACCTTTGCGTATTCTTATGAATACTGGCAATCATTGGAAAGCTGTCTAAGTTATGCTCCGTGCAGATGATTGTGGGATATTTTCGCTCCTCTCTTGCTCTGTGGTTTTCCTTGTTGTTCAGTCGGCGTTGTTTAACTTTCGCCCCTAAAACTTATCCGGCTGTGTTCACAACCATGAGGTGAATTCTTCGGCGGCGAACCATTTAGTCAGCTTTGCGTTTGGTTTGATCCAAGTTATGTCTCTGTAAATCTTATTACCTCGAGAGACGTGAAAGCAAGAGAAATCTCGTTGAAAGATTTCCCTCGTGAAAGCGGGACCTCAAAATTACTTTCAAAATTGGCAACCGCGGGACTATTTTGTCGCTGCCGGAATATTAATGCAAGTGAGTGATATACCACTCAACCCTGGTTCGGTAAACCACACTAAGCGACCTTTGACTTTGTGTTCACTTTGTCCTAAGACGAAGCATCATGTCAAGCTTCATGTCAAGCTTCATGTCAAGCTTCATGTCAAGCATGCAATGGTCTTTTTCACTTAAAATGTATGGGATTGCTCTAGCTACGTTCTCATGTCTCTTTCTACATTCTTTTTGTACATGCACTTATTATTATTATTATTATTATTATTATTATTATTATTATTATTACAAGGATGCTTCGTCTTTCTCTTCAGACAGACAGAATTTATCACCGCGCCTTAATTTGACGTCACCGTTTTCCTATAAAGGTAAGAATATTAATGTTACGTCCGGAGAAACTACCTTCCAACAATCTACGGAGCGATTTTGCAGCCTCTTGATCGAAGCTAGTATGTAAAAAGACAGTGACGATCACTGAAGAAGAGATCAGGGCTGTTTTCCAACGTTTTGGTGGAACTTCGCAAATTGCGTTGGTGGACGAGAATTTTTTTTTGTGGGGGGGGGGTGGTGGCGAGTGGAGGGTGGAGGGTGTGTCGCTTTAATTTCCTTTGGTTTGAAATGTCATCCCCTCTCTCGCTTTAATTCCCTATAATGTGGAAGCTGCCCGTTTAAAGTTATATACAGTTCTATTGTTTCATAAAGATCTTGAAATTAAACTCCTGTCCTCTTTCCATTACTTTTTTTCTTTTAGGAAGCATGCCTTCCTCATTGCAAGATGTTCCTAAGTCGCCTGTGATTGGTCAGTTAATAGACTTGGAGTAGTGAGTTCCTGGTCATAGAAAGATACAGTGAAAAATAGCCGATCAAAAAATGAGGAAAACGTTGATAAGTGCTTTTTAGTACTAACATATTGGAAGGAGGAAAATATGATAAGGGAATTGGGTTTTATCCTTATGATGTTAGCGTGTATAATAAGCTGTAGGGACGGTTAATGAAAATTGTAACTGTATCTTTGGCACAAGTAAGTACTGCAATATAAAGAAACAATTCCAGACAACGTTTGATGGCATATTTTCTTGATCCTTATCTAGATAACCTTGTCTAGATCATTTTTATTATATGATATTTTGTCGCTAGTTTCTGCCATTATGCAAAGCAGGACTTGCTTCAAGAAATAATAGGTTGTGAGGCAATTAAAAAGAACAAAACAAAAGAATGTTATTGCTAGACCACCTAAAACGACACAAAAGTTGAAGATCTTTTAGTTGACCTTCCCTTTATTGGTATCGTTGAAAGTTCGTTGTCCCAAAAAGATCACTCGTCGATTAAATCCAAAGTTAAAACCCAGGGTTTTCTCCTGCCTGAAATTTAGCCCTGAGAAAAATAAAAGCAAAAATACAACATAGGATTTATGCAAAGTTCATTTGTCAGTTTCATTAGACCGAGAAACAGCATCACTTCTACGTCATCGTTCTTTAGTTTTTTGTCTGCGTACATTAACGACTATTACTTTAAATCCTGAGTTATTATTGTTGACTGTCAACAATGGACTCTTTTTCTTTGTTGTTCAGTGGACAGGCTAAAGAGACATGAGATGCGTCTGCAGCTCGTGCAAAGTGAAGATTTTCCCCGTCCACACTGAATGACTTGACACAGCCTTGAAATCCGGTCCAAACGGTATTGTTTTCTCCCGACGTAGTAGCTGCAGGAAAGACAATCACCAACTGAATAAAACCTCAAAGATCTCTCTCTTTCGTTTTGCCCTGTTGTTCTCGTATTCCTGAGAAAACTTACTTTATTATTTTGAGTTTAACCTAAATTTTGCTTATTTCTGGCGATCAGAGGAGCCCGCAATCCTGACCTCATGGTTGCTATTACGCATGCGCGGCACGTATGTAGCCAGCGTTCGTTTGGGCTTTTTACTTATAATGAACGAAATGAACAGAACGCGATCTGATCATGCGCGTTTGGACCTTCAATCACTCGTAATCTGGTCACTCGCGTTTTGCGCTCCTATCGCGTGAAACGTACACAAAGCAACGTTGCAGCAAGAGCGTTTTGTTGACCTTCCATCGATCTCGCACGCACTCCCTAATATTTTTTTATAACTTTGAAAGGTTTGTAAATATTTTACCTGGAAATCCACCCAGAAATAGTTTCCCGTTTATGCTGGTACCATCTAACACTGTACCGCTAGCGTAATGGCCGTCATCCATGTTTATGGTTATGTTCCTTCCATGTTTCCTTACTCTCACGGTGTGCCAGTCCATCTGGCACATCAGGTATGACGACTGGCTATTGTTTCCAAGGCCAGGTTCAGTCCACACAACTCGTGATTCATTGATCGTAGCGATATAAGTGAAAATTATCTAAAAAGGATGAACACGTTTTGCCCTCAGTTGTCATCATTCACTACAATGATCGGAGGGTGCCATAAATTTTGGCAACTAACTCTCTTGTCTGATCTCGTAGCTCAGCCGGTAAGAAAGATGGAAGTCGTCAGTTCTAAGCTCAGGGTCAAGGATTCCCGACATACTTCTTATCACCTTACCAGGACACGTGCAGCTTCTGTCGCGCTTAAAGGAGAGCGGAGAAATTACAATTTACGATTTGACTTCATTTTATCGTCTACACACAAAAGAGTGTTTTAACAATGACTACAACACAGCAGCGAAAACGCCTCTAAAAGTGAATTGGTGTTACTTTTCCAAACTCCATCGCGATGATTTCAACTGACTTACAGGGTGGGTTAATTTTCCTGTAGCTCAATTCTTGGGGACCGCATACAAGTATAGAAAACACGAAAAACTCGAAAAAGTTGTTTCGTTTTAAAACGTTTTGCGTTTTTTACTTACTTCTCTTTGCGGTCGCGTCGTTCTTGCTAAAAATCTGTTGCACAGAGATTTAGTAACAACAACAACACAAACGTGTCTAAAATGAATTCGCGCTGTTTCAAACTTTATCGTGATCAGTCCTTGTTCAGTATTAAAGTCAACTGTTGGTGAAGTCAGGAGAGAGGAAAAAAACATGGTCTTCTTGTGTTTGCGTCCTCTCTCAAACTTGGATTCTGAATGTGTTAGGTTCCACATCCTTTCTTTACACGTTTAGTGGAACAAAATTCAGAACTATTTGTATTTCATGCATCTTATAATACCTGTCCGCTTGACTGTTCCAGGCGTGCTTGCATCTGGTTACCTAAAGTGGACAAAAGAGCAAAGCAACAGCCATCGTCGATAGTGACAGTGCCCGCCGGTATTAGTGGGAAACAGTCAAATTGTGGTACTGTTGGTGGTTGAGTGGGGCGGGGGGAGGGAAAAAACAATAGAATTGAGGAAGAAGAGGACAGCACTGTTTATTATAAATGAAGGTGGTTTGCTTTTCTCTTTTTAATAAATTGAGGCAAAAATTAAGACTTGCCTCACTACGTAATGGTTTCATCCACAGCCCTATCACGTCATCGACGCTAGCGTATTTCTGCGCGCTCATAAATAACTCACGCACATGCGTTCTCTATTCTTTATCTGCTGACTGCGTATTAAGCAGAGCTTCGGGCATCTAATCAACTCACCTGCTTCAGTTGTGGAGTTACCGAGTATCACAAAGAGTAGACCGTCACGAGTTGAAGTCCGGAAGGTCAATTCAACGCTAAAGTTTTCACCTAACGTGATGTTCTCTAGAAAAAAAATGCAAAAAAATTTCGTCCGGTAACGTTTTGTTATTATGGTGTTTTCCCCTTGTTTCCTCGGATTGTGGCATTAATTTTTGGAATAGTTCTGTTGTACAGATACTATAACTACAGTCATACCGTGTCCAGTACAGAAGGGTGTTCAGTTAGTTAAGCACGCTTGTCCTAACAATGTGGTATGATTTATAAACGATAGTTGGTCTGGATTGGTATTGGTCTTTATTGTTTTTCGTCAAGCTATAGGTCGTAAGACTTTTCCTAGTTCACGTAAAAGCGGGGCTGGAAAATAGTTAACCAGGAATGATGAAAGAATCATGTTTTCGTACCGAATCTTGCCCACGCCGAACCATTGAAGCCAAGACCTGGTTGGGCCACATCATAGCATGAGTCACTGCTCTTATCAGGTCCTTTTATGTCAAAGTTGGTTATATCAAACAACGCTGCGTTACCCTTAACCTCCATATCACCCATACATCCCACGAAGCCAAGGTACCTAAAAACATGAAGCCAAACACAAAACAATTTCTGATTAACTGATATGTATTGTCTCTATTATGGTATACTGACGAGCCACCAGGTTACTCTATGGGCAGGAGAACTGTCTAAAGTCACAAATCCGAACAGTTCTCCGTGCCTTTAGTAAAAGCTAAGGCACCTAAGAAAATGATAACAATAACTCATCACTTGTATAGCGCAAAATTCATTAGGATATGATCGAATGCGCTTTATAATTATGCTAAATTAAACATAAAACGAACTGTTTTTGTAACTAACACTTGTAATACAAAACTAAAATAGTCGTTAAAAATAAAACTCTTAAAAATAATTAAAATTTCGAAATGTAGGGCAAATAAACACGTAAATACAGAGTGGTCAACCAGCCATTATTTCTTGTCAGTTTCATCATCGACCCTGGAACTGCTTACGTGCATTGCAACAAAAGTGTCTTATAAAGGACGTGTTAAAGGCAAAAGAACTTCTGGCAAGTTGTTCTCAATATGTTACCAAGCTATTGGGAGGGTCTGAACCCCCTTCTAACCCATAAGAAAAAAACCCTACCCTCAAATCAATACACCTGAAAAGGCCGATAAAGCCTGTGTAGCAGATCCACCCCTGAGGTTTAAAATGTTTTAAATGATTTGCAAAAGTTCTTAACCTACCTGTTAGTAAGATGTGGTGCAAAAACATGACTTGGTAGTCCACCTATATAAAGCCGAGTAAGGTTCATGGCATTGCTAGGCGGAACATGTCCGCCGTTTGTATATTCTCTGAGATTTACCAATATAGCTCCAAAATGAAACCATCGTAGGATATATACCTGAAATGAATTATACAACATTAACACTTGCAAGGACCCGTTTGCCTCTATGTTTCTTCATTAAGTCTTTTCTGCTGATCCGCCTTTTCCATGTACTAGGGCAATTGACTACTATACTGATCCGGCGACTGTATTCATTGGATTATAGACGGTTTTAAATACAGCCATCTCGAATAATTAGGGAATGGAACATTTTGTGATGTAATGGCCGCCGGTTTAAAGAATTTTCGGCTTTTTGATTGGTACTTACAGTTCACCTAAAGTATACTTCTTATTTGCATAAATTTGTCTAGCTTAGCGACCAGTGCTACTCTAAATTCTAATTGTTGTATACATGAAGTGACCGATGAAGTGACGAGTAAGTGACAGAAATTGCTTGACCTCTTTCGATTTTCGAAGTTGTACTATTAATGAAAGCCCACATACCCTGTACCAGACACCTTTACCAGAGTACTTGTCTTTAGTAGTTATTGATACCAGCCCTCTACCGGAGTCAAATTTGTAAACTAATCGACCACGCACGAGCTCCAGTGAAAAGAACTGAGTTGGATGTGTGTCATTATCAGTACCGTACAGAAGAAGGCCGTCATAAGAAAGAGCTCGGAAGTACAAGCCAACTACAAAACTGAAAAACATTAAAACTACAATAAGTGCAAGATATTTTGTTTGTTTGCATCACTATGCACGAGAAATCATTAGTACCTAGAAATCAAATTGAAAGTTTTAACGGCGAAAAAATTTGTTAGTGATAATTAACCTAACTTTTAAGTCTAAACATCGACGAAGACATCAGAAGGTGTAGTTATTTATCATTTCAAATTGTTTGTTAGGTTTCTCTACGACTTTGTCACTACCCTACGAGCACACTATCTTGGCAAAGCAAGGGATGAGGGGTCTAGGGAATTTTAGCATGAACAGCTTCCTTCATCATTGAGGCTTAGATAGACAAAGTTTGTCCTTGAGATCCACCTGGTCTGATATGTTTGCACTTTGACATCGAAGCTGAGACTAAATTAGCTTCCATGACAGATAGTAGCCGCCGGGTTTCAAATCATCGTCTAAATAAAAAATCTGCGAAAATTAGTAAGAGTTGAATATAGCAAATTCATTTACTCGGAACTGAACACGGCATTTCGTTCGCCAGTCAAGTTGAATCCAATGTAGCTCTGTCTTTTGCTTTCCAAGAGACCAAAGTGCACTGTTTTAGGATTGTTGGATGAGGTCGATGGATCAAGTGAGGCACTGCATGTCTTAGGAACAGGAGGAGGTACTCGGGCAGGAATTACTCCAGCGCTCGATACACCGATAGTGCGTCCGGAGAAAAAACTGACATTGCTAAAGAAAGCAAACAGAAAATGCAAATTTCAGTAATTAAAATTATTCTCATAATTACAAACTAACTAGTAATCAATGAAAACGCGTGCAATGTAGCGCTATAAATACCAAAAAGATGCACTGTACCGTTATGCTTTAAATCGACCTGCTATGTAAGCAACTTTTTCTTTAACGTCGATGAGGTCATAGGGTGGTCAATGAAATACACGCCAATTTGTATGTCATGAAATATTTGAAGTTCAGGATAGATATGCTGACCTAAACACGATAATCTCCGATTTTAAAAAATATTAGCCCCCGCTTATCTAAATAGCTGCCTCGATTTTCTTATCTCAATTTCTCTCGTGACTGACCTTTTTTATTATAAATATGGTACTTTTTCACTTCAACTATTCGTAATAAATCTTAAGCCGTCTACACACCACCTGCCTCGATTAGCCTTGCTATTTGCAGGTGGTGTGATATTAGTATATTTAATGTAAGAAATAAAGATGTTGTTGTTGTTGTTGTTTTTTTTTTTTTTGGTCTGGTGGTGGTTGAATTGAAGTGCAGTGGAACTGGAACGATTGAACTTATGGAAAGAAATTCAGTTTAGTTAATTAGATAAAGGTTCAGTGAGACATGTGAGTTGACACGCGAGTGGATTCATTTGTCGCATAGCTGTCGTATTTTTGTTGAAATTTTTTATTTTATAGATTAAAAACAATTAAAACTCAACAGCCAATCTTGACAACGATTAGTGAATGCTGCAAATAAAACCACCCAAAATAGGAGCAAACGGTCCCTACAATACTACTCATTGTTTCTTAACCAAAATAAAAAAGCAGGTGCTTTGTAAGTTAAGGCAACTTAAAAAATTATCTTGTTTAGTTTACCGTGAATTAATAACTAAGTCTTTCATTCCTCCTTGAAAGCAAAGTGCAAATGGAACATAAACAGACATGTTTCTTGGTACACCACCCATGTAGAAAGGCTTACGAAGAGTCAACGTCGACCCGGGAACGTTCCAGACACCAGAATAAAGAAACGTATCATTCACATATAGCAGGTATCTATTAAAAAGAGATATCTGTGTTAAGACAACTTTGACACAAGAATGAGACACAAATTGTGTGTTACAACATGATTATTCTTTCATAATTCCCTTTTAAAATCACATTTCATTTTGATGCGTTATTTATTTTATCCGAAAACAAAGTTGATGTCAACCTACCTATTTTCCACAGCGGTAAGACGGAGGACATACCAGGAATTATCAGAGAAGGTGATATTTGACGAAGAAAATACCGCAGGGGATTTAAGATCACCCAGCCATAGCAGTAAGTCTCCGTGTAGTAATGTTAAATATAGCGTTGGTGAATCCTGTAAATACAAAACATATTTGATAACTAGTGGTGTCCATGGAAATGATAAACAATCCATGACAAGGTAATTGGACATAGCTGTTCTTATGATGGTAAGGTGTCGGGTTATATAATCATATCGCCCGCTGACTGCTTCATCTTAGTTTCCCACACATAACTCCTGTATGTAAAAATTTGTTGCATTTGGACTGGCAGGATATTCGGAATAAACTTTTGTTTTCGTCACTCATCTCTTTGTCTACTCTTTTTTCCTTCCATGTACTATCCTTTCAATCATTTGCCCACTAATGGCACGCCTAATCATCTGTCTTCTGGAAATTACGAACTATATGCTGACAAATAAGCTATGTTTTGTTCAAAGCGACTCACGTCGTTTCCGCTGTAGAGCAGTACCCCGCTTTCCTCCCTGGTCTTGAAGGTGAATGTCAAAGAAGTCATATCCCCCGTTTCACTGCCTATATCAATACTTGCATGCGAACATTCTTCTACTTCCTCTCGGTAACCATAGAAACGTGTTCCATGTTCAATCTGTAAACGTAATAACAAGAACTAACACTTGAACTCCATGTCATACAAAACATTTTATTGGCCCGTTGTAGACCTCAAGTCAGAAAGTGATTTTTGAGTGAAAAAACGCCCGTTACACAGGAAAACCTCAAAACAACACTATTCTTTTTTATTCGTCGAAGAATATAAGCACAAGTCTACGGTCTCCTCGTTGTGATGTCAGTTTCGTTTGCATATTACCACGGTCACTTGGACAACTTGAATGCCTCCACTTGAAGACAGGACCCAAAAAAAGTCATTTTCACAGCTTGCCATTCTGGCAAGCTGAGGCTACAGTCCCATTTACTAGCCCAAAAGTCATTTCAGCTAGCCCCACAAACTTTTGTCTGAGTAGAATTGATTCACAAATCTTCTGTAATTTGAATCCCTCAAAAAACCTCACTTGCCTATCGGGCAAGTTAAGAGCAGAATTCACTAGCCGGATAACAAAATCCACTAGCCCCGGGCTACCGGACCCGACTTTCTTTGCACGCTGGAGGAGTGTGGTTTCCTTCCTTGTTTGGGTGTTTCTATGTGTATTCCTTTGAATTCCTATGTGGCTCGCATGCGACCAAGTTTAATTTTGTAGGGAAACAGACTGTTTCGCTCCCTTTTAATTGCTAACGCTGAACTCCGTTAATAACACCAGCTTATTGTGTTATCAAATCGTTCGATGACCATTTACTCACCGGTCCTTTTATACCTCCACTAAAAGAAACTCCTTGTTTTGCAGTCATTAGCGCTGCGTCATTGAAGGTTCGAGAAATCAGAGAAGCAGTTTCCTCGCTAAACAACCGTAAATTGTTCATGTCACCAGAAAAGGGGTCGGTTGTTGAAAAAGGCCTGTCGCTGAAAAATTGATTTTTAACATATATTAGTAAACCTACTGGACCTAGGACTCCTTTTGCGACAACACCATGTTTTAAGATAAGCGCTGCATAAGAATCAATGCCTACCAAGAGAACTTATTTATGAAGGGTAAAGCTGGTTTCTAATTTGCACTTTCAATGAAGCCAAATTGCCAATAAGAAACTTTCGCCAGGAAACCTAACACGTCTTAGGTGGTAACGTGTTTATGAACCGTGCGGCCTTTAATCAACATTTTTTAATAGACTGTCTAGGGATAATAAAACCTGTTTGGCCTGTTTGGGTGAAGATCCCCAAAAGTGATCTCATGTCCACTCTCAAATGCTGAGATACCGTTGTCGACAAAGCGACCATCTGGAGTCTCCCTTGAGCCCACTAGATTCACCGCCAGCGTCGCATTAACAGACGTGCGAATGACACGAACCCGATACCATCGGCCATCTCCATATGAAGACCTGAAAACAGAGTATTACCGACAGTTAAAGTGAAGGAATTTGCAACTTCAGTATTGTTACATTTTATCTTAATAACCAACTCATCTGATTAATTTCTTATAGGCCAGAATAGGTGGGGATTTTTTCCAATCCTTCAAGGAATAAAATGAAAGCTTTCAAATTAACAATTTTGACTTTTGATGAGTTAATTAAATTTCGGTGTAAGTCAGGGTGAGTTCCACTTTTAGCAGTAAAGGTTTGTTTACCTTACACTTTCTAGAGTGATCCCGGCATCACTTTGTCCAGTTTGAAAGTAGAAATAAACACGTCCATGTTGAAGGTAGATAACGAAGACATATTTCTGTTGCTTATTTGAGACTGCCATGATGATCCCATTTTGATGCAATGTTCTCAACTCCACTTCCACCTCAGTATATCCCATGCTATTATTAAATGGACCCAGGGCATGTTGAATGTAACCGTTACCATGGAAACTAACGGCCTTTCCGTTCTGTGGATAAAACAGCCTTCTATGGCGAGAAACTGCATATAGTCTACCGTCACCATAAGCTTGTTTTGGATTCCAGAGATTGTACCGAATGCTATCTATAATCAAGTTATCGATGATTCCTTTGAAATAATTGGAGACCTGTTGGGATTCCTGAAATAACAAAGAGCTTCAGTTAAAATAAAATATGATTCAAAATGTTACACTTAATTTAGCCAAGGGTTCAATTGTGATTTAATAAGGAAGGGGGTTGTTGATCTTAATCGTCCGTTTTATCAAATGTGTTGCTTCGACTTAAAGCCACAGCACCGGAAGATAACCGACACTGGTATAACATTGTTATCATAGCTAATTTATCAATTTGAGATGATACACATTTTTTCATTTTACTTAACAGCTGGCAGTATCAGTATCAGTTATGACTGATGATTACTTTTACTGGTAACGAAAACAGAAAAGCTTCCTTTTGTTAAGCGGTTTCTCTATTTCGCAGTACCTTGAGATCAGCAGGCAATCCACCAACGTAAATAACACTTTGGTTTGTAAGTTTCAGTTTGCCGTCTTCGCTGTTGGAGGAGCCATTCACCCTAACTGTTTCACGTCTCTCTGAGTCTCCGCTGACAGTTAAGAATGCCTCAGCACCAAATCTGGATGAATATTTATCACACACACTATTTTTAGCATTGAATATCACTTCTGGTTGATATTACTTAGAAATAACTAAGAGGAGATAGGAAACAAATCATCCCTCACAATTTAAGTGTTCAGTACCGAGGCATCTTTAATATTGTGTAATTTTTAGGTCTCAATAAGTGCAAACTTTATTCTTTCAGTAAATTACTATTTAATTTCCTTTTAAGAGTATTATGAGAAAAAAAGTCGTTGATAAACATCCTTGATGTAAGGGTTCAAAGAGGGGCAAGTTTTTCTAGAAACGGTTATACCTGGTAAAGTAAATATTGTACCAAGTGTCATTCTTAAGTTCCAAGGAATTCTGAGCCACAGTTGGACCGCCACCGAGGTTAAAAACCGCGTGGACAAGGCTGTTAGATATGTAGAAGCCAAGGCTGTTTGTCTAAGAAAAAAATAGTTGCAGTAAGATTTTACTTGGAGTGATATTCTAAAAGCCCTGATAAACTTACCCTAACGGCGGGAATACTGAGAGAGAATTGAAAAACAAAGTGGTAACGTCCATTACACATAATTTAGGTGTGCAAAATAATCCATTTCTGAGACCTGAGACTTTTATTTTCGAGCGAATGTCAAGAGAGACCCTCTTAAAGCAAGGCCATTAGTAGTTGCAGTCTTCCTTCCTAAGGCGGAAAATACAGGTAAGGGCTTAAAGAGGCGGACCTTTCAAAATGTCAGTTAACTTGTGTTTCAGCTTTTTCCTAATACCTATGGTACGGTTTAGAGTGATGATGGTCTAATCTGAGGTTCTTAAAATATCACTCACCAGCTCATTTGAGCGCTCATTAGGTTCAATGTCTTGCTCACCAACAACATAGAGCAATATTCCATCGCTGATATTGGTCTTAATATCAAAAGAAATCTCATTTATGGAGGGCGACTCGATAGTGCGCCTCGAAGGAACAAATGTAATTGAAGAATCATTTGTCAGATGAAGGGCAAGGGGAATGGAAGCGACCATTCGTCTTATCTGGTTTAGTTTATTTGACGCGTTCTCCATCTGGTTTTCTATCTGTTGTCGAAGCGGCGGAAGTGAGGTCATAACTGCTGCAGCCTCTCGTACAGTGACATTGACAGGAGGCTCATCTGGATTTGGGGTCAGCCTTGTTGTGATATTTTGTACTAGAATAAAACGTGAATTATCTCTTAAAAATGTACATTAAGCAACGTCGGTGATAAAAAAAATAGTGAACATTCAGTTGACAATAGCGCAGTCAATGGACGCCAACGTTGTCAATATTTTTTTTGTACCGTATTGTGATAAAATTAGTGTAAATGGCAGTACTAGTATAACTGGTATTACTGCCAATGGTTCCATGGTAGTAGTAGTAGTAGCAAAAGCAGTAGCAGAAGTAATAGACAGCTAAGTGAAGTGAGCAAGTGTCACAACATTTCACTGACATTTGTATTTAGAGGTTGACCAATTACGTTCGGTGAGTAAGTTACTTACCATTAACCAAAGCCTTGTTCATCATCATTATCCCGTTGTCGGAATTGCTCTTAATAGCAGTCGTTTTTCGTAACAATAGGTCAATCAGTTGTTGCATATTACTGAGATGCAATTCCAGGCCAGTCAACATCACGCTTGCATTTTGTACTTCATTCCGTGCATCCATTAGAAAAGGAACCACATCTGGAGCTATAATGAGGAGTAAAGCGGGATACTCATTTACGAAGACTGGTTAAGGATTCAGAAACCAAGAAGATACCTTTCATTAAGAATTTAAATCTAAGAACAATTTTGTAATGGCAGCTCTCTAACCCTATGTATCCGAAAATTACCCGTCCGTTTACATATCACGTATCACATATCACTTTTTTCAATTAACTCACCGCCGCTCGCAGACGCTTGCAACCTTACAGCCGCATTCTGAATGACAGGAAACTTGTCATATATTTCATCCCACAAGGCAAGGGAATTCAAGAACGTTGTATTTGCTTCGTAAATGTCCTTTTCCAGACCTGGAAATTAAGAAATATAAATCTCTTTTTATACGTTAAACTTTTCATGTCTGCAAACTTTTAAGTATTTTCTCAGCTATTCAACAACCTTTTTTTATTTGTATCCATTTTTCCTAAATGAAAAAGGAAAAACACCAAGCCTTCTTATCTCTAGCGCAAGTATTTTGTTCTGAGAACGAAACGCTTGACACAAAAATCAGAGATAGCTGCGCCATGTTCTGGTGGTAGCCTTAACTATGATTCATTCGAACTTTACAGCGCAAGAACTACTTCAAAATTTCCCAAAGAAAATAACCGGATTCTTTGACTTGAGTGCTGATTATTCAGTACGCTTAAAATTCGTCGGGAAATGGGTTGACGTTAAGTGATATTTTCTTCGGATTGAGAGAATTGAAGAGCGAGACGCTGGTCAAGGAAATTTCTGTCGTCGGCTCTTCCTATCATTGCAAAGCCCACGAAAAGGCAATATGAGAAGGGTTGAGACAGCCTATTGCAGTTCGTTTATTTGTGTAAAAATTGTGAAAGGGTTGAACCCAGGAGTCATTTCAAAAGTAGGTTGAGTTTGATCGTCCGAGTGAAAGTAGTCCAGAATAGGACTGTTGTTGACATGACAGTGACTGACGTTTCGACAACCTGTGCGGTAGTCATCTTCAGCGTCAAAGTGAGTTGTGTCACGTCAGTTGATGGTATTGTACTCGTCTCAACACAGTTAAACAGTCGTTTATTGTTAGTTAAATTGTCAGTTCTCCGGTCGTTCTCTCGTAGTTAGTTTTTCTTGATCTCGTCAATAAGTCGTTTGTACGGTGCTAGTAACTGTTGGCTACGATTCAGTGGCGTTTGTTCTAAGTTAGTAAACCAACTGTCTATAGTAAGTCGTTGATAGTAGTCTGTAGAATACGTAATGCATGTCGCAGAGTCCCAGTCAATTTCATGTTTCGTCCGCATGGTGTTCAGCAATGTGATTGTTGACGTCACCATTCCTCATCGCTCATTTTTGTTCGGGCAGTCGCGTGCTAAGGTTTCTGCTGGTTTCACCAATGTAAGTAAATGTTACAAGCATATTGATATAAACTCACCATGTGCAGTAGCGTTTCTTTCAAGTGTGACGTTGTAAAGGTCACGTAGACTTGACCAGGCCATTTCAGCGTTGTGTTTCAAATCGGCCAGTGAAATCACACTGAGCTATAAAAAAGGGGTAAAAAATAATACCAAGTCAGTAAAAAAAAATATCTTCAACAATTTCAAAGAAAAATCATTCGTTAAGATTATATCATTATATTTATTGAGGTTTGTTTCCTTTTACCTTTTTAGTTATGCTGCTAACAGTAATGTTGGCTAGTTCAACAAGATCCAGCGATCTGTTGACAAGTTCTGCTATTTCAGAATATCTGTCGATTGCCAGCAACGGTAAAGAACCGTGAGCACGACTGCTGTTAAATGTCCTTTGAATAAATAACAGGAAAAGTCCATCAATAAAGTAAAAAGAATAACAAATTTTGAATAAAGCAACCACTAATATCCTACGTAAGCTACCATCCTGTTAGGAGGCCTTAGTAGTTTAGCCAGCAAACGATTTGGCGGAGAAATCTTCTTAAACAAGAAGTGTTTTGCCTGTTAAGGCTGGTTGAAAGGTACGCCAGCCCAATGGGACCAGCTATTTCTGACCCCACATACCAGAAATAATTCTTTTTTTTTTTGTAATGTACTCACAGTTCCATTTGATAAGCGAGTGATTCCAGGTACGATGCTTGATTTTGAGCTTGCTGTAAACTAATATCAGAAACACTCAACTTCATTTGCATTTTCCTGATTTCTTTTTCGAGTACGTTTGACACATCTGTAAGTCCACTCGACGATACAAAATTCCCGCTATCGATTTGAGATAGGTCCTGAAAAAGATTGGGTTTTTGAGCGCTCAAAAGGTTACGCTTACTACTGTACTACAGCAGTGACACTGTAAAGCTTAAGTTGGCGCTTCAAACAGAACACGGAAGTGAACACGGAATTATCAACCTACGAAGCGCCGATTACACTTCGAGTCAGGAGTTTATACAAAAGCAGCAGCCCTGGTGAATATCATCTCAAGCAACATGACTTTTCACCAAAAAGTGTTACTGAGAACGCTAAGATACTCGCCCAGAATATAAGATAAAGTGGAAAAAACATTCATATGGGAATATACACTGACGCCGTGATTGTCGGCTTTATTTCTTTTCGTTTTAACTTTGTAAATCTTCTTTTATGTTTTACCTGAGGTAGCAGCGGGTACCATTTAGTGATCACGCTATTGAAGAAGTCTCCAGCGGTGGCCAAATCAATAAACACCACACCCAGGAAATCATCCTCGTCACCAGGGTCATGATCATACACGGCCAGTCTCACTTTCGTGTAATTCAATTGCTCCATAGGAATAGTAAAGCTGAACAGCTTAAATGGGAATTCTGGGTTTAAGTTTCCTGCAAAATAAGGGGAGTAGATATAGCAGATACAATGTTTGTTCCGAATGAATTGCTCTGGTGGGAGAAGTGATGATACAGACCTACACTAACTCGTTTAAAACCAGTTTTCAATGACGACACTTTCTCCCTCGCTAATCATTTTTGAAAAAATAGTTACCTTTCTCAAATAAAACTGTAACAGTGTCTAATAAGAGAATGGTGATTGATTACAGTTATTTCAAATTCAACAGAATTGAAGCCCTATAATGGGTCGTGTGTATATATGTTAGCTTTGGGGCTGATGATAGGTTTAATCAAAATTATTACTTGAATATCAGTGAACCGCACCGTTAACTGGAGAAGTCCTCATAGTTCCCTCGTTATTCCAATCAGGAATAGCTGATATCACAACGTAAGGATCTGAGGTCTGGGCAGGAGAGTCTCTGGCGGGCAGATTACGTCCCTTCATCACCCGCACAACAAACTTTGTTCTTTCCAGTTCGTATCTCAGCATAGAAATCTCCAATTCTCCACTTACAAACAGTATTGTGTGGCGGTATTGCTACAAACAAAACAGACGTAAGCATTCTTATCTCTGTTTTTGCTTTGTTTCTTTTCTCTTCTACCTGATAATCTTTTTACCTCTCTAGCGGCCTTAAAAAACAACTCGGGAGAGTCGGTAAACAATTTCAACTACAAGAAAATTTTCAGTGGCCTTGAATGTGAAAGTATTATTTTCTCCATAACGGCTCAAGTCAGTGTAGTCGCCATGTTCCTCTTCATGCACAGAAATGGGTACAGCGAGAGAGATGGTCAAACCTGGACACAGTGTTTGAGTATCAAGTTGTTTTAACTATTCACTGACTGGCGACAGATGGTCCGATCTGAACATAGTAAAAAAAGTTGGACTCTCATTTTGAATCAATAAACTGAGAATCGTTTTCTTCAGGTAAAAAATCTTGCGTTAAGAGTCCTTCACAACTAAGGGGGTCCTTTAGTTACCTCAAGTAGTAATGTGCCCTCCTTAAGAACATTCCATGCGTTAATTAACGTGGCGTTTGTTTTTAACAACGAAGACTCAGTTCTGTTTAAAGTCAGCAATTCTTCATCCATGATTCTCTAAGAAATATAACATAAAGAATAAAATCAAAGAATATTTCTCATAATGCTTCTATGACTCACAGTTAGATGAGGCCAATAGAGAGTATGTGGGAAAGGTTAGAAAAATGACAAGAAACGCATTCATTTTAAAGAAAGTAAAAACAAGGCCGTTTTCAAGATGGCACCATACCTTGGTCTCCATAAGTATTGTTTGTATCTCGTGTGAGTGGTTATAGACTTGTTCCATTGTATTCAAGAACTGTGTGTGTGATTGGTTCCAGGCTGCTTGAATCTCGGTGAAATTAGCGGCTCTTATCTCGACTGAGGCACCAAGCTCATGGGCAAGAAATAACTGAGAAAAGACCTGAAGGACAAGTGTCAGCAACAAGGATCTGTTCAGAATCTTCAGTCTAAGATCTTAGAAAAGATGAAAAGAATGAAACTATCGAAAATTGTGGTATTTCTATTTTTCCATCTCCATTCGGAAGCTGATATTTAGTCAATAATATGATTGTTAAGGAACCGAAGGTGCTTTGGCTGGCATGTGCCTGTAGACGGCTTAAAAGTTGCCTGGAGAAACAAATCTGGTAAACTCCAATAATTTCTTTCTAACTTTTACAATTCATACCTTTTTCAACGTTTCCTTTGCGTAGGTAGACGCGTTTTCAGCAAGATGGGTTATGTTAGTTATGTTCATTGTATACTGACTGAAGTTTCTTTCTCTTGTTAGGCTCAAAACTTCTGCTGAATCCGTTAAATCTTGTGATGCGGCGGCAAAGTGCTCATTGATAGCGGCTAGTACATCTCTAACTAACTCATTCACAACTGCAGCACAAAGGTAACAAAGTTTCAACTTTTTGCCGAAGTATACAGTCAAGAGTCGCACTACTTTAAGTAAAAAAGAGCAGATGAAGTCAAAAATGCAAACAATCATTTTGGTCTACATCTTGTCAAATGATCAGAATTATACCGTATCTTTTCCCTATTCACTTTACAAGTTACTCTGTTCATAGTTATTAGAGGAGAATGGTTATGAAAAGCGATAAAATATCAATCATAAAAACAACAGTGCTGCAGTTTATCTTGGAAGCACCACGAAAGTGTACAATCCTTTGTTTTCTGTTGGCAAATTGTTACGGAATAAATTATTGCAACTTTTTTATTGGTCAATACAATCAAAATGAAAGGAATGCTTTTGAACGTTGTGCATTTTCAGGCCCACAATAACCATTCCATTCAATTAACTATGTTCTGTTTAACAGCGTTGATGCTACGAAAAGCTCAAGCTAACAGGAACGAAGGATAAATAACTCACCACTAACGTTATCACGGGCAGATATCGTTCTTTGTTTTCCCTCCTTCACTTCTTCTAGAATATCAGTGGTGTTATTGGCAGCAGTGTTTGAAAAATTACTGAGATTCGAAGCCTGTAGTATAACAATAAATTATACAATGTAATTTTTTCTTTATTTAATTCACACACTCTGTGCTTACGGTCACAACATAAGGTATAACAAACACCCGCGAGAGTAGCCGTTCAGTTCTTGCCCTGCCATAGAACCTGGTTGTATTTTCCCAGAAACGTCCCCTGACCTTCGTCCCTGTGTGAACCAAGTGTTTACTGCAAATCACTAAATCATTTTACATAGGTATGGCATAAACTTGCGACCTGGTCGGTTGCAGCGATGAATTGAGCTCCAACTGAATTTTTATGAATGTTGTCTTGTAGTAATTTTTATTTGTGATTTCTTCGTCTCCACATGGGAATCTGACTACCCCTCTCCCCCCCCCCCGTGTTTGCACAAGTTTTAAAATTATTTACAGTTTCTTAAGGCATCATTGTAAGCTCCAAGACAAATTAAATACTAAGTTATTGAGGACAATCAAAGAGCATTATGGGCAATTCGAAAGTTGGGAGTTTTTGACTCACTACACATTCCAATTGAACTTACCCTGATAGAAAGTTCTAGAAGACTCTCGTTTGTTTTCGGGATTTTTGCCGACACGAGTTCTTGAAAAGCTTGATTTCCAGAAGTAGTTCTTGAATAGAACCGTTCTCTTTCAACCTGAAATTATAAATCCATGTTTGCTTATTTGCCAACAGTCATGTTCATAAAAATAGAAATCTTAGTTTTGGATTTTACTGTAAGAGAATCAAACCTTGGCTTGTTCCAGAAGGGTGGAGGTTTCCGCCAGTGGCGCATTGAAATATGTTAGGTCTTTCAGTGCCTGAATCTCCATTTCCGTCCTATTTGCGTCATCTGTCGTGTTTACGATCGTCTGTCTTAAGTTCCGTATACACGGGGAACATTCTGTGATTGCAAATTAGAAAGAACGAAATTTTATTTATTCATACTCTTTATGTTTTTTTTACTAAAATTAAATTGTAACGTGATCAACAGCGGCCCCAACATTGGTTGAGTCATGTTTAGAGATGTTGAAACCATACCGTGTCAAACGGTCACAACGACTCAACAAATATAGACAAAGAGCCAGCTACTGTAGGCGAGTTAAGTAGGCGGCTTAGGTAGGTATGCTACGCATGCTTAATAAAGATAACATTTAGAGAACAAAAAACCCACCCAAACTCGGCACTTGCTATTGTTCAATCCTCACCCCTTTTGATTCTGGGGAGATTGGATGAAGGTTATTCACCTACAATTGTTAGTTCCAAATTACCTGAGCAACCAGAGTCCGAGAAATTTGTAAAATACTTCTTGCATTGGTCACATGACCTTCCAGTCACACCAGTTTTACATTGACACTGTCCAGCGGTATCGTTGATACACAGTGTGCCAGGGATGGATCCAACTGTGCTGCAATTGCATTCTGAAAATTGAAAAATGTCAAAAATGGTGAAGATGTTTAATAAAGAAGCAAAGATAAATAATGGTGTTTAATATCGATCATGAATCTGCATGGTCTAAAAATCGAGGTTAATCCCTTTACCTTGTTTGGTATTGTACAATACATTATAAAGTAAATGTGGAGTAAAAACAAGTATTCAGGTCGTCCTACCTCTGCATGACATGATAGGAAGACCGTAGAATCCCAGAGAACATTGAGTGCATTTAAATCCTGTTACGTTGGTCTGACACGGGCACTGACCACTTGAATAACATTGTAAGCTTACTGAACCAAGAGGGTTACACTCGCAGTCTCTACATCCAGCGGGACCCAGATCAAAGGTGTTGTTCTTTTGAGAAATAAATGAGATCAAAATTAGACTATGAATGAAAAACATGAACAGATGGTTATAACGAGTTCTTACTGACTTGGAATAGTTGTTACTGACCTGGCATTGACTGCAGTCTCTTCCCATTACTTTGTTATTGCAGTTACATTGACCGCTAACTCTGTGACATTGCTGATCTAAGGAACCAACTTCATTACACGCACAGGCTGAAAAAGGAGTGAGAAAGTAATCACATCTTAAGTGCAAATGTACACACGGAACACACTACGTTGCTAAACAAAACAGGGTGTCAAAATTAAGATTTGTTGTTTTTATCGCTGCATGGATTTATCACACGTGGCTTGTTCTGTTGAACGCCTAATCACAACTGTGAGGCCAGTTTATGAAAGTGTTAAATTCCAACCAGGTTTCAGAACTGAGCGTTCGCTGTTGAGCATTTCATAACTTTCATAGATATGTAACATGCATCTTTACTCAGAACGTGGACATTGTCTGATAATAATAATAAACCATACCGTTGCATTGCTGGTTGAGCGCATTTCCAAACGTTCCATTAGCACAGTGCTGGCAAAAATATCCAGTAGTATTATACTGGCAGTCAATACATTCTCCTGACCTCAGACATTTGTTTGTATTGTTATTACATTGACATGGTTGACATGTTCGACCCACTGTGTTCTCTGGACATTCGCACATGCCTGTCGTCACATCACAAATATAATTTGCTCCGTTACATCCACAAGCTAAAAATAATGAACAAAGAATTATCAATTAGTGTTACCTAACGTTTAAACGGTTGAAGTCTTAGGTTTCCAGATGAATCTAAAATTGAGACATCACAGAGAATTCATTTTCATGCAAGAACTGTACTTGGGACTTTTTGCACTTAAAGAAACCCCCAATACAAAACAACAAAAAAGGGAGAAAACTTTCGAAAAAGAAGAAGTGGCTTTTGCAGAAAGCTAACAATAGGTCTCAGCGGGCTAGTGTATTCAATACTACTTTTAATTGAAGTCAAACACGTATTAGGAATGTAATCAACAGGATTATGCCAGAAATAAACTGTACCGTATGTTGCAAAGCTACTGTTACATTAGCTAATCTTTGTAAGTAGGTTTTATTGGGCCACGATTTTAGCTAAAACCGTGGCCCATATTATGGCTTAAATACAGGGGTTTAGTATTTGATTGTAAAACTCCCTGAAGAAGTCTACGTTAGTTAAACGAAACGCGTAGGAGAATAAACAAGTTTTACAACGACAGTTCGCAGAGTGCTGCTCACTAGTTTAGTTTTAAAAATTAAAAAAATTGTGTTGTTATTAGACCATTGTGTAGATTGAATGAAGCAATGGCTGTATGAAAAATATCACTAGGTTTAAAATACTTTGTCCTTTTTTTTTGAATTTGATGCAAGTCGGTAGTATTCATTTGAGATTGATGCTTAACGAAATGATTTGGGTCTACGATGAATTAAAGCATGGTAAACTTACGGGTGCATCCGGTAGCCGTCAAATTGTAAAAACCTGGTTTACATCTACTACAGTCACGCCCTTCTGCCCCGGGTTTACAAGGGCACTGGCCACCATATGACTCACAAACTGAACTGTTGGATCCCAAGGGATGACAATAACAATCTATATTGGTGGAGAAATAAAAAACAAAAATTTTAACAAGCAGCTGATGTTGAGTGAGTTTAATTTTCAGTTCAGTGGTAGCCATGATAACATTTTCCAGAATCATACCAGAACCAATGAACTACGAGTCAAATGTATCGATTAACTCCATCAAAAGTCTTTTTCAGGGAACAGAGAAGAGGAAGATTGGCAAACGTGTTTTTACACTGTAATCAAAATAACCCCATGATTCTCTTTGTCTTGTGACTGAAGAGGTCACCCTGTCAAAGTATTGGTCATTATTATTTTATTATCATTAATTTAGACCCTTCGCCGCTCAGATAACTTACTTCGTAGGTTACCTCGTACTAGCCTAGGAAGAAACCTTATGTTAGTAGTGTAGTAGAAATGTTTTAGACCCTTTTTTGTGCAGGAATCTCATTAACTTGAGCGGGAATTTACATTAACGATATTTTCTTTTTCCCTCCTCCTCCATTATCGACCCTTTATCGAACACACATCGACAATACATAGACCCCACACGACCCCACACGTGGGATGAAAAGGATATGAAGTCATCGACATTAGTATATTTCTGTGCAATTTAATGAGATTCCTGTGCAAAAATGGGTCTTAAACATCCCTAATATACTATTCAAAGAAACACCTTGAAAACCATGTACAGTTCTACTGAATTCTAATGAAATATATTTGCATATCTAATTAAGTATACTTGTAAAAGATCGAAGCTCAGGGCCTGGCGTATCATTTAGATTTGTTCTTTTTACAACTGTGAGGTGAACCTCAGACCGAGTTTGTCCGTAATAAACTGGTAAAGAGTGGAAACTAAGAATGCTTGGAAAATAATTGACTGTAACTATAGATGACATAAACTGTTATTACCTAAAGCTCCACGAAGGTAATCCATAGATACGCTAAAGAACCACAACAGACAGCTTGGGAGAGACCTGAAGCAAGGCAAAATTAAGTTATTTTAAGGCTTCTTAATCTTAACGTTTATGGCGATTAAGAAGCAAGGGAGGACCATGAGAAAGGCATTTAGGAGAAACTAAATTTTTTTTGGCGTTTTCATGTGCCAGGTTGGTAAACACAGATCATTGAAACCATGCAAGGCGAAGCAAAAGCGCGCGTCGCACCACATAAAGTCTTTCCTTTTGTTGTGACTCTGAATGTTATTCTAATAAAATTAACCGATGGACCGAGACGTTTTTTTTATAATAAGAGGCAAATAACAAGGTTAATAACAAGGAAAATTAAAACGGAAATGTATTCGAGAAAAAAGGAATGAAAAACAATAAGTGCTTAGCTTTGGTGAAGACCCGGTCGAGGTGAGAATAAAGGAAAGTTGTTTTTGTAGGAGCGTGAGCGATATTTTTGCATCAGAAAAGAATCTGTTAATATAGAACTTTAAGTCTGATGATCCCTTAGTGCTTGAAACTCCGAGTTACAAGTCTTCATGCTCTGCATTTGTATTTCGCTCTTCATATTTTATGAATTGAGCACTGCTAGGATAGGTTAAACAACATATCGTTTTACTGTGAGTTCATTATTAATATATGCAAAGTACTCGTACGTCATTTTATTTCCATCAATGCTACAAAGGAACTGGTAATTTCCTCTCTGATCCCCGAGTACTGTGGCTTCCTTAAACTCTACAGGAATGGCGACCACACTGTCCTGGAAACAAATAAGGTGGTAAATTCATTCATTCATTCATTTTATTTTGCCATTAACCAGAAATACAACAACAGTATACAGAAATACATTAAAGATAATATACAATATTCTAATTAAATTATTTACAAGATTAAATGTGGTAAAGGCAAGGAAGGCTATATAGAAGCCGGGGGCTTATAAACTATAGGCTTCCTGAAACTATTGAGTAAACCATACAAGTTAAGGGTACTGAATGAAAATTTGGATTCATTTTTTAAAGAAAAAAAAAGAAAGAAGAGAAAAAAGAAAAAGAAAAGGTGTGTAGCTCAACAAAGAGTCAATTTTACGACGAAAGAGGGAATGTTGTACGTCTTTTGCCAAACAAACTGATACTCTCACTGATTTGAATTTCCCGACTGAGGGAGTTGAAAAACGTAGGACCTTGAAACCGACAATGAGGTATATAGAAAAGGCTGGAATTTCTTGCATTATAAGAATGTATCTGGCTTGCAAGAGTAAACATATCACGAAAATAATTTGGAAGTAGGCCTCTTTTAAAAAGATAAATTTATGTATCTTTTTAAAAGAGGCTTACTTCCAAGTTATTTTCGTGATATGTTTACCCTTGCAAGCCAGATACATTCTTACAGTTAAGGAGTGAAAAGGATTAGAAGCTTGATTAAAAGAAGATTGTGAAATGAAATTAAAAGTATAATTTCTACATTGTTACTATCTTTTACCAGTTCTAGTTGCTGGTTAGCCGTTCTGGTTGTTGTGATGTTGACATTCCACGCCCCCTTCTTTAGGAAAAGTCTATCATTGATGACTCCTCTACAGCTCACACACGAAGAGCTGAGTGTAATTGAAGAATTAAAGAGCTCTCCTGCTAGCGGACGAGAAGCGTTTTTATACTTGATGGCGGTAGTCGCTTGGACTTCCAGACCATTGTTGGTGTATTTTATAAGCATACGGTAGTTACCAGTCCGAGGTATATTCAACAAAACATGAAGGGTGTTCTGATAATATCAAAAAATAAGCAAAAAGATGAATAAAAATAAATAAATAAAAGGAGGTTGTTGACCATGTAACAGTTTTCTTGTCATTGAATGCAGTATCAAGGGATTCAATTTTTGCCTATTTGAGCCACTCGGTAGGAACTAAGCAAATGGATGAAAACAATCTATTATCGTCCGCCGGGCTCATCTGAAGACTACAATCCCTTACCATAGCTGATCGGACGTAAGGACCTCTGGCTGCGTGAATGTAGTGCACATCTGGGTAATAGAAGCCAATTTCCGTCCTTAAAAAACAAAAACATTCTGGTGTTTGAGGTTTTAAAACTAAATGAAATCAAAGTTAATAGGGGGACACTTGTTATGAAGGCTAAGAGCTTGAGGTAGAAGTTTATTGTGCAGCCGTGTAATGTTTTTCCTTCTCCATGGTTACATTAGTCACCATTTGCGTTTTCGTTACTTTTTAAAAATAATTTTACCTAAACCGCAAAATAAAAAGAAGAAAATTGAAATTTTATTTTCATTCCTGAATTTTCTGGTCTCATTACTTCATAACTCTTACAATTTATGTCCGTATTTTAGACTGATAAGCCCAGTTGTTACCTGTTGCACGTTCTCCCAGTCACGTGTGGGTAACAGTGACAGAAGCCTGTTTCTTTGTCGCACTTTTCTCCACTTCTTGTGGCTCCCACATCACAACCACACGCTGAAGAAAAAAAAAACACAAGTCATACTCGTCTGCTTGGTTATTTTAAAAAAGTGATCACTATCCACACTTCAAGAATTACTAGCGGCTTAGAAAACAACACGACAGTCAAATTTGGCCTTGGCACGCTTTTACGGGCTTTTAATTCCCAGGCAAAAATAAGTTACGTGACTGAAATAAAGTCCCGGCGATACCCCATGTATTATAACGGACTCTCGCTAATGAGGACACTAACTCAAGGTCATTACAGTGTCCACTGCTGTAACATGAGTTGACTGTACATTCAAATTCAGGCCACTTCACTTCTCATTTCAACATAGTGAATGAAAATTGAACTTTCCTTCAGCTTCCTTCGACGTGAGTGTTTTAGTCTTACAAATGTAACCTAATGCTTAAATGTTATGACATAAAGTGCACAGTTAACACAGCCTCAGGGTAAAGCTTACTTACATTTACATCCACTGATGTGAGCATCTTGTAAGTCATAATAGCCATCTTTACACCGACTGCAATTGCGAAGTTCCACGTTTGTCTTACAGTTACATTGGCCATAGTAATCCTAAAGACAACACCAAATATATACGTTAAAACATTTGATAATGATCGGATCATTCACATGAGAATAGGATTCGGTGTAGACTCTAAATTGACATGTTTTAGTATTAATTTCAGTTCAAGCAAGAGACTGTTTCTCTTGAAGGTACTTTCATTGCCCTGCAAACGGCTAGAACTTCGCGTGGCTCCGGTGTCCCGCGTCTCCGGTTGGAAACGTAAAAATGGTACCCTCACTAAGTAATTTCGTGCTAATTACATTGACACTCACAAATAAAGTGCATATTTTTCAAAGGAAGTTTAACCATAACATGTGAATTGTGTGTGTTGTTCCTCGCATGGCATAAGCCATCATTACTTAATTAGTTTAGTTTGTTTGCTGGTTTTTTGCTTGTTCAGCCGGAACAGAACACTTGTGAGACTGTTTCTACCAGTAACCGTACAAATTTGTAACCTACTTTTTTTGTCTTTAAGGAAAGGTAACCGAGTCAAACTGCGTTTTGTACAAAAATAAACGCATTAGAATGGGAAAACTTACCCCTTGGCAAACACTTGATCTGTTGATAGTCCCCGCTAGATGACAATCACATGCTAAACGAAAACAGTATTTTTATCAAGAGGAGGTAGGTGATCATTAAAAAATACTTGGTCAATCTTTTCCCACCAAGTAGTTCAATTACAGAGAATAACAGATTCGAGACAGATGATCCGCAACAACATATCCGAGGGCCGGCTTCATGGATTGGTGATCAGCAAGCAATGTTTACGTGAAAGCAAGTTAAGACAGGTAAAAGTGTAATAAGTAGAGGCAAAGAAAATATTCAGTCAATACTGCCTGCTGTGATTAATGAAGGTAAAGAACTAAGGTCTCATAACAAGTTACAATTTACAAGCAAACTGTTACATTGCATTTCAGCACGTCTTTTCTAACCAGGGACCAACGATTAAAAAAGTACCAAGGTTTTGATGTCAGATTGATAATTCATCACTAGTTTCAAATAATTAATCAGTGATGCATTTTGAACTAGATAACAACAGGTTACATGGTGCATATGTACCAAAAAGAAGCAATCTAGCAATTACTTTGTTGATAATTTAAAACATTTTTTTTTTTTTGAATAATGTGTTCTTACCTATACACCCTTGGGGGTTCCCCTGTGTCAGTCTGTAGTATCCGACCTGACACATATCACACTGACGACCTTGTACAAATGTCTTACAGTAGCAGTCACCCGGTTGCTAAGAAACAGATAATAAGACTGATATTAATAAAGATTTAAGATAAAGAAACAATATACGTAGCGAACGTTCGTTTTTGTTTTAGTATTTGTGACTTGAACTCTTTTAAATATAACACACTGAGCGTTGGCTTTTACCAACTCGATTTTATGTCTTTTATTGGGAAACTACATAAAAATCAACGAAAGTCATTGTCTCTTAGGTCTTAAACGTCAACAGAGGCCTTTTGAAAGAATGATAATATAATACACTGAACTGTTTTTGTATAAACATATATATTGTTTTTGAAGTTTAGCTAATCATCTTCTCCGTTTTTATTATTATATCAAAGTCAGAGAATTACAAACATTGACGAAATTTCAATTTTATCAGCACTGAAACCAGTACTTTTCAGCGTAAATGAAAATTACCTTTCCCGGATGAGAAGATAAGAGGTTTTCATCTTTTACACAGTCACCAAATCCTAATCCTGGAGCATTGGTTGTTCCATTCAAATTGCAGTTGCAAGCTGAAAGTTCATAGGAAAATAAATGTTGTTGTACTGATTTTCGTCGAAACCAAGGCAAGGAACTATAAGTAAGTCTTCACTACACTGATGATCCTTACCTGTGTCAAACTAGGAATCCCCCCCCCCCCTCAGTAAAAAAGCCTGTCAATATGGGAACGGAGAAACTGAATTCAAGATAAATACATATTGCTGGTACGTGTTTTGGGCTATATTTATTAAACTCTAAACTTAATCAGTACTTTCAACCGATCAAATGACTGTTTCTATGTGAAAGTACAAAGTTATGACCCTGATCAGAGTGTGATCATAATTATGACCGGGCTTGTTTTTCAATTTTTATTAGAATATTATAAACCAAGTTTTTTTGCATTACCTTGGCAAGCATCCACATCGGATTGATTTCTTCCGGGACTTCGGTAAAAATACTCCTTACATTTTTCACAGTTTATTCCTTGTGTATTGTGCTTAGAAAAAAGAGGAAAACAAGAAAAGTTTGATTGATAGTGCCTTGTTAAGTCATCGTCACGCGTTCCTCCGACCCCATGAAAGTTGTTCCTAAAGAAGGCGAGCGCTCGCGTGCCGAAGCCCTACGAAGTCGTCTAAGAGCGTGCCTGCGTAGAAAGCTAGCCATAACTCGCCTTTGTACTTATGACCTTGTTACCTTGATACACAGATTTGTTCTACTCGAACTTTAAATTCACAGAACGTTTTACCAGGATCCAGTGTAGTGTATCTGGTTCATTGTACAGTTTATTTCATAGTTCAGCCGTGTGAAAGCACAGGATCCCCAGGCTCCTTGGGAGAAGTCGAAACATGCATGAATTAAATTACGTAATAGCGTCAATTTGTATCGTAATGTGGTGCGAGACTTAGCACTCCTCTTCTTATATAACTTGTAATTTGGTGTCTTTTGGGGTCGTTTTAGATCAGACTTCCACCCGGTTTTAGGCTCACTATTGTCCTTTTTCTGCTCTCTGGAGAGATGTCTGATGATACCTCAAGGAAGAAAACAGCGAACCTTAACTTCACCGAAATCCCTCACAAGTCATACACACTGAGCGGAAGAGGAGAAATAAATCGGCTGGTTTTCTTATTAAATTATTTGTTTCTTTCTTGATCCAGCGAGTGACTGAATACACATAAGACTTTTAAAAGTTACTTTTTTGGAATGTATTGTAGGTTTTAACATTTTATTTTACCATAGGAATTTTAAGCGGAAACTTAGGTAAATATATAATTATGTTTTACAATTTTATGATGCACAATAGGTTTAAACATTTTGTTTGTGTATAACTGAAAGTCCCTCAGGGGAGTGTACAATAAACTTCATTCATTCATTCATTTCTCACACAGATACAGTATATTTGCCCTGTTATTTACGATTGTACATTCCCACAATTTAACTCTTCTATTTACGCTTTTACGCAATGTCACCTTCCAAGGAGTTTGGGCTACCTGTGATGAAAGCGACCTTGTCCACAAGTTCAAGTTCCAATCACGAACTACTTGTGATAGGCATAACAAGTACCCAGCACTTAAAAGAGACGATGAGCACTCATTTGTTATAAGGGTTTGGGTTCTGGAGTTCTCTTTTTACCCTTGAATTTTTGTTGTTGTTCTCTCCTCTTTGTTTGTTTAGAATGTCAGCCGGTCTGGTTATGGGTATGAACAATGTATCACGTTTGATACAAAACATGTTAAAAAATAGCTGAAATACAGAAAGGTAACCTTAAAACAGCCTATGTTTCACTAATGGCCTCGTAATGTAACCAGTTTCATGTTCACTTGAAAATGGGCGTGATTGAATATGAGAAAAATGCTTTAAAAGATATCGCTCATTTTGCCATTTAAATACCCTATAATCTTATTGAATGTTATTTGAAAAATATCATAATCAATATTCAATATTCAGTCAATATTCAATCAATAATCAGCATTCAATCGCCTCAAAATTTTTTTCTACTTCTTAAGGTACACTTTACAATTAACAAATTTTAAAATGACATGTCAAATAAAATCCTTTATTATCATTGGCGATTACGAGGAAAACCCGATTCTTTTTCAGCTCATTTTCTAATATGAACTTGAAATAGATGTCCTTGTTTCATTTCCAGTTGAACTTGAGGACACAGACGAGTTGAAACATATTTTGATCACAAGCGGTCAGTATTTTTATCACGTTTTAGATGTCAAAAAGGAACATATCACTGCTCATGCGGTCGGAGCTTGGTGTAAAAACGTGTTAAAGCATACTTATCGCGTGAAGTAAAATGGCAAAAACAACAAAAAGATAAAACGGAAACAGATAATAGGAAAATGTTATCCCTCTGGTAGCTGTCCCTTATTAGCTTCTGCCTTAGAAAGAAAGCATCTGAAAAATATATTCTAAAAACAATTCGATATTCAAGCCTCAAGAAAGAGAAAGGTGTTTATAAAACGAGTTTCGATCAGGGTCATTTAAACCTGCTGGTTGACGTAATTGAAGCCAAAATGGAATTGTTATGAAATTTGAGCTGAGGGGGAGATGATGTCTACCACATGATCAATGCTATGATGACCTTGAGACTGTTTAAGTGAACATGCAAAAAACTTGATAAATAATTTTTTTTCTCATTCGCGACTAGTCGAGCATGAACAAACATAAATTGGCGAAAAAATCATGGATCTGCTATTGAAGGCATGGATAGTGACTGTTGGCCGATTTTTGTTTTTCGTCTTGATAATCATCCAAGGCTTGGCCTTGGCTGCATATTTAGCGGCCTACGAAAATCATTCTGCGTGGAATTCTTTTGCCCTTCTCTTCCTTCCCGCTTCATTATTTTGGTGGTACATCAGCGTCAACAATGCGGGAAAACCTAAGTTCCTGTTTTTCACTTGGTTATCCTATGTTTGGCTCGGTCTAGTGCCAATGATTGGGGTCGTGTTTGGTATAGCAGTAGACAAACTTTATCAGCCTAAAGGTTTTCTAAATCCGAGCACTTTACAGATGTCTCTCTGTATAACCCCTCTTCTGCTCCTGTTGTTGTTTCACACTGGAATGGAATCAACCATACACAGAAAAACGATAGTCAACTTGTCAATCAAAGCCGCCATTGATCTCGTGGATGCAATCGAGCTTCTATCGATTGTGATTGACGAAATTGATACTAGTCATGATGTGCCAAAAAGTGTTGAGAAGTTGCTGATTTCCTTTGCCTGTATCAGCATTTTGTGCCAGTCGGTACTGGGCATTCCTTATGATGAAAAGCGGCTTGAAGAAGGAGGAGACGAAACGGAAGTATCCCTCGCCAATAGTCTCACCCAAGTGTTGCTGAATATTGTGTTTTTAGGGCTGCGCCTCGGATTAATTTTTAATTTCAACAGAGTCGCTTCTTTGTTCATCGCTAAGAACATTGTTATGATTGTGGGTCGTTTGTTCGAGTTGAAATATCTTACTACACTGATTTATCAGGATGTACCAACCAACGAACCGGCTTCAGATACTACAGCAGCTCCTGCAGCTGCGGCCCCTAGTGCTGGAGAGTTCAACGCGGACGATCGTCCACCTCCTTACACAAGTTACTAGGACTGTAAGAGGTAGAAACAGTGACTTGCGCGTCTAAAGCAGCGGCTTGCGCTTTGAAACAACTACAACGCGAGCACCCGCGGTGTCAAAGACTAGAGACTGTTTTCTCCCAGGAAACTTAAGTCAAAAGGATAGCTAACAAGCTTTTGGTAGGCGTAGTTAAAAATATAGACGGCTTGTTTTGTTGTTGTTGTTTATTCAGTTTAATCAGAAACATTACTTGCTAGTTCTGTTATCACTATGCTGTCTCACGACTAAGTTCGAGTAGGAAACAAAAGAAAACGAAGCGAACACACAAATCAACAGAAAGTTGCCAAACAGCATTTTCTTGCGCAGAATTGTTTTAAGAAAGTAAGCGGTTTGTGTTACTCCACTATGATCAGTTTTGCGCATGACATCAGTGCTGAGCTGATTGTGTTAAAATAAACGGTTTCCTAACTACTCGCTAAGGAATGGAATAGGATCAAGCTCAAACATTACTTAGAAATATTGTCAAAACGTCACTATGCAGAAATTCAATACTGGGCCAGTTTGAAAATGTTTATCTTAAGTTATCATGATCACCTCCACCCCCCGAAAAAAAAGAAAAAAATCATGTGATCATTGTTAACATTTTTGTGCAACAATCTTGATTAAAGGAAGTCTGAAAATAGCCTAGGATTTATATTATGAGACAGGTTTAAGAAGAAGTCGCTATCTTTCCCGCAGACGTTTGAGTACAAGGAGCAATGTGAAATGATTGGCTTGTTGGCTTTATGTATTGTAAATAGCTTGAATTACATATATTATATTTTAAGCATCATTTTCGTATAGTTAGACTTTAAACGTATCAAAGCAATGTTACACTTTGACTACTGTGATGCAGCTTTGCCTGTTTGTATCATCTATTGTAAATCACTGTAGGTTTTTACATATATTTTTAGCATGTAATTTGTATAGTTAGACTTTGAACATAATTGATATTATATTTTGAAAAGCCTTAACAATTCACAATGATCGACTTTCTTTTCCTTTAATAATTTTTTGTTGTCTCAGAGAAACTGCAATTTGCTATGCTCTGTCGTTTGTCTAGTACAGCAGCGGACAGACTTGTGAGGAAGTTCCTAAATTTGGAAGACTTTTTTCCCTCTTTGCCCAACTCGGAACAACCAAATATACTTGAACCGATTTTATTTGATTGAGTCAATGATTATGCGACTGTTTGTTCAGACTACTTCCACTTGCTGGTCCAAGGTAAGGTCCACCTCCGATCTTGGACTATGGACCTTGACTTGGTCCAGTTACAACACTCACAGTTTAAGTCGCCTATCGGTTATTTTGTATTCAGTTTCGTTGTTACATAACCGAAATATTCATGTAATGCTTGCAGTGCAACTTAATCAACTTGAATTTCTTTAATTTCAGGTGAAATTATTTCACTGTACCAAATTAACAGTTTCAAATCCATAAAAGAATGTCGAAGATTATTGTTTCAATATTCAAAGCATTTTGAATGTTATGACTGAAACATGCTTACTAGCGTCGATTTATGTAAAGTTCCCTTTTTCATAACGTTTGCCTCTTTCTTGGCAAGGATAAGGATATAAAGGAATGTAAATCCTGGCAGATGTTCTTAGCAGTTGTTATCATTTGAGTGATATTTTTGCTATTCTTCCGCCATTTTCTCCGTCTGTAAATTCTCACTAGATCATCAGTAGACATGATTAACGTCAATTGTTTTTGTATCAGCAAACATGTCCCAAATTGGGTCAAGGCTAGCTACTTATGAAGAATTACCCCGAGGTATTTCCGCCCACTAGAATCAGATTTTGAATGAATAATAAGTGGGATTATTAAATCCCCTGGCTAATTCTTCAAACTCCAGTTGGCCAAAGCCGGACAATGCTTGTGATATCCGATGAAATGACTTCAATAGTGCGAGCTATCGCCAGAAAAAGGCTTGGTAACCAAACAGGGCACAAGCTTGTGTTAGCTCAGCTGTTTTCGTAGAGTTGGAGAAAATGGCGGATAATTTCACACGTTTTGCGAAGGAGAAAAAGCCAAAAACTACTTCCCTCAAAACGTAGAGAGAACAGCAAAAATACAACTTGACCGAGGACAACTGTTATTTGAAGACTATATGCATTACATTCTCTATATATCAGTTACATTCTGAATTTTACGACGAACAGACAAATGATGACAGGAACTTGGCATCGATCTACGCAGGAATGTTTTTGAAGTAAGAATTTCTTTTGAATAAATTTAAGACACAGAGTTATCAATAATTGCTATATAATTCAGCTTACCTGACAGTCAACGCACACTCCTCCTCCAATCATTGATCCGTTTAGGCTCATGCTAAGGCCCAGGTCGCTCACGGTTTGATTGTACATACAGTTCCCAGCATGATTATGACAGTTACACGCTTTAAAGACGGGAACAAGTAACGATTAAACAAACATTTAACATTTAAATGGACTGTTTAACCTCAAATTGGACCATTCAAGTCATCCATGATTTCTCTTAGGATAAACTAGTTTTGCAAAATTAAGTTGCGAACAATCGAAATCAGTGTTTGTGTACTAATTAAATATTTATGACCTACCTTAGCAACAGAGCGTCTGTGCGTAATAGTATTTTGGGGGTCATTCACTAGATTAGCTTTTGCTATTTGGATGATCCCAACTTGCTCCTTATCTAGATACTACAATTTTTGTTCATTACTTTTGTAAATGTATTTATTTGTCTTTGCTAATTGAATCTCATGTGTAAAACCGAGTCCTGTGAAAGAAATCTCCTTGTTTTCTTGTCTCACACAGGGATTAAACTGTTCGGGTGAGATCTTTACACATTGAAGAGATTGTAGTCACGAATTACCAAGGCAACTGTTTTATTTTCGGCGAGCTTCATGTTGGTGTTACTGCGGGTTTTAGGCCGGGAGCTAAACGACGTTCGTATAGTTACCAAGACAATTTTGTTTTTTGCCTAAATTTTGGCAGAACCAGATTTTTAGCTGGATGTAATGTACATTGCTTATTTTCCCTTTAACTTAAACTCACGTTCGCAATTAGCAGCAGGGTCGTTTATCCATGGCGCGCCACTTCCTGGTTTCCACGGGAACTGGTTGTACAGCGAACAGCACTTGTTACAATGCGCGCCGCATGTGTTACCTTGACACTGACATGTGCGTAAGCCTGTTGATTGGTTGGACGGACATTGGTTGCCATCTGCGTGCCCTTTGCAGTCACACCGAGCTGTTACAGCAATTTCACGCACGGTGTAATGATGCTATGGCATGTGAGATAAACAAGAAAACTTTATAGTCATAGTAGGACTTGTTAACTTCACACGTCCCAAAGAAAAATCTCAAAAGAAAAGGAGCCAGCGCTTTAGTCAATAAAATAGTCTATGAAGCTGGTGAATGTTGTACTAAGGATGCATTAGTATGATGGGCCAAAAAAATTGGCCGTATTAACGAGCGTTTTTTTTTTACAAGAAAATGTATGGCTGCTTTGCCGGGCGACCAAAAACAGTGGCCGTAATAACGAGCTGACCGTTTTACCGAGGTAGCCGTAAGGCAGGGTTTCACTGTAGTGAATTTTAAGTATGCGCGTAGGCAATCTTTTCAAATATAAGTAACACGGTTTACCTACCCATTTTGTTGCCATGTTGTCAAACTTTCTGTATAAACCCGAAAAGCTAAAACGCACTGCCGTAGCATTCATCCAGGACTGAAAGAAAAACAATTATAAGCAATGCAAGTACAGTAATAGCCCGCGTATAAGAACCTGGGTTTTAAGAACCTGTTAGGCTAAAATTTTCATTTTAAGCCCCCTCCACATAAGAACCTATTTAGGCTAAAATTTTAAGTTAGGTTCTTATCAGTGGGGTTGCTGTAAAAGTGTATAGGTAGAAACTTTCTTTGTTATGTTTTGTTAAGGACATATGCTGTACCTACATTGAACTGCCTATAGGCATTGCTCTATGGTACAAATAAATGATTTATACTGTATTATGAGATGATTTTTATAATATATATAGTATATTCAGATGAAATTCATATGAAAATATAAGAACCTATTTTAAGAACCTCGGTAGCCTAACTTTGCTTTAAGTACCATTTATATAAGAACCTATTTAGGCTAAATTGAAAAATTCAGGTTCTTATACGCGGGCTATTACTGTAACTGACAGCCAAATAAGAAACCAGCTAAAAGCAAAAAAATAACTGATTTTAGTCATAGCTGTCGGGTATACTCTCTTTTTTTCATTACCTGTAAGCCTGGGGTGTAAGGATCTGGTGTACCATCTCCTCTCTGATTTTGATCGAGTTCAATAGATATCTAAGAAGAAAGAAGTTTAATTAATAAGTGGAGTTATTGTTGAAGAGTAGATGGCCTTGGTTGTTTTGTGATTTAGTCATAGAGGGCTAATTTGGTCTGGGGACGTATCTGGCTATCTTTTGAAACTTAGGGTCCTAATAGCTTCAATCCGTTTCCTTGACATGAGTGTTTATTTAAAATTTTCAGGTTTAAGGCCATAATCAAAAACCTACCGTTTCATTGTATTCCGGGGGAACATATCGGCTGTACTCCATGCAGAGAACTTGGTCTACTCTGTCAATTACGCCCCGAAAAGCCTGGACTCCAAACGTGGCACTGCACTGACGGGAAGCAGGCGGGGTTACCAAGTAGTGCCAAGGTGTAAAGGTAGCTCCATAATCGGTTGACCGCTCCACCATTATCGCTCCTGGTCTCCGGTAGTTACCAAATATAATCTCGATGTTTTGGGCAAAAAACGCCTTCAATGAAAAGTAATAATATGCAAATGCTAACAGTAATCACTTGAGTTGATCCAACGGAGTTATGTTCAAAGCCATGTTCATGCTTCCTCTTGGCTCATTTTAATTGACAAATGAATGATTGTGATATACTCCAAAAGGCTCAGACAGTTGAAAAAACCTTAAAGGTTTTAGAAACACAACAATTCTTTATAATATACTGAAGGCACGTTTTGACGGTAAATCCATCATTGTCAGCGCGGTGTTTACAGACAAATTTGTTGATTTCAATGTACGCCACATAGCCTAATTCATCTCAAACTTTCTAAACTGCCACACTAGCATATGCACTGCAGTCCAAACATTTCTAGTATATTTAGTAAAATTTAGTTTTGTTTCTAAAAACTGGAATTGTATTTTTCTTTCATTTTCATCGTCCCATATATGGATCGCATTCGTTTGATATTTAATAATTGCGCTCATCTTAGCTGCACTAAACTCACAGTTAAGTTATTTCACTATACTCAAAATAATCATTATAGTCGTTATATCTATATCATGAAGGAATGAGGCCTATACTGGAATCAGAATCATATTATGCAAATGTGTTTTTTAACATGTGCTAATTGCTATTCCTGGTACCTGTTCAAAGCTGATTGTAATGGAAGCAATGTCTTCTCCAGCAGTAGATTGCCAGTGTGTTCCTAATAAACTATCTACCATGTTATCTGGTGGATATGCTTTTGATGGATCACTAGCATTGCAAATGAACGGGACCCTGTCGACTGCACTTAGAGAGCCTTGTTGTGTTTCAAAAAATTCTTCAGGTGGACTTCCGCACGTAATGTTTGCACTGGTTTTCTTCAAATAAACAGCGTTGAAACCCGAGTGCACTTCTTGAAAAAGAGAAGCCAGATAAATAAAGAGTAGCATAGGATTTTGCAAGATAAGATCCATGCTAGTAATAAATCTTGATTAACAGAAAACGTGCCTGCCTTCCTCCATTTCTAAATGTAATCATAAATGTTTTATTAAGCTGTTCTATGAATATTTTAAGAGTTCCTTAAGTAACAGACGCTGCAGGTCAGGTTCAGGGACCTACGCACAAGTTTAAAATTTCACCCTTAGCCACATCACGGTCCTGAGCTGCTGATCTGGAAAGCCTTTGGATATTTCTAGCCTGTGAACACAGACCTACTTCTGGTCGTCGCTTCTCTCCACCTCTTATTTTTCGGGTGGAGAGAAGCGATGACCGGAAAAACATCTGTGACCGCAGGCTAGGGTATTTCCATCTCTAACAAACGCTGGACTCAAGTCATGAATATCTTAGATAAAGCGTATTTCCATCTCTTACAAGCCCTGGACTCAGGTTATGAATATCTCAGATAAAGCGTTCCAGATGTTAGATGTTCCTATGACAACAACCTAGGTATACAATATCAACCGCTATGCATTATCAACAAAGGGGAAATAAGTAATATAATCAATATCAAAGGAATGCAAGGTTTATCGGCACTTTTACACTTTATTCGCTACATGGCTAGCTTCGTTGACGTTGATCATTTGATGAAATCTCATGCACTTAGTTATAGGTGACCGGAAAGCCGGGGGAAGAATGGGTACAACTTAGCTGTCGCGCGGTTGAAAGATTTCTAGCTTCCTTTGGGTGGATAATATGAGCAATGATTGGTGTCATTGGATCCGGCATCCACCAATCATAACTTGAAAAAAAATCTTGTTCCAGATCAGGCTTCAATCTTTCCTCCTCTACTGTTTGAAGTCAGTTCCGATGTAACCGGTGAATTAGAATAGTTTATACACGACAATAAAGCTTAAAAGTGTAAAATGTATAGACTATACTTACGATAATAATCTTTCAAGGACCTCTTACGTCAAGGCAGAGGAAATAGATATTTTTTCAGTTTATTACATTAAACACGGTAAGGTGCAGTCAAGGGTCATAGGCTCCTGCAAGTCAGTATATCATAAATGAACGAAGGAGAGCGAGGGGACCAAAAAAGATAAGGTTTTGAAGTTTAACGTTGTAATGAATCCTAAAATAAACAAACAAAGCAAATAAATAAACACATTGGAACATTCAAGCGCTTACGCTATAATAATATTCATAACTAATAGGCCATTTGCACGATGACGTCATTTTGTTACCACGAGCGGAATCCTTCAGGATTTTGTCATGTTTTGTGTTCTTGTGCAAATTAGGGCTTTTGTTATTTAAACTTCGCAGGAATTACCGAATTTCAATATGAAAACAAAAACGAAAAGGATTCTGGTCATAGTAGTAAAATGACGCGATCATGCAAATGGCCTATTAAGCCGTGATTGGAAAGGATCTTGGTCAGGCTTGTCCTCCTCGCTTCGTTAGTGTACCGGCCTAGCTAGTGCACCAGTGAAGTTTGCGAGTTTGTGTTTATTAGAGTCCTATCTTTATCTAATAATATGTATGCAGTTACTGATGTGTGTGATTATCAGCGAAAAACATATAAAATCTCCTTAATTGCTTTACTCAGCTCCAAAGACAAAACAGATAAAAGATACACGAGTATTTACTAGTAGCATCCTGACACCGATAAAAATTATCTGCAAGGGGTCACCTCAAAAAGAGCGGAACATCATCAGTGGCTTGCTCCTACTCTGTTGCTTCAAAACACACTCTCTCTCTCTCTACAAAGCAGACACTTCCGGATATTCGGCTATAACAGAATGCTCTGCACGAAAACAAAACAAAACAACAAAAAAAACACTTTGACTCACATATGACGCAAACTCACTGTATAAATTATAAGGGTTTTCTAGCCCCTATTTAATTAATCGAAGCTAATTTATCCTCTTAGATAAAGGGAGCCATAGTCAGTGTCGCCCGGCTTTTGTATTTGAGCCATGCATTTCAACTTCAACTTTAGCAACAACGACCTCGCGATATTGCGCGTAGTTTTGCCCAACACGAGAAGGTCTGATAAAGTCTGACAAAATCGGTCTTTTTTCTTTTAGGAAGGTAGTGCTTCCTCGAGCAGGGAGTGTTGTTGCACTTCTGATCGGGGAAAATAGGAATTGAGAAGAAATTATGAAATCCATAAAGAGGCTGAGAGTGACCCTACAGCTATTATTTTTGGTATTTCTTCTGAATATTTCCGGACCATGAAACGAGTTTCCAGATCAGATAACCACAACGAAAATTACTATTGTACGTTTGCAATTTAAGCTAATTAAAGGCAAAAATTACCTATTCCACTGAATTTTATACCGAAAATGAACTGATTTATCTATATTTTAATTGGCAATATAATATATTCACTTTATGATTCACCGCTGAATCCAAAATCACTGACATTTTTTTAAGTCAGTTGAGATAGAAACGATAGCCTCTGCTTTATATTGTCGTCTAAAGAAAGGAAGAATATTTGATTGAAGTTAGTCATTTGATTTGGATTTAAATGACAACTAAATAAAGTTGCTATGTAATACTGAGTTTGGTTCATAAAAAGGTTTCATTGCTAACAATGATATTAATAAAACGTGCAAACTAAACTCAACGTCTGCACAGGATTGATTTCTACACGGAAACTTATACGGTTAATGATACTTCCATTGATTTCTTCCTTCTTCAAAAAAAAGAATTTTTTCAAAAAATAATTGAGAACTTTAAATAACAGGACTAGGCGTAAATTTAGATAGGGAAACTACGAGCTAGGGATTTGCATTTTTGCTGGTGAGTATGATTGCATTGTAATCGTTCTTTATGATTACGCTTTTAAAAATGTCACAACAAAGCTTTCTTTTAATGAAATGGTATTTAAATTTTGTTTGAAACTATTTTGTCGTCGCTGTTTCCCTGATGTGGTTTATGACTAAGAATAAATCATTATCACTTTTCTTTGATCCACTGGCTTATTTTATGCGACAGCTCAAAAATACTTGTCGATCAGTATCCTCTCTGATTTATACGGTATCAGATGAGATAAACTGATAAATGTTTCTTGACATAGCAAGTAATGGCTTCGTTTTGCATTTGGCAGGAATGGCGAAACTCCCAGTTGGCGCATAAAAAATTAATAACAATTTAACTTACAACCTGCTACCCAGGTGAATGGGACGCGAAATGTTTAAAGAGAAGAGAGACGTTATATGCTTTTGTTGTTTCCAGCAACGAATGAGCTTGAAATATGCATATCGGCAGGAAATTTCCTAGTTGGTTAAAGCTAATTCCTATATAAAACGGTGTTTTAGTGAGAACAGTGACAATTACTTGTTGTTATTTAAAGGTGTAAACAAACTCGCGTGATAAACCCGTCGCGGAGCGCGGACGCTGGGTTTATTGCGCATGTTGTTTTGCGCATGTTTTAGTCGCGCTGAGTAAAGCTTGAAGAGAAGATGTCGGACGAGGATCTGCGAGGTTCTTAGCTCGATTTGGTTTTATTTCTTTCGATATTTATGTATTTCCTTTTGCGATACTTTTTCCTTTTAGTTGTTGTTAACATGACTGTGTCTTGCTTGCAACTTTCTGCTCGTAGACACCGATACAGGGAAGAAGAAAGGCTTCTTCTCCAGCCTGAAGCGCTCGAAGTCAAAAGGAGGCCGTGGTAGGAAAAACACCAAATCGAGCTCCATGCCGCATCTTCCTCAGTCTTACGCTCAGATAAATGGGAATGCTGTTAAACGTACTGATCAATTTAATATTTCTCAACCAGCTAAAGGTGGTGCCGAAGAAGATGGGGCTGCACCTGTACCTTCACCTAGTGAGGCCGGAGGTTTAACGGAATGTCCCGCTCAAGATGTCTCGCCCGGCTCATTGGTATGTTGGCCATGACATATTTTTAGTTTTAGAAAAGTTTAATAAGAAAGAGCAAATCGACGCTTAAGGAAGAATCCTTTGTTGTAGATTGCCCGTCGAACTCGATTGTTGTTGTCATGCCATCGACAATTTCCCCTGGTTTCAAATTTCAAGGGTTTTCCCTTTTACCTGCTTTTATTGATGAAACCTTTACATACCATTATCCATCCTATTTTTAAGGCTGGTGATGTAGCCAGAGCTGGAAAATGTGCATTCTTTTCTCTAGAAGTAGAGTTAAAGGATGGCAGAGACTTGGCAGCCCGAGACAAAACAGGTACCTGTATTTTTAATACACCAGTTATGAAGAAAAATATATCAAGCTTATTTGATATTGTGTTTCTCAACAACATATTCTGATTCTTGATTTCTTCTGAAATACTCTGCTAATTTTTAAAAGTACCAGCATAAGATAAATTAAATCTTTGTTTTCAAATTTTGGATGATATATAAACCATAACAGATTAAACCTCTAAGACTAAGAATTAAAATTCGCTAAACGGAATGATATTTGTAAACAAGTAGCTTGCGGAATGTTTTGAATTCGGATAAAACTAAGCCAACATAATCTGAAATAGTGACTTCTTAAAGATTTAATATCGAACTTTAGTTGTTTTCGATTTACTGCATAACGTAAAACTTTACCATCCTCATTGCTCATTTTGGTTGGATATAATTTTTAGGAATATTAATATTTTTTTAGTGTTAATAAGATTTAATACGTTCTAAACGTCAGTGACTCATCATTTAATGACAACTTTGCCTATATTATTTGAACAATTTAAAAAAGTTCAACTTAAGTTTTACTCTGACTGGGTATACCTATTAAGTCGCAAATATTGCGCTTTAATACCTTAGTGACTAGCTTTACTTTGAAGCATGCATTTTATTTCCTTTGTTTGCATATGGCTGAACTGTCCTTTAGTAAATGTAAAATAAGAGACCGCTGTATGTGATGCTGTGGTTAATATCCATCGTGTTAAGAATACAGTAGTTTCACGAGAATCGCTTGGAGAATCGTGTGTTTTAAATTTCTAGAGACTTAGTGAGACATTTTATCAGTTAACACCCTAGTCTATTATTAATTATTAATCAATTTTTCAAATATGGCCTTAGACTTACTATGCAACAGCACAGCACTAGTTCAGGTGAAGAACTTTGTATTAACATGTCTCAAAGACAGACAACTGCATGACTGTAGTAATCATCCTTGACAGACAATGTTCTGTTGGTTGGTTATTGGTTGAAAGGTTGTTGAATTATATTAAAAAAGATAGCTAATTGACAGATGTACAGGTATCTAAACAGGTGGTCTACTTGAGTAACCAATATAAGCAAATGCATAAAGTCTGACATGTTGTCCTTATAAATACACATTATGTTTGATTGGAGAAAATTTTTTCCAGTCCTTTGTGGTGATAAAAAAAAATTCTCCCTTTCTTGGAGTCACTTTGACTCCTTTTCCACAAATTTTGGAGTCATTTTGGAAACTGTGGATTCAAAAAATTTGAAAAAACTTTACTTTTTATGAGGAGCAAGAAAACTGAAAGTTACGCTGTCTTACTTTCGTTTTACTGACTATGGATTCATTACAAATACACCAACTTTCATTTTGTCTTTTCCCTGTACATGCAACCAATCTGCTATTAGTTAATGTCTTTTTTGATAAGTTCATAGCAATATCAAAGTACCGTTACCAATCTCAAGTTGTAAGTGTCAACATTGTCAGATTTTGGTAATACAATGCTGAGATGTTTTTTTTCGAAGATGAAGACTCCATTTTGAACATGTGGAAGGTAGATACTTAATACAACTATTACGTGAAGAATATGAACAAAGGACAACTTCTGACCAGCAAGTTTGACATTCCAAAATAGTAGCCAAAGTAGCAGTCTTGAATATCAACACAAAGAAGCGGTAGAAAACTTCATTTATCAAGGAAATGATGCCACAAGCCCGCCATTTCCTTCAACCTTCTATATATGGTTTCATTAGGAATCTAACAATGTTTAAATTTTGCCTGCCAGATTTTTAACATTTAGCTCAATAATTAAATTTTATATATCATGACTCTACGTTGGAGTCAAGATCATGACTCCTTGTAGGAAATTTTTTGAGTCATAGATAAATTTTTGGCATAAAACGTATTTGTAATCCATGGCTTTGTAAAAAATTCATAATGCCTGCACCTTCATGTTTCTAAAGAAATGACTGAAACTGTTTGTAGATGTTATAAACATGTATCCAAAAATGCCCATTTCTTGAAGTACATGCATGTTATCCAAACTGTGAAATTTCTAAGGATGTTTGCATAATAAATCTTTCGTATGTTTCTCAGCACTCAGTTTCTGTGGTCTAATCTGCTAAGGTGCAAATAGTACAACAGGGTAAACGTGCAGTAGTAAAAAACAGACTTAAAGCCAAAAAAAGTTAATGCATTAATATTTGTACTGATTTGTAGTATTGATGATTTTCTCCTCTTTCCTGAATTAGAAAATGCAACATTTCCATTGATAATTATAATCTCATCAAATGGATAGCACACACTCACTTACTCAGTCTGAAACTTTGGCTCATCCTCGGTGTAAGAACCTGTTAAACTCACTGGTGACATAAAACAAAGAAAACAAAGAAGTCAACACTATAAAACCTAGAAAAACAAAAGGTACAAAACAAAGAAAAAGTTCACAGGTTACCGAGGTAAACCCGAAACTTTGACGTAACTTGACATCACAGTTTCAATCCATGCTTCTCTCAGTTTTAATTCAAAAATTTCACTGGTCAAAATTAAATTCACTCTAAAATTTTTGGACTCAGATTGATTCTCTATTTCCTTCGTCTCATAGCCCTTATTATTCATGAATAAAGGCCAGGAGACAAAGGAGATTGAGAATCAATCAGGTTAAAAAAAATGAACCTCATGAATTTAATTTTGACCTGTAACAGATATTCAAGCAAAGTTTTTCATATTCACATAAACCAGTTAGACCAATTATTATTGCAATAATGAAGATACTTTGTAATTTTTTTGACATGTAACTTTGTAATAGTTTGTCATAATAATAGTAATAAATTATTAATACAGGGTAATAATGGAAAGAATAATAACAAACAATAATAATAATGATAATAATAATAATTTAATGAAGTAATACAGATAAATTAGGCATTATGATAAGCAGGATAATGCTCTTGAGTTTTGAATATTTATTTCACTAATATTGTTTTAAAGTTGAGTTTTCTTAGCAGGTGACTCCTGTTTTGGTATGTCATAAAGTTAAATATTTTAAATAAATACAACACTAATAAGTCAAAATTAAATGCTTTTACTAATGGCATTTAACAGTTGCTATAATTTTTAAAGGAGCTGAATTTAAAACATCAAGTCTTCGTTCATACTTTATGAAAGTTGACAGTAATTTGTTTGGATATTCTTACAAAAAATAAATAGCAACTTTTTTTTTTGAAGAACAACGACTGCAAGTACATTGAAATAAAACCCATGAATAAGAGATTTTCTGTTGTCATTAACAGATTGGAAATGGACTTTTATCTTTTCTTCCACGGCTTGATTATTTCAGAGTTGATTATTTTTTAAAAATAAACACTCAACATGTGACTATGTATGTGTGCGTTAAACTTTTATTAGTTTGCAGCTTGTTGCTCTCTCATGGCATTTAAAATGTTGTTAACTGTGGTCATTTTATTAGATTCTTTTAGTGTGGAATTTCTTCATGAAAAGCCAGTTACTAAACCTATCACCAGGGCACCAGGTTTGATTTAATCCTAAACAAAACATAAAAAGATAAACTTTTTTGCTTAGAATAGTTAAAATGAACATTACTTCACATAACATAAAGTGACTGCATAAAAATGGTTACACTAAAATTTTTTATTCTTCAATGTAACGGTTCAGTTGACTTAACTAACATAAGAACATTTACATGTAAAAGACTGAAATAAATGAATAGTATACAATGTATTTCAAATTTATAAACAGTATTCTGAAATGACAATAAATTTAAATTTAAATTTCATAAATTATAATAGCATTAATAAATAAAATATTATTAATATGCGAAAAACCTAAACTGCTTACTAAGGCCTTATACACTTAACACCTATGAAAACTTATTGATATCATTCATTTCTTAAACAGTGTTCTCACCAGAATTTTGTGATTTGTGGCCTAATGACACTAGGCCTTGAAGCGTCTGGGCCATTTAAAACAAAGAAATTATGAGTCACAAGAGTTCACTCAGTTTGAAGTTTTCAACTGAAATTTGTGTAATTATAACTACAAACACTGGAATAAAACCAAATGTCCTAACCAAATATTGTTGTTTATAGTCGTACTAGATAGAAAACAACAATAAAATATTGCTCATTATAATCAAACTCATATTCCGCCGGGAGCAGTAAAAAACTTGATTGCCTATTTACAACCAAAACTGACTTTTCAATTAAGTTGCTACATTTCTGCACCCTGTGGGCCCTTAGACTTTTTAAGTGCACCATTTCACTAATAAATGTGTGAATCCCGCAATGGTGTAGTGTAGTGAAGACACTGCTTAAAATGTGTTTTTGAAATTTTTTTATCAATATAGATATTTATTTTTTCTTTTCAGGCACCAGTGATCCTTATGTGAAATTTAAAACTGATGGAAAACAGATATACAAAAGCAGAACTGTGCAAAAGAACTTAAATCCTCAGTGGAATGAGAAATTCTGTGTACCTATTGAAGATATAACTGTTCCTCTTATCTTAAAAGTACTTGATTTTGATCGAGTTGGCAATGATGATCCAATGGGAAGAGCTGTTGTGGATTTGTCAGCAATTGAAATTGAGAAGTAAGTTTCCTTATTATTTTAAACCCCTTCTCTTTATTTTATAATACACACTAGTAGGTGTGTAAAATAATATTTCTTTGTTTGATACTTGTAGTTACATTAGGGTGCTGTTTCAATTCACTATTTAAAAGCTGTTTTAAAGCCATGCATTCATAGAAATAGCAATAGAAAAGAGAAAAAAATGCAAGCATTAAAAGGTTTACTGTGAAACTCACAAAACTGTGAGCACCAGAAATATTTGTGGAATGTTATTGTGTTATTGCGAGGAATTAGCCAATAAGGTGTGAGATAACTCAACTGCAAAGAGCAACTGTAATTAGTTTGTGGTTTTGAGGTTTGCTTGCATGTCCTGAACTTTATGTGACTGGTCACTACACAATCAATATTGGACCTGAAATATTTCAAGTGTTCATGGTTTTCTGCATTTGACAGTAAAATGTTTTAAGTACATGTGTACCTGTACTTCACTTTTGTGACATGGTTGTGTGTGCCAAACTGGCCTGAGCTACATGTACCATTGTATCTGAAAGTTGTTGAGCAAACACAGTTGTGCTTATCCTGCCTATTTGTTTTTTCTTTCTTAATAATGTAATATTTATGAACTCAGACCTACAGAAATGATCCTTGACCTAGAGGACCCTGATGGAGGAAAAGAAAAGTTGGGTCAGATTTGTGCAATCTTTACTGTTCAGCCAAAGAATTTTGAGGACAGGCAAGAGGTAAATATAACTCATATCCATAAAAACTGTATAGAGGGTATTTCCTGGAAAAGTGAAGTCGAGGACTAAAGGCCCCAGACCTCAGCTCTACACAGCTTTGTAATTACTTCGACACAGAATTTATAATTTATGTTAATTGTACTGATTTTTATGGTATAGTGCACACATTCTTGAGTGCAGGTATATGGGAAAAGCTTGGGAACAGCTTAGCTTGGCTCTCTCCTTTCCCTAGACAAGGCTTGTCATTAAGCCAAACAAGACAGCTTATTTTTGTGGCTGGTTTTGCTGCTTAGGTACAAATATGGATGTTATTCACCAGATGGCGACTTACACTTAGCCTCTCCTGGATATTGCAAGCCTTTCTTTTTTTGTGTGAATAATTTTCAGAATTTTTAGTGACTTCATTTCAATTTAAGTCCAGTCCTTTTATTGATTTTTCCCAAATTATTTTGCTTGCAGGTTTCTAAAAGAGCTTCAACTTCAAAGAAGGGCCAGCCTCCTAAAGAACCCGGCAAAGGACAACTGTGGGATGGACTGGTGTCGATCATTCTTGTAGAGGGCAAAAAAATGATCCCCATGGATGATTCAGGTGAGGAGAGGACGACTTGACTGATCAAACAGTTACAAAGCAAGAAACTGGAATTGTATAAACCAAAGTAATAAAGAAGAAAAACTTATTGTTGTGAATTGCTGTACTTAAACGTGCGGTCCAAGATCTCTTGTCGGAGACTATACTTGTACATCTGTTCATACATGTATAGTTATGCCACTTTATGCAGCCATTCTGTTTCAGATACATGTTACTCTTGCATTGCACTGGAGTTTTAACAAAACTAACATGAATAAAACGTTCTAATTTTTAGGTCTTAGTGATCCTTACTGTCGTTTCCGTTTGGGAAATGAAAAGTACAAAACAAAAGCCTGCAAAGAGACTCTGAGCCCACAGTGGAAAGAACAGTTTGACTTGAAGATCTATCCTGACTCTCCCATGATGTTGGAGGTGACTGTGTGGGACAGAGATGTTAGAAAAGATGAATTCATGGGAAGGTAAAATGTTCATTATTCTCATGTTTGTTCCTCTATGAATTGATATCCACAAAACAGCATACTTTTTCTCAGACGATGCTGCACAGGAACCCTAATCTTTGTTTAGACCAGGGAGACCATTCACGATGAAGCAATCTTATAAACAGTCGAATCCTGGAGGAGTTACATAAATCTCATAAAATAGCTTGAAAGTGAGGGGGTTTGTATTTAGATGTTTTTAAAAATCGTGTCCACTTGAGGGAATTTAAAAAAAAAAAAATAGAAAGTAAAGAAAGCAGAAAGTACTCCCTTTCCATACATTTTTATTGTTTCAACGACCATAAATGAGTGTGGGTAAAATCAAAATATCCGTTTGATAGCCACCAAAACCGTATTTAACGAAAATAAAAAAAGAACGGCTAGATAAGATTTCCAAAAACCTGAAGATGATTGGCAATAAGTAACATCGACAAGACAAATGCTTCACAATGTGTTCGTCCCATGAAGTTGAATTTCGTGAATAGTGTTACGTAGTGTTTTTCCCTGCCAACCTCAGCCTTTTAAAATGGACCTCCACAAGAAAATAGAGATGCCATGGTCTTTAGAACTTGTGCAGAGTTTTTTATATTGGAAAACCTGGTTTCTCTGAGTGGTAACCTGAAAATCTACTCATCTGTTTCTGATTGACAGGTGTCAGATTGATCTATCAACACTCGAACGGGAAAAGTCGCATAAAATCGAGGCAGCACTGGAGGATAATGCAGGGACTATAGTAATGCACTTATCCATTACAGGATTGGACGCACCGGGGTGTGAATCAGACTTAAATACATTTGTAGAGAAACCTGGACGACGACAAGAGGTCGCTAAACAGTTCATGTTAAAGAATACACCCAAAAAGATTAAAGACGTTGGTTGGCTTCAGGTAATAAATATTGTGGATTAGGTGAAGCAAAACTTACTATTGATGTACTGCACCCGCCCTGTTTGTATTAAGCCTTTGAGCACTGTACATTGTAAACCCTCATCTATAGTTAGTAGTTTTTATTTAATTCCCCCCTCCAATCTCAAATCTCAAATATCAGTGAGCCGCTTGATCTTGATCGTTTCAGCACAGGGTTTCCAGACTCGCAACAGCCTATTTTATGGGAATTTATTGCACGGAAGAATTCTAAGTAGGTGAGAAACCAAAACACTAAAACTTGCTAAAATAGCGTTTATAGGGCGGAAAACAGTAAGAAAACAACATAGACACAGCTCTTTGTGAGGTATGTGTACTTAATTAGCTGTTTGTGTAGATTTTAACCGTTTTATCGACCTTACGATAAATTCCCATACAAATCCATTTAATGTGGCTTCCACTAGGCAGTTGTGAGTCTGGGACCATTGTGGTTTCAGGAGTAAGTCCCGCTTCAGGACGCAGATCTCTGAGTTAATTACGTTATAGCCGGCTGTATCTTGTATTATTGCTTTAAATAATCTTTGTGCAGGGAATAAAATTGTAGTGTAAAAGTTTGTTTCTTCACGACAGGTGAAACTTCATCGTGCAGTTGGACTGGCTTCAGCTGACATTGGAGGAACCAGTGATCCATTTGCTGTGGTTGAGCTTAATAACCAGCGTCTAGTCACCCCAACTTTGTACAAGACTCTTAACCCTGCTTGGGACAAAATCTATGAGATGTAAGTTCAACCATACTCAAATTGAACTGCTTCACCATGACCTCATCTAATCATCCATCTCGAAGTAAATAAACTAATTCTATATTTTACCGTCTCTCGCAGGACTGTCTATGATATTCACGACGTTCTAGACATTACTGTTTTTGACGAGGACAAGAGAGGCGCCCCGGAATTTCTTGGCCGAGTAGTAATTCCACTATTACAGGTAAATTAAGGCAGTTATAGAGAGTTATTCAATCATTTACAAGGTATCTACTGTACCGCTCTAGTGACTTAGGGATTGGCGTATGAGACTAGAACCGACTGGGTTCCTTATTGGAATAATTTTTACCGTAGAGACATCGAGTCTGAAATTGCCACCTGTTAAATGAATATGCTCTTGAAAAAAGCGAAATTTTCCTAACTTCAACTTTGATACTTTTTCAGCAACAAGTTTACATGTACAACAACTGTTTGTATTACAATCGTCACCCGAAAATAGCATGGCTAAAATCGCGGGTGCAAACTACATGTACATGAGTACATTAATTCTTCAAGACCCAAAAGTCAATAGATTGAATGAATTGCATTATAATGGTTACAGAGCACTTGTTTCATGTCACATTTATCCCTAGGTTACCCCCGGTGAGAAGCGTTTGTACCAGTTAAAGAATAAGAGCTTGGAAGGCAGGGTCAAAGGTCACCTTATTCTTACCCTTGATGTGGATTATAATCCAATACGGGCTGCGGTGAGGACAGTCAATCCAAGGGACCCTAAGACTATGTTTGATCCACCTAAATTCAAGAGAGCGGTAAGGAATTGCGTTTTGAGCTTGTTTGAATCTTCTTCTCCCAGAAACTTTAATTCGGTAGTGAAAAAGCGGATTGAATTCCATTGTCTACCATGTGGTTTCCTTTTTTTTCTCTTTTTGATGAACATTTCTGTTTCATGTGTTTTTGTTTTCAGTTGTTGCAGCGTAATATTGACCGCGTGAACAAACTTGTTGCAAGTCTGGTATCGACTGGGGCTTTTGTCCAGTCGCTCTTTACGTGGCAGTACAAATTTAGGAGTGCTTTTGCTTTTGCAGTAAGTATATCGGTTTAATCTCCTTTATCCATCCCCAAGTATCTGTTTTAGGCGCGTTTTACGAGATCCATTGATTTTGCCTTTTAGATCTACATTATGCTATGCCTGAACTTTGACTTCTACATTATACCGCTGACCCTCCTACTAACGTTCCTGAAGCAGTATGTGATGTGTATGTTACTTGCGGACAGAAACGTGAACCCTGAAGAACAGGTGCGTGCCTACTCATTCATATTCAGCAGTTTTTGAAAAAATGTGCAACTTGAGTCATGTTTTTTCAGGTCTTTTTTGGGCTTCCTCTTGAACTGACAGATCCACTTTTTGTAGTGTCGTACTGGCCTGGGATTATACTGAGTGTTTTTCTAATAACCACTGTTAATGGAGTAAATCCCCGTCGTCAGTCGAACATGATGTTCTGGGGTGGTACAAACTAGTACTTTCCTGCAATTTTACAATCTTTTACGTAGCAGTTGGCAGCAACTTCCGGGGAAAGTAGGATTGTTATGGCGCTTAGCTGGAAGTTTTTCTCTTGATATCGCACAGCTGGTCTCACCAATAAACACACGCGTGCATGATGATTTTATCCTTTTTTGCTACAGGAAGGAGCGCCAGTAGACGATGATGATGACTTGGAAGATGAAGAGGAAGATAAAGGAAAGAAAGGGGTAGGACATTAGGACTGTCGCAAAAAAACCGCAGTCAACTGTACTGAAGACCAACAACCTCTTAACGTTTTAATTAATCACTTGAAATGAGTGTCTTGCTAAACCTTGGGGATCTCACTGGGGTTAGGGTGACCTAAGTTATGCTCTGGTGACTTTGGAACTGAATGGGTGCCGGGCCAGCTGCAAATGTCCTTTCTCGTATACTCTATCCCTTTGTCTTTTTTTAATTTCATTTCCCTATTATATTCTAAAAGTGTGTAGCAAAGCAAATTTAGCATAGTTTTTGGCAGTTATTGCATGTGTAAAACAAACGGTAAGTTCGCACGCAAACTCTCCCAGTGCAACGTCCGCTGCCTGGAAAAGCTTAATAAATTTTAATTTAATATTAACTAGAATGACTTGAAGAGTTTTACTTGCCTTACAGGACAAAGGAAAGAGTTTCAAAGAGAAGATAGCAGCGCTAACATCCATCTGTCAGACTGTGCAAAACGCTCTTGATATGGTGGCCTCCATGGGCGAAAGGGTGAAAAAGTAAGTCGACTGTATGATAAAGAGTTTCGGTAAAATTATAAACCACACCCAGATGTTAGAAAAATACCTGAAGAACACAAGGATTAGAAAGCAGGGCTTAATATCCTTCAAAATAAAAAGAACGTACGAACTTGACAAACAGAACCTAACAATCCCTTCAAATGTCATTTGTGCTGTATATATTAGCGGTTGATATTCAGCGTACATGTGCCTTCTTACCAAACGTTTTTTTTCTCCTTGCAGCACTTTTAACTGGACGGTGCCATTTTGTTCGTATTTGATGTGTGTTATCTTCACGTTAGGAACAGTTGTGCTATATCTTGTACCTCTCAAGTTCTTGTTGCTTGCCTGGGGTAAGGTTTTTTTTCCACTTACTCTTGAATGCCTTATTCTGTTTTACATTTCTCAGTCCTTGAGAGCAGCTCGCTGCCTTTTTTTTGCGTTGATTCTGTTATTTTTTTATGCAAAGATATGAAGCGTTAATTTAAACACCCCCTTCAGATACCCTTCTTTTTTGTTCTTTGTTTCTAGCAGTTGTGGCCCTTAATGTCTTTTGTTTAGGCTGCGAAACCGCTAACGCGTTAAATGAAGGCACGGCGGAAGGGGGGTGGGGTTTGCTTGGTGGCTCCATCGTGGGGCAGCGCGCTGAAAGCAAAACCACCCTATCCAATCCGTGCAGCTCCAAAGGCCACGTTATCTCAGATACATGTGGCAAACCTTCCGAAAATCAGATCATTGACAGTTCGCACAGTGCGAGACAATACCTTTTGTTTAGCACAAGTTGCCTTGTTTATTTATATTGAACTGTTTTGTTTGTGACCAGGAATAAACAAGTTCACGAAAAAGATCCGTAAACCAAATGCTGTCGACAACAACGAGCTCATGGACTTCTTGTCACGAATTCCTTCAGATGTTGAAGTGGTACGTTGAATCACCCCATCTCTCTGAAATCACTGTTCTGCGATTGTCCAGCAATCCGCCAAAAACTGCGGATCCCGTAAAAAAAATCCCCCGTGAAATAAATATCACGAAATATAGTCTATTTTAATAAATTTAACGTTGTCAACCATGTTGCGACCTAGCCTCCTAAGTGGAGCGGGCGAAAAAGCTTGGCCTGGGTAAGAAAGAAAAATACGGATTCACGAAGATTTGTTTCCATGAAACGCAAAGAATTGACGACAATCCGCGAAATAAAACTTTTCGTGAAAATCAAATGGTATTCAAATACTTGAGTTAAACTTTTGGTAAAACTTCCTAAGAACCTTTCCATTTGTTTTGTCTACAGAAAGAGCAAAAGGTGCTGAAAACAGACCCTTCACTCCGGTTAAAGAGGATCGATGGCTAATGAACACGCCTCTGATCGTCTTGCAAACAGCCTTATCAGTTAAATGGGGGATGAAACTGACGCGGAATAAGGAGGGGGTGTGGCCCCGATGTGCTCACTTCCTAGAAATGTCTTTATCTCCAGACAGAAAACAGATGACGAGGAGAAACATTTGCAGCTTGAACAATATTGCGAATTTAATTCTATTTATTAAATTGTACAGTATTTATTATCTTTAAAGTATTAGAATATGTAGCTAGCGATATAAAAGTGAATTGGCGTCTCTACGGGCACCTTGTGGGTAACATGTTGCCCTTAATTTGTTGAGACATTTATATTGGGATGAGATATCAATTGTAGGTTTGTAAAATCAATTAATAAATTATATTTAATCTTTTTTGCGTAGATTCCACAAGACAGTGCACAATGGACAGTATAATTTTTCTTTTTTCACTGCTTTAGTAATTTTCTTCTAATGTGTTTGATAGTTAGCTGAGAACGAGACCATAAGGGAAGGCGAATAGGTTAATAGCTTTTTATTATTGCAGTTTTTAACAGATTTCTGGGCAATATTTCTAGTTAGATGCTGCTAGAAAGCTTAATGGATTCATGTTTTTCAATAAAATCGTTCTTATCTTTGTCTGTTGTGAAGCTTTCGAAAGACTTACGTTCCAGTGGTGAAGGACTAAATGGTGGTTCCATACGTTTCAAGCACAAAGGGACCGATTACAAGGACAATTTTAGCTTGGGGGAGGGGGAGAGGGGAAATTGATAGGGAAACTGTTTCCAATTCAAAACATGCGTTACGCACGCTCAAGTTCATATTTCAGTGACCACGAGAGGTTTCTCAGCCATATATAGTCGCTAAGGTGTTTTCGAGAAGGTGTCCAGATAAGCGGGCTAAAATTCGTAACTTATTCCACTTCTCAGCACGAATCGTATGGAAATTTGTAACAAACTTTTGGCGCTTTCCATAACGATCAAGTCAATTACTATAACCAAGCATAAAAAATACACTTTCTTTGAGTGTCAATGTATTTAGCACGAAAGTACTATTTGGGGACACTATTTTTTGGCCTCTCCTACTGGCGACGGGACCGCCATTTTACGTGGTCATCCGAGGCACGCGAAGGTCTACCCGTTTGCAGGGCGAAGGGAGTACCTTCATTTCTCAGTTATTTTAAGACCCTGAGTATTAGTCCGGTTCCGGCTAAGCTAACCCTGCCGCGCTTAACCATAGCGGGCGTTCCACCGCAAGTGATAAACAAAGAGAACCATGGCATCAAATCGATCGGTTACAGTATAAAAAAATGACACACGACATCCTCTTCAATGTATTCGGCGGTTTATTAATATCCCCCATAAGATTTCACGCTCTGTACACTATAATGTAAACAGAATAAAAGCACTTTCTCCATGACATCCAGCATTTACGGTCTTTCAAATCCAAAAGCATTTTTTTGCAATAGCCTCACATCGACCAAGGATACGAAAGAGGATATGATGTACCAAAATCAGCCTTGAAAATAGTAACAGCAATAAATTAATGTGTTTAGTTATGAATTGATCACAATCTATCGGCATATAATTTTATTCCCAAGGCCAAAATCATGTGACTGAGCTGCGCCAAAGTAACCGTGATTTGAATATTCTGAAAGATACAGCGGTACATTAGTTTTTCACATTGCAGCAAGCCAAGTAGAGTGCTACTCCAAGCCTAAAATGTTGGAAACAAACATACACTAAACCTGTAAATCGTTCAATGCTAAGATCTGGCTTTCTGCAAGTCAGTCTGCTTATTTTGACAGAAAAAAGCTTCGTGTAAGCTTGAAAAATCATCGAAAAAGCGCTGGCGTAAGGTCGGAAGTTGGTGTAGGGTGTGTTCAGGACATGTCTAGTCATCAGCCGGCGGCCCTGAAGTAGGAGCCGCTCCTGACTGAGATCCTTCTTTACCGCTGGCTTTCTTTGTTCCGGATACGATGTCATCGATACGCAGTAAAAGCATGGCGGTCTGAAGAAATAACAAAAGACAACTCAATCAAATACCCGAAACACAGTATGCGTAAATAATACAAAGGAGGGCGCAACGGAGAACGTACTCGCAACCTACGGTTAACAAAGCGTACTTTTCATCAATCAGTTAATCTGTCCCAATTTTAAAAGCTTTTAATACGCTAAACCTTGTCCCCTGATGTCTTCCCGCCTGCGTTCCCGGAGCGGCGCGGGAAAAGTCCTGGGGACGAGTTTGCTCTACGCTATCCATCAATTGTTTATCTATGTGTATCTAAGGGGCCACTACCTCAATAGCAGTCTTGAATGTCTGCGCCTTGACAGAATACGTGTCCCACACACCAAGTTCACCCATGTCTGTTATTTCACCAGTCTCACCGTTGATACCCCAGGATGTGTTACCTTCAACCGCGTGTTTAGCCTGCAAAAATATCACACAAATGTCAAAAATATTGTTTTTCAAACAATCTGGTTGACGAAAACGTCACCCAGTTAAAGTGAGAAATACAAGCTAGACAACATCTCATTTTGATTCCTGAGCCCTGAGAGGGGCATCAACACCAAAAAAAATACAACAAAGCGATAGCCAAAGACGTTTTTAACTTTTCAATATTTAGGCATTTTTATATTTGTAATTTATTTAATGCAGGGCGCCACTGAAAACCACGTGTGACGTGAGCTCCCTGTTTAAATATCTTTATTACTTATCACTAAAGCAATAAGCTGCTAAAAAATGTGCAGTGATGGGTGGGACGAGCAGCTTACCCTGAGAGCAGTAAGAGTCCTGATCGTGTTAGCACCACAGTTTTGGATCAAAGTGCGTGGAATGACTTCCAGAGCTTTAGCAACAGCTTTGTAAGGCCACTGTTGAACACCCGCTACCGACTTAGCTTTTTCCGTTAACACCTGTCATTCAACATGTAAGCAAACAGAAATACCTCATCACAGTTAACGATAGTTTAAATACACTAACAGAAAAGATCACCTACATACTGATACAGCTGTATATACCATAACCCTGTGCTATTTTTAAGCAAATCAGTAGCTAGATAAATACTAGCTATGATTGCCTCCGTATGGCTTTTTGCATTTTTGGTGGAAAAGACAAGGACAAAAGCTTGAAGCATTAACCTGCTTGCATATCATAAGCGGAACACAGTCGGGCCGGCTGATGACCACTATAGGTTACTTACATGAGAAAGGGCCATTTCTGCAGCTCCACCACCGGGCACCAGCCTGGGATCCAACATTACATTTCTTGCTACATTCATAGCATCATGAAGGTTACGTTCCACCTAACATAACACAACAAACCATGGTCATTATAGTAGCACACAACTGTAGCTCAGGTTACATGTACACTGGTTCACTGGTCTTCACATTAGTTTACATGTAACTATAGACGGAGAGGATGATTTATTTGCACTAGAATTTTTTTCAGGTTATGGTCATCCCCTTCAGATCACACAAGTCTTGCACTTTTAACTTTAACTATATTGTAAAAATATTAGCCCTTAAAATAATGTGCACAGTTTTGATTACCTCATTCAAGATATCCTTACTGGCTCCCCTGAGTAGGATGGTACACGCCTTGGGATTCTTGCATTCTGTCACAAAACAGAAGTACCTGACAACAAAAAATATTGAACATTGACTCCCGACACCAGTAAGAGCAATGCAACTGACTAAACTCACACTTACTCATCTCCAAACTTCTTTATTTCAAACAATCCAGCTTGTGTTCCCACATCTTCTTCCTTCAGTTCTTCAGTTCTGTTCACAATTGTTGCACCACAGGCACGTGCGATACGATTGTTATCAGTCTTCCTAATCCTGCGTATAGCTGTTATACCATTCTTTACAAGGAAGTGCTGTGCTAGGTCTATAATGTCAGGAAAGGGGAAAATAAATTGTGATTACCAGTTCAAATTTTTCTGGTGAGGTGACCTCTTCAAAGAGTGTATCATTTATTTCCTTAGGGGAAGGGCAAATGCTGAAATGGATTTAATCTGGTGTTGAACTTTACATACCTGACACCCCTTTCTCTGTAAACACAACATCAGGTTTTATTGCTATGATGTCACTGCACACTCGCTGAATATACTCCTCTTCTAACTGAAGAACACGACTGAAAATGACAGAACTAACTTAGTTTCTAGGCATGGTAGGTAAGATGCTAACCCAAATGGATGTAAATTATAACTGGTAACAAATCATTTTTGACTGACAATCTGACGGAAAACATTATATTAAGATGTATCAGAAACTCATAAGGGGTTGTCTGGATGTATAAAATTAATCACTCTAAATGTACACGAAGCAATACGGGGTTTAACCAATGGTACAACAAGAATTTCAACACTCAAAGCTCACTTAAATGTTTGACAATAATTAATTTTCAGAATGCCAATTACTTCACATTCTAAAAATACTTTTCTTCTTGTTTTTTCGTTACTGCTCTACAACCACAAAGAAGGTCAAAAGTGTTGGGACCTTTCCAGTGATATTAGTAAAACCAGCGAAACCTCCCCTCCCACCCCAAACAAAGTTGAATTTTGCACAACATGGGTGGCCACAACATTGCTGGGGAGGAATGGGGCCACAACGGGATGAACCCAAAGCCGATCAAAAAATTGTCATTAGGAGCAGAGTCCTTCGAAGAGTTTTTCTTCACACAGTCCCAAGTTCTTTTGGCCTTCATTGTACTAAAAAATCACTACTCACTTGAAGTCCACTTCTTGTGAAATTTCTAGGCTTGTCTGAAAAATGGTAAGTGATTGAAATTAAACATTCTTCAAAAACCGTAATGTAGCAGTGTAGTAAAAATGAACCCAGGAAATGTGTTATACAAGGAAAGATGAGTGAGGCAATAAAAACATTCATTGTTGGATAATAGTGGTATAATTACTCAGGCATCTCACTTGTGCACAAAAGTCAATACAAGAAACAGATCACCAGTTGGAACATACATGTAAGGAGGGCTACAAAAAAATCTGCCTTGCCATTGCCAAAGCCAATACATGAATCACCTGTTTGGGAAATCGCGGGCAACTGATGACAGGTCTTTTGTGACTTAATTTTTGCAATACACCTGTACTTGATGTACAATAGGACTTAACAGTTGTCTTGGGCATGTACCCATGTATGCAAAAATATCCTTTTGGTGATCATCATAAGCTAAGGATACCCATGTAACTACGAACCTTCTAGAACAGATGTGATACAAAATGTGTGCAACAAACATTTTGCACCAAACACGAGAGTGAAGCACAGATTAAAGCATAATACGGCAACTTACCTGGCTTTCTCCCTTTTTGTATTCCAAGGAACAATCCAAAAGAACTATTCTAGGATTTTCTATTCTCCTATGAAAAGAAACAAACACATAACGGGTCACTTTTACTAATACTTCTTTCTTTTTAACATTAAATTACAAAGTACATGTACTGGTATGTTCAGATTATAAATCATTGAACAAGACTGAACAAAGGGTTAACAAAGTAGTCAAAAAGAAAGTCTTAAGAAGACAAACCAAGGAGTGGAGAACCGTTTGTTTTGAGGAACTTTCGAGAAAGTCAATCAGAAAACCTATTTAGTAGTATAATTATATTTAAACATGAGGGATAGCTAAAAAACAAACTTCACAATATCAAAATTAATTTTTTTCCCGCCATATTTTTCCTGAGCATTTTGTATTTTTGCCATTTTCAACCCAAAAACTGTTTGTGCTAGAGCTCAGGCACCTTTTTACAGTCATCTGGTCATTAAGGAGATAATTATTCAGACCAACAAAGTTTAGTAGTATAATTATATTTAAACGGCTCAAACTTCACAATATCAAAATTAGATGGTGTCAGAAATGAAGAATTTGCCAAACGTTATACCAAAAGAACCACTGCAACAGCAAACTCACCTGATCTGAACATCTGGAGTGTCGCTGATGAGACAGCATACAAAGATCTAGCCCGGAAAACACTGGACAAGCTGAGAAGGTGACTCAACTTTGCCTGGAAAAATGTTACCTAGGGCTATACATGTTTACAAAGCTCACACATTCTATACCCCACCACTTAGAAAATGTTAAAAAAATAAAGGAGGCCATCCTGGTTACTAATATTTGTTTTATTCAATATAAAATGAATAAGGAATAACACACCTAGTTTTCGTAACCGTTGAAGTTTAAGCAAAAAAAAAGAAAATCGGAACGAACTTTTGCAACACCCTGTAGCATCTCATAGTGTCCCCAATTAGCTTCATAGCTAAAGTACCTGACACTTAAATAAAGTTTATTATTATTTTTATTATTATGATTATTACCTTCTCATTCTTGGATGCGTGACATCTTTGTTGACCATTACTCCAGACAAAACAAAAGAATCTTCCAGGTCATCCCCAGGAACCTTAAATTTGTTACCCGCAAGTTGGGATCAGTAGTTACATATATCAGTAAATTTCATGCTGATTGTGTATGTTGTAGTTAATTTTTATTTTTCCATTGTTTTTGGGTATGGTAATGTATGCTAATGAATTTAAAACAAAGATTAAGTGAAATAAAAAATTAACTGCAATGTCATAAACATTCAAGGAATCAATGAGTCAAAGTTACCATTTACCTTTTCAACTTTTGCATAATTTTTTATGTCTATCTCTTTCCTGTCACCTTGCTCTCTAACAACAGTTTGCACTGCATCTAATGCCATGTTACAGGCAAGGTCTCCCCTAAGTCAAAAGTAAAAAATAAGTTATAAATAAAAATATTGCAGTAAGCTGAGACAAATATACAAAAACATTTTGAGCTGAGGGGACCTGTTGCAGGTTCCACAACCCCAGATGTAGTGTCTGGCTAAAAGAAAGAAGAAGTTTATCTGAAGAGAAAATTTGGAGGTATCCGACTTTAAGCCTAAAAAAACTGCAATTTCCATCGAGTAGTCTCCAGGTATAAAGTGGAAATCAGCAAGCTTTTCAGTCAAAGTTCCCCAAAAAGTTTGAATGTTTGGACAGTGCCAGAAAAGATGAGCGAGATTTTCGTCAGTGGTACAGCATCAGGAGCAGTTTGGGTCTTGCTTGATACCAATCTTTTTCAGAAATGAGTTTGTGGGAAGTATTCTATGCAGAAATCAATACTGAAAATTAATAAGCGTCGTGCTTTAAGTACACTTGAATGCCAAGGTATATGCTGTGTTCCAATCAGCAACACATCCCTCTTAGGGGACCGTAGTGTTCCATTTTGCTTGACTTCTCACCGGGGCAGACCTTTTTTCACAGACAAGTTTTTTGTAGACGACCTTAGTTCCTTTTGCGTTCTTAAGGAATAAGGTAAGAAGTGAATCTTGTGGGATTGAAAGAGTAGGGTTTTGTGTGATGCTACTATTATAGACTTGTTTAAGGGAAGATACAAGTCCAAAATATTTTAAAGGTTGGAGTTGACAATTATATTTTTCAATAAAATCTGTGTGGGAAAGGACGTTTTATTGTTCTCTCACAAAATCCTTTACCTTTGAAATTCCTAGAGAAAAGAGGCTTTTATAGTGACCAAATATTATTATAAGTAACAATACACATACATGTATGTAAGAACACATGATCAAATTTTTTTTTTGAAAAACATACATCTACACCTATACATTTTTAATGTACAAACCTATTTATACAAGGAAAATTGGATACTTTTCTTTTAATCACAGAAGTCACATGGTTGTTGTTCGTGTATGTACATTTCCTCAGTAAAAAAGATGACTTATAGTCTGGTCACAAGGTCAACTTTTCTTTCCCTCCCAAAGCTTATGTTGGGAGACAAAAAACAATAATAATTTTTTTACTGGGTACTAGTTTGAGTACAGCCCATCAACACATGATCATGACATACATTTAAACACTTACCATTTATGGACAAACTTTGTACCAACAGAGCTGCGTACGATCTTCAACATTTCCTCCCTGTTATCCACATCAACTGGAACACTAATTTGATCTCTTAGTATTTCCAGCATATCATCCATGGCTTGCCTATAAGCACCTATTATAACTGTTGGGTGCATTTGATCTTCAAGGAATGGCTGTGCAACAGACATCATTTCACCAGCTGAAATAATTTTACCACAACAATTAAAAAAATAATGGTATATAAGAAGTGATGAAAACAGAAATGTGCTATTTACATTGAACTATGAACTTAACAGCAAGGTTCTCACAGCTGAATTAAGAGCATCGGGCAAAATATAGCAAATAATAAAATTACTCTTCTTCATTGTACCCCATTCAGATTAGTACCAAATTTAGTAAGAGAAAACATTGATTGCAGAAAACAGCCCCCATAACGGCATGATGGATTTGTGGTTTACAAGCTACCACAGCAGCCAGGGTCTGTCTTTAACTGAAAGCCTAGATCATGTGACTGAACTGTGTCTGTACTTGTGGCACACTAACATGACCAGAATGAAAATGGTGTCGGGTTCATAGAAAAATAGACCAATATTTTTCCAATTCTCTCTTTGTTATGGTTTCTCCTACAAGTTCCTTCTTCACAAATTTACACATGTACATACACATGCCCTACAACTGTTAATATCCAAACATAATTTACCAAGAATAATAACTGATGTAGTTCCATCACCAACTTCCTCATCCTGGGTTCTACTAATTTCAATCATTGATTTAGCAGCTGGGTGTTGCACTTGAATCTAAACAAAAGCATTGAACACATTAACCAAATCTGCTATCAGAAAATGACTGAAATCCCATGGTTTTAAGAATATTATGAACCAAGACAATAAGCATCCCTCCTCCTAAATGCTGAAAGCCCTCAGTGATGTATAAAAGGGGTTTACTGTAAAATTTAATGTACGTGACCTCAACTGCTAATTGAAGGTCACTTGGGAAACAAAGGCCAATGCACAGTATCAAGGAGCCAGTTTTCACAACTAATAAATACAAATTTGATGATTAAATTGCACAGAAAATCAAGGAATTCCTAACCTCACGCAAAATTGCATTTCCATCATTTGTCATAACAATTCCTCCCATTGGATCCATTAACATCTGGTTTGAACAAAACAAAAAGAAACTCTTTTTCTTTATAATGCCAACCATGCCATCATTGTTAATAATCTTGAACTGCTACATGTTGCATGTTGATATGCATGTAATGAAAGACAATATGTCGCTGTATGTGCATAAGTTGTGTATGTTAGGGCTAAAATAGTATCATTATTATCAGTTTCTCACAATAGTCACTCTGTATTGACTGCCACATTCTGACCATGTGCTACTGTTCTTCATCAGGCAATGTTGTCAGTTTGCTGTGCTGGACTTTGGTGCTAATATTGTTGCCAGTGATTGTAAAGTTCTAATCAATGTAGAACAGCAAATTGACAACGTCAGAATGTCATTACCACTGATAAATGACTACAGTGGGGCAAACAATAAACTAGCAGTAACCAAGGGTTAGGAAGTGCAGGTGAACACGCGCTTTTACCTTACAGGTGTGATTGATGTTGAGAGCCACTTTCATAATACATGTACGTGAATAAGAAAGCCCTCTATAGTATGTCCAGTATCAACAGGGGGAATCATGGCGGATCATGAATGAGGAAATTGAATTGAACAACACAGTAAACAAGACTGTTATTGAATTCAACAATTTTATTCACAATTACTTTAATGCAAGTAGCCTTGCGAATGGTGAGGATCAACTAAGGAGAGACAGCTGTATTTGTGGGTAAAGATAATGTGTAACAATGTTCAACATGAAATGTACAGTCACATGAACCTATTCATCAATCGGTTATTCAATTGGTGCTCGGTGACCAAAAGTCACTGAGTTGCAACAGGGAATCATAAATTTATTGAAGCTCTCAGACACCAAGCAACGCCACATGCTTGAAAACATAAAATATAAGAAACTGTAATGCAACCTGAATTAACTTGACTTAAATGGAGTTATAGACTGTGCATTCACTTGTGCCTTACCAACACTGAGTTCTACTTTCATTTTGTTTGTTAAATAGATTTCCAGCAGGCACAGCAAATAAAAGAGGCTTGCATTTGACACAATACATTTATACCTGAATTACGCTGACTCCATGTTTTCGAAACAAGCAAAGCTTGTTGCGTGTCCTTCAGAAGATTACAGCTGGGACATCAGATAAACTCAACACCAGGGCCTTTGTGGTCACATACCATGTATATCAGTTAAAGTGCCCCTGACCACCCCACCAAGAATACAACTACAATCAGTACCTATGTTGTACATGTTGATTTTACAACAAGCTTTGAGAATTCCGCAAACACAGTTTAATGACTCCCTTTATACTTTTGTCCTGACTGACCCTTATAAAAGGGGCCCTGAGGCTACCCAAGTAAAATAACTGATAAAGAACACTGTGATTTATTAATCATTTCAAAAGGTAAAAAAATTGGGACCGATTTTGCCATTCTCTTTTAAAATCAAAATTCAAACGACTCTCATGGAGTGTCTCTCATATCTTATCTTACAGCTGTACTAACCTTCAGCATGGCTTTAGGTCCTAAACATGTTCTAATAATGTCTGCAATAGTCTAAAATAAAATAAGAAGCTGTCACTGAATTATCAAGAGCAGAGCTTACTTTGCGTGGTTTAAACATCACACCAGTCTGTGAAGACAAACAGCCAGCAGATTTATAAACTGTACTTTACGGCGTCGCTGTCACAAAATCAAGTGCCATAAAAGCAGTTTTGTTCTCTCGTGCAAGTTTTTTTAAATATCACAATAAAATACTAAGGGTACGTTATACCTTTGCTGCCTCGACATTTCCAAGTTGTACTTTTCGACCAGATTCTCGTCTTGTGTTTTGATCTACAAAATAAGTAAGCGCTTAGTTTTCAGCACATTGCAAAGCACACTAACAGAAAATGCTACGTACTTAGCACTATAAGAGGTGTTCCTGACATTTTGATGCCTCAAGAAGCCTAAAGTTTTGCAAAAACCGGTGTAAGATCCAAGATGGCTGCCGCACGTGTCGCCTCCCGTCACATATCATCCAATCAGAACTGGTAGTTTATTTTAATTGTAACTGCTTCAAGTGTGACCAATCAGAATCCTTGATACATTCTTGATCTGATTGAGTTACAAACCAGTCTATCTTTAGACACATTTTACAACAGTTTTTCCACAAAAATGGAAGACATGGAACCTTCGCTCCGAACAGTTCAAAGTAACAAAAAAAGGCAACGATAATGTCATCCAGAGTTATTAAAACGTCAAAACAGCCATTTTTCAGGTCTTTGTCCTTCACTGATTTGTTTGTAGAACTCATGCAATGGTCCCGGATCAGACGCCTAGAGAGGATTCTTCCAGAGGTACAAACAATTTCCCAAATCCCCCTTCGGCTTCCCGCTGTTCAAGTTCGGAGAGCACCTTTAAGCCTTAGTGTTTTTATTGTCTATGAAATGAAGTTAGTAAGTTGTAGCCCTGCAGGGTAAAGAATGCCGGTTTAATCCTAGGTGAAGTAACAAGATTGAAAACAAACTCTTTAGAAACAAGGGTTCGATTAGAGGACCTCGCAAACTTCAAACTACACCTAGAAGCACGCAGGTATCCTACCTCATATAAGTTGAAAAGAAATTGAAAGGTCAAAGGTCATTTTTGTTTGACCCTCAAAAAAAAATGACTATATACCACCCAGCTGGAAGACTGAAAGCAACTCAATTATAAAAAAACCTCTGATCATATCTTAGAAAAAGGTAAATCTTTCGAATACTTGCTTCTAATTTGAAGGCTTTGGTAATGCAACTCAACCACAAACCACTTATTGGGTGGCTGTATAGGCCTATCTTCGGTCCGGGACAAAACTCAATTTCTGTATCCCCTCCTTTTTCCTTACGATTCTCACATCCCGACCCCATAAAAACAGAGAACGCCTTAGCAGCTTGTTATTTAATTTTCCGTTTCCAGACTGGGCTTTTTAAAATAATTATCTTTTATTTGTTTACTCTCTTTTTTACCATCATCTTTATATTTTATTTTGTTTTATTACACTTTACTTTCAGCTTTTTCGGATACGCACGTACAGGGACGTGAGTCCATGTAGCTACGCCCCTCCGTGGGATACACCCTTATATGGCCCATATCGGAATGTGCCGCTGGACAGGGTATGGCTTTTGACCTCTCTGTCCTAAAAAGAGTACATAATCCCTGTGAAAAGTTTGAACCCAGGTGTCATTTCATAAGTAGATTGAGTATGATTGTCCGGGTGAATGTAGTCCTGAATGGGGCTGTTTTTCTTGACAGTGACTGACGTTGCGATAACCTGTACGGTAGTCATCTTCACACTCACTTTCACTCGGAAGATGACTACCGCATTCTAACTGAGCAGTCATTTTTATATTGCTAAGAGTACGTCATTTCTTGCAAAACACTTCTCTGTGTCTGTTAATTTGGCAGTCAGAGTAAGTGACAAGAAACGAAATCACTCATTCACTATACTTGACTCATCCAGGTCTTCTAACAAAGCGCTCGATTGTTTTACGATAAATGGTCATGTAGCTAAACCCTATTTATTTAAATGATTCTTTGTAACTAAGCGTCGTCAGAGTGCATACAATGGAAAAGTACCTTATGTGGATAGTAACATTGCACAAAGGAAGGAATGATGCCTCATCAGGCACTTTCATCAACACTTAATACATATTTATATTTGATTTTTGTGCTACTTCTTTAATAATTTGCCTACACCAAGTTACATGAAGACTGGCATAGACTCCCTCAGTTACCATCAGTTTCAAGGTACGCCTTTTTAAAACTTCAACATACTCCTTTTTCAGCGAAGCCGGCAAAATAACAGTCTTATTTTGCGCTTCCCTTAGTTGTAAAAACGAATTTCATGGTTAAAGATAAGGTGAAATAATTGGAAATAGGAGATGAAGTGACATCATGTGTTAGGTGTGCTACTCATCGAGCGTCTTCCCTATTTTACCTTTCTTAATTTTTTATGTTTGCTAAATGAACTTAACTTTCCATTAGACCCGTGCAAGAAATTTGCAACAATTTTTTCCTGTTCGAGGATAAAAGTATGGGAATCTTTATTTCATTTCCGAGGCGTGCAAAATAGAATAAAATATCGTTTATATTGTGAACTTGAATGAAGGCTTCATTCAATTTTAAGGAGAAAGTACTGACCTGAGAGTCGGTTAAAACGCAGCATTCTGTGCGGCAGATACCGATTTCTATTTCCAGATGTGACCTCAAATCCTTGTTTCAAATTCTCTCCTCTCCGTGTAACTTAAAGTAATTTCAACTAGCCGTAAAACGGAGAACTGATTTAGAGAAGGGGAGTTAGGTTACTGAAATGAGCGCACCTTCGGCATCAGGTTCGTCAACTTAAGTACCGGTCAGGACTGAGTTATCGACGCACTCTAAGGACCTTTACCTTTTCATTGTAAAAATCGAATCAGTTCAAGGGAATGCGATTCACCTTAATATGGCCTACCATTTTAAAGTACAACTTAGAATAAAACGGCTTAAGTATGGGGAACCGAACTGTAGTTTACTTAACAATCAGGAAAAGCCTTAAAAACTTCTCATAGTGTATGAAATGATAAAACAGAATATACCTAGGAAGGCTTAAACTTCAATTGGTGGATACGTCCGAATTAATCACGTCCGCTTTCGTTTGAAATATCTCTATGTTCTTTCTCTGACACAGATTGCAGCAGAAACGAAGGCATTGATAGGTTAGCAGGAGTTGGCTTTATTTAAAATCCATGTCGACACGATAAGATACAGGGTAACAATTAAAAAACAGAAATTAATTTGCTGATCTAAACGCAATTGACGCTCAAATTTTTTGTTATAGAGCTGGCACCGGTAATGACAACATGTTCCTCAAAATGTCCAAAAGTCAAATATGGCATTCATTAGCCTAAATAAATATCTGTTCTGTTGAGCCTTTTAAACTGAAATGCCGTTTTAATACTTGTAAGTTTAAATCTGTGACGTTCTCCAGCAAGGCCCTTTTTGATCCCAGTTATAGCTAAAATGATCATATTATGATGATATTATGTTTTGCTCTTTCTTAAATCTTCAAAGTGATGAAAATACCAGTCCAATAAGCTAGCAGAGTTACTTTGTCGTAAAGGCAATTTCATACTGCTTCGATATTTTTGAAATAATTAGGCACACTAGAATCAATTGGCAGAAAATGATAATGTCAACAAAAGTACTTAAATACACGGAAACCTTTTTCGTTTAATGATGTATTGTTTGAGATAAATAGTATGGTCAAAATATTTTTCTTTTTTTTGTTGCCAGATGTTAATGTAAGCGTCTATCTTGTTTCATTCGAGCACTTTACCGACTGGAAAGTACAGTGAATAGAAAATTACAATTTACAAACCTTGTCAAATTATATTACTTTGCAAATACTCGGAAGCATTCACCACCTCTTTGGCACGTTTTCAAACAATTAGGATTTCCAATTTCCCCGAAAATGAACACTTTTAAGGGTCGTTTAAAGGGCTTAATGATTCCAAGCTGTATAGCGCATTTTGAGGCTAATTGTTTCTCGATCGTCGTTTTAAAACAACAGGGATCACTTCTGTCTTCTTCTTTTTCGGAAATTTTCAACAGAAACCCGCAGAATTAGTTTAGTGATATTGCGCACCGTTTAAGGGTTCCGAAGACCATTGTTGAAACAATAATAGATCTTAACGGTAGGTCATATATTTCTTTTTATTGTGATAGTCAAGACAACCTTTCCACGATAGCATTAAGCTTATATTAGCTCTTACTTAACCTTCAGCTCAATAGAGTTCTTTAATTTACCCCTGCTATCGTAACAATGCAACGCTTTATTTTACATGTTATAGTTATTGAAGCCTCAAGTGCCGCACATTGCCGGGTCAAAACGCTATACTATCTCCTTCAGTGACACCCAGTCAGTACCTTTGAATTAATGAAATACGAAGAGAGTGAAAATCGATATTGAACCAGAATTTTATCAAAGGCCTGCCTTCTTTTCAATACGTCACTTTAATTCTGAAAAGCAACATTTTCCTACATCTTCATTTTCGTTTCATTGATGCACAGTTTGTTACGTTGACAAAAGAGGTAGATCATTTAACTGCAATTTTCAGTGTGTTCATGTCTAAGACTTCAGGGTGCCCTGATTACGTTCGTTATAACTGACTTGTACTGACGCCCTTAAACCAAGGACTTTATTTTTTCACATCAAAAGTATTGAAACTTTTCAGTTTTACAGGGCAAGTAAGTATGCATGTGGCATCATTTTTAGATGAATAGCCAGGAGTATGAGAATAATTACGATAAATATTAATTCTAGAATTAATCAAACGTCCTGTAGTGGCGGAAACAGACCTTGAAGTAAAAGGAATATAAATTTACTGATGCTTAGTTATGTCAAGCTTTATTGGGCAAGATCAATTCGAAAAAATAAAATATAAAAAAAAATTGAAAATATACAAACACAAAGAATTAAAGCCCAAAAGGGATGGGCACGAACGGGACACTCAGCCCATGCGGGGTGCCTAACCTAGGAAAATATAAGGATTTAAAATAATTTTATATATAAAAAAAGTAAAACTTAGTTGTAGTAAGAGGAAAGTCTAATTGTAGAAAAATCTAATTGTAAAATTGTCGTCTAACTGCAGAGGAATCTAATAGTATTAAAAAAAGAAAAAATATATATATACATGATTTTATATGATACATCTTCAAGTTAGTGACATGAACATTCGCGAGAGATTGACCATGAGAAGACCATCTCCACATCAAAGACGTTCATTAAAAGAGACTTAAAACCACCAGGGAAGTCTTCATAGCATAAGTTGTTCCACAGTTTCACAATAAGGACAAAATATGAAGCTTGCAAAGTGCTGGTCTTACTGGCGCGAAAAGTAAGATAACAGCCAGCAGACTGACTATGACGTGTACGTGGATGATTGCTAAAAG